CATCATCATCATCATCATCTACAACAACAACAACGACGACAACGACAACAACAGCATTAACAACAACACAGATAGATACAACAACATCAACAACAGCAACAACAACAACTACAAAAGAAACAACGGTAAAGGAAAAATAACGATATAATGTCTCCCAAAAAAATCAATAGTGCCAAAAAGGAAGCAAATAAACAAACAAATTAATAAATAAATAAATACACGAGTCAACTCACCAAGCTATGAACAATTAAAAAGCCCCGGCAAATACCTTTAAGCCTCGCTCTCCAGAACAGAAGCGTGTCTGGGGTCAGCGTACATTTATACAGGAATCTGGCTCGCTTTGAGCGGTACACCCACCACAACACTGCGCAGTGGAGAGTCTTGAGGGATTGCTGCCGACTTACCGCCCAGGCTGCCTCGCTGGAAGTGAAGCTCACGCCCACTTTCACTCGTCAGCAGCGGCCAAGAAGGGGTGGACACTTAACTCAACCCCCCCCTCCCCTGGACATCGACTGTGATGTAAGTCTAGATCTGTATTTTAAGGAAAATAATAATATTAATAGTTCGGCCTACTGCAAGTGTTCCATCCCCTGAGATGAATAAGGAGAGCTTGCTTACAAAATTAAAGTTCGGATATGGGATATGGAAGATTACGATGCAGACTTTTGAGACAGATATAAATATGATATCTTAACCAGATCTTTGCTAAATTAAATCTTTAATGAACAACTAATAGAATAGAATAATATCAAGACATTTTTCCCTCCTCCAGTAAAAAAATTATTATAATGTCTCACTGCCGGTGCTAGTGCGCGGGATGTGGGACCGGCTGCACTATCGTTTTTTACACGCTTTATACAGGCCTCTCTGCCTGCACACAATAAATTATGGTTCAAAGAACAGCAGATCGTGTACGAATGTAACGAGACACGAGCACCAGCCAAATGGGCGAGGGCGTTAACTCGTGTTAACTAGTTTAATAATTTTAATAAGCAATCCACGCACTTTTTTTCACTTAAATTTTTTTTAAAATTCTTTCTTTTTCTTGCCTCTTCTGTTCCCTTCTTTTTGAACATTTGGAGTTAGGAGCCAAAAAAGAGCCAGAGAGCCTAAAAATTCTCCGGTCGGGCCAGACATGATCCAAAAGAGCCAAATTTCTGGGATTTGGCTCCGAACTGACAACCCTGACTGTGACTATTAAGACATGAACACGATCCTGTTGAGCATCAGCCCCGGTAACCTCAGCCCTGATCACTCTAGAGTCATTTCCGGTAAAACGAGGGGGTGAGAATAGCGAGACATAGGTTATTTTCACCCGGGGGTGAGAATTTTTATGGTTGTTTTTCTTCACATGTATCAAATGATGATTTAAAAAATCACACGTGTGACATTCGATTCTTCTGGATTTCATCAAATTCTTGTGGTGTAGCATTGTTGTGAAATCATGCACTCGTTAAAATAATGACATCAAAGAAATCAACACTTTTCTGCCTGTTAGACAAATTGTATCAATTTTTTTTTAGCTCAACACCTTCATGCACATCTAAAAACCCCTGTATGTGTGGATTTTATCCAAAAAAAGTAAACCACAGGCACAAAATTTGGAAGTCACCCACCTTTGGCGGCCATTTGTTCGTTAATTTTACCTCTGACACCAGGTAACCCCACCTCCTTTAATTACAAATGCTTCAAGTTCTATTGAAGGTAGAACGGTATCTTTCATCCAAAGTAAGACAAATTAACAAGTTTTAAGAAAATGTCAATAACTCCATATGTCCAAACTTTGACGAGTGCGTGATTCCAGTGTGTCCAGACACAAATTGTGCCAAAATAGTGGAGTAGGTACTATTTTTGTTTACTTTCTTCATTTGTTTAAGAAGAATTTTTTCTTTTCTTTGACTCATATATATATCATTTTTTAAATGCAGGTAACACGATTTGATTGCAAAAAGTCAAAATTGTTCAAGACGACCACGCATTGTTGAGGAGAAAGGTGTCTTAGACTGGTGGACATCTTGGACAGGACTGATGAAAATGAAGAAAACGAACGATTCCCTTCAGAAGTCCCAACCTAAGGTGTGGCCACACGCTTAGGACTAACGTAAGGCCCTCTAATTTTTTTTTCTTTTTGAGGGAGGGTGGAAAGGGAGGTTTGGGGTAGTGTGTGTGTGTGTGCATGCGCACATGCACGCGCACACTCTTGCGTGTCTCTATCACTGCATGTGTTAGTCTGTCTTTTGTGTTTATGTGTCTGTCTGTGTGTATGTGTTTGTCTACCTGTGCATCAGTGTGTCTCTGCCGGCATGTGTCTAAGTTTGTCTTTTTGTAAAAAGTGTCTATCAGCATTTGTTTGCTTTTGTATGTATCTCAATAATGTATCCGTCAATGCAGGACATTGAGTGATTGAAGAGAAATGCCCAGGAAGGGGATTGGATGGGTGGGGGGGGGATGAAAAAGTTAAAAGGGCAAGATAGGAGGGGTTAACGACTACCACAGGTGAGTGAATTGTTTTGTCTTCTCTGCAGCTTTATGCCATGCCACAATGCCATGTCTGCAGCATTAGGGGCTAAATATAATTTATGACAACGGTTTAGGGCAATGGTGGGTTATGAAATATATCTCCTACTTCTTTTTTGTGTTTGTTTCTCTTGTAACACCTTTAATCTTCAGCACTTATATGACCTTATTGTGTTGCTAGTGCCATAAAACTCTTACTAAAACAAAGGTTATGAAATATTGTCGTCTTGGGCAGTGCCATTATATATAGAAAAAAATGCAAGGGGGGAATGACAATGAGCATGAAGTGGTTGTTTGTATAGCTGGCTCTCTTGGACAGCTGGCTGTCTGGACAAGTTTGACCGTACTTGTCGAACTTTTGTATTGACTGATGTCTTTTTCAAATTTGGCCTTGACCTTCTCAATATCATATTGACCTGTCGATCAGGGATCAACTGTCTAGACAAATGTCTCTGTCAGATGGGAATCTCCCAAATTTTCTCAAGCGCTGGTCATAACAAAACTTGTCAAGATTGGTTCTCACGGTGGCCTTTGATATCAGGATGTCTTATCTCTTTATGGGAAATTTGGTCCATGGCTATAGATTTTTTTCTGCCCATGAGTGAAGTGAGAGGTTCACTTCTGGTTTTGGTTAAGATAAGCCAATTGTACCCCATTGGTGGACTCCCTGTTAATTAACCTTTCCTTGTCCAGATTTTTCTATTGTTATTCTTCCTTCTTTTTGCTTTTCAGCTGTTGCCTTTGTGGTGAAGTTGAGAGAAATTTAGGTTATTAGCATCAGATCATTTTATTGGAAAGGGGTTTAAAGTGTGTGCGGGCAGAGTCATGAATGTTGAAGCTGAACTTGTGTGTAACTACACATGTAGTTGTGTGAGGAAGCCCTCGTGTGGTGAGTTTTTGAGAGCTGTGTACGTCGGTTTGTTTCCAACTGTTACGTGTGATCATGATACTGTTTTATAGCAACATCATGCATAATTATGATACTGTCTGTGAACAATAATTTTGTCTGCATTTGCTTTTTCTTTTGTCAATAACTTCTTTGGCTCTTTTGGGCCTTGGCATTAAGGGGTAGGGAGGGTGAGGAGGGTTTCCTCTTTTTCAAAGACCGCTCATCCTGATGCTTAACTCACACACACCACAAATCCTGCTTTGTGTGGTTGTTATCTTTTCAATACAACGTGCCTTTTCTCTGCAGAGTTTGATTTATGAAAATTCACAAACCGATCAATCAACCCTGGATATTTTCCATTAAAGGAAGCCCAGTCTACACTGTGCCAGTGTATTTGGTTATCAAAATTTTGGACTGTCTGATCTTTGGTCATGCAATTGCTCATCTTCTGACTCTACCCACCTGCTTTCGGTTCCTTTTCTGTGTGCAAGAATTTTTGCAAGAATATTTGGTCTTGAATACGCATGTTGCACACAAAAAAGATCAAATCTTCCTTCCCATACGCTTATTTTTTAAAATTATTCTTTCTATCTTTTTCATGTGGAATCCATAAATCATATTTTCCAACTGTTATATCTTATAACTTGTAATAATTTTGAGTTAAATATACGAAAGACTTTTCTTTTTCTTGATTGAAGGTGATGATATTATCGGTTCTTAGTCTGAGACAACTATAGTGTTCTTCTCACAGGCCCTTTTCATGCCTTGTGGAGAATGGGGATATAACACGTTTACAATGAGGAGGAAGAAAAAAGAACTGCCCGTCTGTTTTCTTAACTAATTTTTCAAAGCTGTAGCTTTGAAACAGCAGCTTAGACAAGAAAAGCACTGAAAGTCTGATAAAATTCTGCTTGGAAATAAAGAAGTTACGTTAAAAGTTGATTTTGTAAACTGTTATGCCTCAAAAAGTCAGAATATACCATGTTTGGTATTGATAATTTTGTTCCATGCTCTAGAATGAAAATCTATTTGTCTCATCTTTGATAACGCCATCTACCTTTCAGTCATTGCGGTATCCATTTTTAAAATGAAATCTGATTCTTTTGTGTGCTGTATGGTATGACTGGTCCTCGTTTTTCATGTTTTATGGGAGAACAAAAATTTTCCATACAAAGGTTTTCCTTATGTGAAGTTTCGGCTCACAATGTTACTTTCTGAGATATATCATGAAGTCGACAATACTGTCAGAAAGTTCAGCACTTGTGATGTCTTCATGGTAAGGACTTGTTGTTGACTTACCAATCGGCGGCAGCAAAATATGTCATTACCTCTTTCTGACTTCCGCCAATTTTGAGTTTACTGAAATGTCGTAGAACTGATTCTGAAATCTCCTAAGTTTATGACTGGTCTATGTCATTCAGGGTTTGCCATGAACAGAATCATTGTTCTGTAAGTTTCACTTGAATTGATTTGTGAGGCATCGTGGTGAAATCAGGCGCTTGTCAAAATAATGAAATCAAAGAAATTGGCCGATGGGCAATTTTTTTCTAAATTTCTTTTTTTGGCTCAACATGTTTTATGATGTCCATTTAAAAGCACATTATTTTATGGATTTTAGTGAAAAACATTGATTAAAGGCACAAAAAATGTAAATTTTCAGTTTTTAAGGACTGTCAGGCTGTGGAAATTACCAAACTTTGGCGGCTATTTTCTCGCTAATTTTACTTCTGAAACCAGGCGACCCTGACCTCCTTCAACCACAAATATTTTGACTTCTATTCAACAGAAATGGATATTTTTCCTCCTAAAGGAAGGCAAATGAACAGGCTTTAAGATGATACCAATAACCCTATATGCCCAAAAATTGACGAGCGCCTGTTTCCACCATGTCATGACACATTTGGTAATCTCCTACATTTGTGGCTGGTATGTTTCATCCAGGGTTTGTCATGAACGGAGTTGAGGTGGAGGGTGACAGTGGCCGCTGGTCCCCCCACTCAGGCACCATGGTCAAGATGTTCAGTGATGCCCGGGAGGTGGACGACGTTCTGAGAACTCTTCAGCACTCGGCGGAAAGTGATGAGCTCAAGGTGGCCCTTAAACGACTGGTGGAACTGTTTGATGGAGGTAAGTCAAACTTCCCTTGCCTGATCAAACAAGAATAACCCTTCATTAGAATAGCGGGTCTCTTTTTTTGCAGGGTGGATTTTAATTGAAATCATCTTAATCCTTATTTTTTCTCTTTCTCTTTAATAAAATATTCTCCTCTGCAGGTGCATTGGTCATCATCAGTCATTGACTGACGAACAATTATTATTGTTAATGTTATTATGCATAAGTTTAACACTGATAGCTGCTTTGATCAGAACAAAATACAGTTCCTCAATTGATCTTTATATGCTTCATTTTGGAATATTATTATTTGTATCATTCAGTGTAGAAACATGGCCTCATTCTGGCAGTATTGCTTTGTATAGGGTTGAAGGATAGCGTTTCAGCTGTGGTTGTGATGCATGGAGCATGTGATGGAGCGTTTGTCTTTCCAAAAATCAATGGTACTGATTAATGGAACTGTTTCTTGAAATGAAACTTTCTCATGTCGTTACAGATATTTTAAGGGGTTCGTTTTTCAGTTTTTGTCGATTATTTTTGTGTGTAACTGACCAATTACTGTTCCTGATAGTTCCCAGATACCTAGAGGACAACCATGCCTATTTGTCAGTGCTGTCCACCATGACCCACATGGTCAGTGACCTTGAGATTCAGCAGGTGAGTCAAATGTCAGCGATTTTATGATTTTAATAATAGTTATAAAAATTGCATTTACAAAACACGCATATCCAGGCTCTACAGCGTGCTCTATGCACTATACCACTTATATGTATATGTTTTCGTTTCTATTTTTTTGTAATCAAATAACTCTAAACGTATTTAGCTGACATCAACACAAACTTAGATACTCTAGGAGACAGGCTGCTTTTCCTACCTGTCATGACCAACCTGGACTCAGTGGGAGATACAACATCCCATCAGACAGATGACGACGCTCAGTGAAATGACTTTCTCATGTGGGAATGGAACTCGTGTTTTTTGAAAGGCAACTGCAGAAAGCCTAACTATTATACAATGGTCTGGTTCATTTTCTGATGAAGTGATACTCTAAAATTCATAACCAGGATTTATTTGTATTTATATAAACTGTAAGAGAGAAGTTATTGCCCTTGGAGAAAGAGCGGAAAGAAGTCTCCACCAAATAATGGGAAATTTTGCTTAGGCTCCTTGTTCTTTTCTTTATTGTTGAAAAAAGTAGTGTTTGGAGTAGTTAAAAAAAAACAACTTTCTGTATAGGAATATTCTCATACTTTTCATTGTGTTATTCTTTAGAACAATTGCAACATTTCACTTTTTGAGGACAATTATATTCTTGTGTAGCTTTAAATGATGTAGATCATTGTTCTGCAAGTTGCACTTGAATGTGTATTTTTATTCAGGAAAGCCCAAAATATTTTGAATGTTGGGGTTAACGTTTAAGAATATAGTGTAGAATCTAGTGACGCAACTTATTCTTGACTTACTAACATTTTCCCATTCTGTTCTCAGCTGGGTCTGGAGATTCTCTACAACTTCATGGTGAAAAGCCCTACGATGGAGGACAAAATGAAAAGATCAGATGTTTTCAGGTCAGTTCTGTGTGTGTGTGTATGGTTGGTTGTGGGTGTTTTGATGCAGCGTGCTTCTATTTCCTTTCCGTGTTATCATTATCCCAATTTGTTTGTTCCAGGCAAACTGTGGTCATTTTTGTTACAACTGAGAGTACAGTATGTCAGAGATCATTCCCCAGTGACCTATAGATGAACCTGCTGTAACTGTCACCTGTCCAACACAATCGCCTGTATAAACGTTCCCTTCTCATTCCCCCCTTGCATTTTAAAAATATTGTAATGACACTGTAGAAGAAGTCCAACTGTCTAAGACAACTACTTTTCTTTTCTTGACAACGGGTTGCCGTCTCGGACAATTTCGACTGTATTTCTCTTGAATTAGCACCGTAAACACAATTATAATTTGTAGTTGGTTTCATGCACATTGGTTTTCTGTTCTTGTTTTGTGTCTTGGAGTGTTTTTTTGTCAAACCATTACAAAATTTTAGTTTTACTGTATAACTATGTCTTATGAGGATCAAGTAATGTTAGATATGCAGGTTGAGGGCAAGCTCCAGACATTTTCAGTGGCATGAGTTTGGTCTTTTTTAGGTTGTTTTTTTATTAACATACTGTTTAAAAAATGATTTTGTATCTAAAATATACAGTCTAAATATTTCTCAAGGGAATGGCTGACACTTTGAGCTATATTTTTCTCCTTACAGACACATAATTAAGCTTCTGAGTGACCACACCAAGCATCACAAGCTCCAGGACCGGGCCGTCTGTGTCCTGGTCAGGCTGCTGTCTTCAGGTCAGTATTTTTTTTAATTTGGGAGAAATCTAGATACCAATGTTTAAATGGGGTTTTGGGGGCTCTCGTGGCCTAGAGGTTAAGGTGTTGGCCTCTCATTCAAAGGTCCCGGGTTCGAATCCGGGTAGCGACCGAAAAATTTTCTACTCTAAAATTGTCTCCTTTCACCTCCTTTCCTGCTCTCTAGCAATGTTCTGTTGTCTGCTTTCAATTCCACTTTCTGCCCCCACCCCCTCACCTCCTTTGCCCCCTCCTCTGGGCTCCTGACTCTTTCTGCAGCCTTTCTACTGCTACTCCTTGGCTCCTCCTTACTGCTGTCTTTCTGCCACACCCCTGATCTTCTGGTAGGAAAGATCTACACCTAGCCTTCTCGGACAAGGACGAAAAATCTCGGAGGGCCCGTGTGCAAGTTGCGCACGTTAAAGATCCCTTGGTGGTCTAAAATCGATAAGAGTAGGTTTCGGCCGCCACCCGGGCAAAATTAAAAATTTCCTACAAACTGAAAATATTAGGTGTATCCCGCGCGCTCACATGACCTTATGCAGTTGCGAGCGCCGTAAAACACTTTACAAAAACAAAATGGGGTTTTCCTTGTTTTCTTGATTGTGAGAAGTCAAAGAAGCATAACATAATTTCTAGTGTGAGGATTATTTAGTGATATTTGGGGGGGGGGGGGGGGGGGGGGGAGGAGGAGGTTATATTGGCTCTTAATTGTGTTATGCCGATCCATGTTAAGGGAAGTATCCCTCCAGGATGACTTCTTGGTAGGCATACTTCTTTGTCCATAGTATGGCTGTGAAGTATTGTCACTTATATGAAAACTTAAGGGCAATTTGGATACTCCTTTTAAGTTGGGCTTTTTGTGTTTTGTGTGGATTATGTCTAAGAGAATATTTTTTGTGAACATTACTGCTTGAGATTGCATTTTTTAAAGAGAATTTTGAATGAACCACAAGCTCAAAAGATACTTCAATTCCGATTTTATGTTGGACATTTTTTATTTTGTGCAGATTATGTGAAGGAAAAAATCTCCCTGGAAAAGCAGTGGCCGCGGCTTCTTGATGCTGTCATGATGACAATAGTGTCGTTTCCGACAGAGAGTGACACGGTGTTCAACAGTTTGATGGTCATCACACACGTGCTCAGGGCAGGTAGGAATTATGATACAGGGTCCCTGGCGAATGCTCACAGACATTTGTTGTTTGTGTCTGTGTTTGATGATAGTGGCGGAGTGTGTGGTGTAGGGTGGTGGTGGAGGTGAAAGTAGTGGTGGTTGGGGAGGGGGGAGTTGTACATATGTGTGTGCGAGTGTGTGTATTTGTGTGGTTAATGATTGTTTAAGTGACTGGTGGAGTGTGTGTGTGTGTGTGTGTTTGTGTGTGTGTGTGTATTGTGGGGGGGGAGGGCATGTGCCTGATTTGTGGTTTTAGTCTGTGCCAAGTGACAGGATCAGAGTGTTTGTTTTAGTGTGTACATGTTCATCTGTTAATGATAGATTCTTTGTGTCTGTGTCATGTTGCAATGCCAGAATGTTTGATTTGGTGTGTGAGTGTTCATGTGTTAATGACTGATGCATTGCGTCTGTGTCATGTGACAGCGTCCGAGTTGCTGGAGCTGCTGGCCAAGAAGTACCTCCAGGTGATGTTGTCGTTGTTCCAGCTACACGTGGACAACGCCGAGATCCTGAACAAACTGTGCCATGTCCTCTGGATCACGGCACACAGTGGTGAGTTCATTGCTCTTTTCAAATACCATTTGTGAAACAGCGTGGTGAAATCAGGTGCTCGTCAAAATAATGAAAATTAAGAAACTGGCATATTCCTGCGGGTTTGGGAATTTTTATTGAATTTTTGGTTTCTGGCTCAACACCTTTTACGTCAATTAAAGAACACATTTCTGTTTGGATTTTATTGAAAAAAATTGATTAAAAGCACACAAAAATGTTAATTATCAGTTTTCACGGACTCTCAAGCTAAGGAAATTTTGGCAGCCATTTTCTTGGAAATTTTACCACTGAAACCAGGTGACCCCCACCTCCTTCAATTGCCAATATCTCGACTTGTATCCAAGAGAAATGGATATTTAAAAAAATCAAAGGCAAGATAAATAAACAAGCTTTAATATGATACCAATTACTCCACATGCCTAAAAATTGACAAACGCCTGATTCCAACGCGTCGTGACACATTTAGATTTAGATTTTTGAGTAGTCATCTGCAGTTTTTTTAAACAAAGGTACAGAGTCTCAGGTTAATTACTTTGCTGTCTACTAGAAGATGAAATGACCTCCATATTATGTTCTTTTGAAATGGCCTGTCTGTGTTTAATTGGGCAAAATTAGAAAGTTGAATTCTGAACACATTACAGCTTATTGAAATTATTGTAAAAACACAAGTAGGTCTATATGTAGCTGGACAATCAAACCACAATTTTAAAAAAAAATTTTTTTTAGGACAATGTCTGAAAGATTGAAAAGTGTGTTTGTATGTGTGTGTGTGTTGGAGGGGGGGGGGGGGGGGGTAAATGAGAGGGCAGTTCTGTGTGAAACATTTTCTAGGGTAAAGGGGCATCATTTTTATTTGTGTTTTGTAAGTTTTTATGTCAAGGTGGAGTGTGTTGTATTCCTCAGCTGCTGCTCGTCCCGTGCTGGGGCTCCCAGTGTGCAACTTGATCACGTCACAGATGCCTGTGTGGAAGGCCAACCGCTCTGTGGTGGACAGCAGCTTCCACCTGGTCGAGGTTCTCTGTTTGCACGGTGAGTGGCACCACGGTGCTGGACTGATTTCTTTGTTTGTTTCTGTGTGTGTGTGTGTGTGTGTGTGTGTGTGTGTGTGTGTTTGTGTTTGTATTTCTTTGTGAGTGAGTGTGTGTTTGTGTGTGCGTGTGTGTGATTGTGTGTGTGTGTGTGTTTGTTGGTACATAGCATATATGTACATACATTTTAATTTTTAGAAGTTGATAAAAGTGTAAGTCAGTTTCTTGGATCACCATAAATATGTCTCAGCTGCTCCTCAGCTGTCATTAACAGATCTATAGAATGGTTCTTCGGTGTGGTCTGCCTTTTTTACTTCTGTTCAATGCTGTTACACCCGTCTTTTGTAGAGTATTGATGTTTTCTTACCAGTTCACTGTAAATACAATTGAACACCAAAAGGTCCTCATCTGGGGTGTCTATGAAATGTCCTTGTTTGTTTCAACAAAATTTTCCCATCCACAGTGTGAAATGAAATTTTTCATCTTAAGTATCTAGAAAATGTCTTTGTTCATTGTCTGCTGTATCCTGTATATGCTGTTGTCGGAGCTGTCCAGTAAATATCCACATTCTTGGTGCTCAGGCAAAGTGAGTGAGCTGCTAGTGGAGCGAGGCTTCATCATGGGCTCCTTGCTGCCAGAGATGATGTCCAGAACAGACGAGGCAGACTTGCAGCTGTGTGGCTTGAAGATTTTTCTCCTCACTGGTATGTTGGGACAGGCATGATCAAAGCAGCCTGCCTCCTAAATCATTTTAATTATGCTGATGAGGAGATAAACATTTACTTAAAAAGCTTGGTTTTTCGTTCACTATAAATGACTACAAACAGCTGTAAAAAGTAGATTCGGAAGGTAGTGGTGGCAATGAAAATTTAAAGCTTTAGGAGGACAAGTTGTACAGGACAGCCAAAGTATATCAATAACAAATACTGCCTGACTGCCGATGCCTGTTGTACTTACACAGATTTACTTTCTGTCAGTGGAGCACTCTATGTCCATCCTTCTGGGTGCTCAGTCATAGTATAGAATGATAACAATTCAGGCAATAGTGCTCCCTAAAACAAACCGATTATTTACTAAAAGCATTTGTAATTACAAATAGAGTCTCTTTGACTACAGGACAGAAGAAGGATAATATGTAGTCACCTGCTCGAGTAAAGAGAATCACATTAACACAATAATAATTATTTAGTGCAAGGAAAAAGTAAGACACACAGATAGAAATAACATAAGAAAAGAAAAGAAAAAGAATCTATCAGTAGCGCCCTCCAATCACCCGCTGTTTTATCAGGGTTCTTTTTGCAAGTGTAAGTTTTTGTTCCCAGCGGAGTACCTATTCTTGAATGCTGCGTTTGCTGAGCGTGCCTCTCAGTGGCTCAAGTTGATCTACCTGGCCATGTCGCGTCACATGGGCCGACCGGACGTCCAGGCCTGGGGATGTCGTGCACTGGCTCGCCTACTGGAGTGTAAGCCGGAGGTCTACATGTGGATTGGGGAGAGCTCAGAGCTGAAACAGTGAGTCAATCTGGGGCGTAATTTTTACTTGCATGTTCAAACCATCTGTCTCTACAGTGTATATGTGAGGCTTCGCAGTGAAATCAGGCGCTCGTCTAAATAATGAAATCGAAGAAATTGGCATTTTTCTGGCCATTGGGCAATTTTTTTCTCATTTTCTTTTTTTCACTCAACACCTTTTATATTAATTTAAAACCACATTTCTCTGAAGATTTTACTTAAAAACATGTAATTTTTCAATTGCCAAAGACTCTCAAGCTATGGAACTTACCAAACTTTGGCGATCATTTTCTCGCTAATATTTCCTCTGAAATCGGGCAACCCTGACGTCCTTCAATCCAAATATTTCAACTTGTGTTCAACATAGATGGATAACTTTTTCACCAGAAGCTAGGCAAATAAACAGGCTTTAAGATGATACCAATAACCCCATATACCCAAAAATTGACGAGCGCCTGATTCCACCATGTCATGACACTTACATTTAGTGTGTCTGGGTGGATGGATGAGTATGTGTCTCCTGGAGTGTAAGCCAGAGGTGTGCATGTGGATTGGGGAGAGCTCAGAGCTCAAACAGTGGGTCAGTCTGGGGTGTTGGTTTTACTTGATATGTTTAAACTGTCTGTACCCCCCGGGGGCGGGGCTATTGACGGAAGTGTCTTAAGACCATTCCCAAAGGGGGGACGTTAACTATGTTCTTATGCACAGTAGAATTGTAATTGTAAATGGGCTGATTCATCAATGTCATGCTCATAACAGTGGCTGAACTGCAACAGGGAACTGCTGCTTTTTCTTTCCTAATCCTTACTACCGTCATTTTCTGTCTACTTCTTTTGTATGTTCGTCACTCTTGTGACCCGCTATTTCTTGGGGGCCTTGATAGTTGAAGCAGACTTTGTGCTGTTGAAGCTAGAGAGGTGAGCATAGTAAGCTTGATTCCCTGTAAAGACTTCTCTGTTGACCTCCACCCCTTGGCGCTCATATGACCTTATAGGCTTGTGAGCGCTGTAAAACCTCTACTAAAACACAACAAACTGTCTGTCTCTATAGTGTTTACAGTTAGTGTGTGTGTGTGTGTGTGTGTGTGTGTGTGTTTGTGTGTGGGTGAGTTTGTGTCTCCTGAAGTGTAAGCCAGAGGTGTACATGTGGATCGGGGAGAGCTCAGAGCTCAACCAGTGAGTCGCTCTGGGGTGTAGGTTTTATTTGTTCATATTCAAACCATCTCTCTCTATAGTGTGTGTAGTTTGTGTGTCTGTGTACGAGGGTGGGTAGGTGAGTATGTGTGTGTGTGTGTGTGTATGAGTGTGTGTGTGGGTCGGTGGGTGAGTTTGTGTCTACTGGAGTGAAAGCAGGAGGTGTACATGTGGATCAGGGAGAGCTCAGAGCTCAAACAGTGAGTCAGGCTTTGGGGTGTAGGCTTTACTTGTTATGTTCAAACCATCTCTCTCTATAGTGTGTGTAGTTTGTGTGTCTGTGTGTGTACGTGTGTGTGTGTGGGTTGGTGAGTATGTGTGTTTGTGTGTGTGTGTGTGTGTGTGTGTGTGTGGGTGGGTGAGTGTGTGTGTGCGTGTGTTTGTGGGTGGGTGAGTGTGTGTCTACTGGAGTGTAAGCAGAAGGTGTACGTGTGGATCAGGGAGAGCTCAGAGCTCAAACAGTGAGTCAGGCTTTGGGGTGTGATTTGTCCTTGTTGTGTTCAAACCGTCTGTCTCTGTAATGTGTATTGTTAGTGTGTGTGTGTGTGTGTGTGTGTGTGTGTGTGTGTGTGTGTGTGTGTGTGTGTGTGTGTGTGCATGGATGTCCTGGGTGTTTGTGGGTGCATGTGTATGTGTTTGTATGTGCATACGTGTATGTGTATGTGTGTGTTTATCTCCAGGCATGTGTATGTAAATGTGTTTGTGTGTGTGTATGTGTGTATGTATATGTGTGTGTGTGTGTTTGTGTGTGTGTGTGTATGTATGTGTCCTGGGTGTTTGTGGGTGTGCATGTGTGTGTGTTTAATAGATGAACTTTGATGTTACCATGTGTATGTGATAGATCCTTTTCTTATTTGAACACTGGATCAAGAAATCTGCTTTATAAAAGACTTGTTTGTTTAGAAAGTTGTTTGATTCATACAAGTCTTTTCCCTTATATTGCTCTCTTAAATTACAATACAATAATTTAATCCTCGACCATCTATCCCCTTATCCAGAGATCCAGTTCACACTCTCTGTCTGGGCGCCATCCTCATGTATGAGAAGAAGGTGGACGTCTTTGTTCCCGCGTGCAAGGCCATTTACTACCTCACAGCAGATAATGGTCAGTGTTTTGTGTGGAATATAATAGTCAGTTTTATTTTTTCAGTTCCTCTTTACCACAGTTCTTTTTCTTTATGTTTTTTTGGACAGACCAGTAGGAACTTGAACGTTTTCTGCTAGATAAAGATTTTTATTTTTGTTTTTTTGTTGCTTTTTTGTTATCTCCTGCCTTTTTTGTATTTCTTTGGATTGGGTTGATTAAAGATCTACAGGTCCAGAGATACAGGATTATTGAACAGAAAGTAGATTTTTAAAAATTAGATCCTTTCTTTGAAATCATGGCTATTGGCTATCAGTGTGTTTCAAAATAAGACTGTGTAGGGTCCACATTTCTTAATATGTTGAAATGATGCATAGCTCTTCATCTGTCCTTGTTATGTCTTTTGTGTTACTCAATATTGTGTTTATAAGTTGTTATTTTGGTTGCTGGGTTTTTTTGTTTTTTTGGGGGGGGGGGGAGGGGGTCACTAAATTGCATCAAAACATCTTATATGAAAAGGTAGGATGTATGTACACTGAAGCACATAGATGTTTTGAATATGTGATTAAAATTGTCTTATAATACAAATTATTTTGAATTTTTAAAAATCTCAACAATCATGAAGGATGCCACTGGTAGGTCCCACTTCTTCACCATCCTTTTCTTGTTTTTGTCTGTCTTGACTTGTCTTTCCATAGACATGAGGACCATTTTCTTTTTCATGTGCTTTGGACCCAAGCCATTACCCTTAAGGTTGTCCAGATGTTGTTGTCTTGCACATTATAATATTATGACAAGTTTGCCGCTCAAATTGTGAGGATAAAAATGCTCAGATACTTTGTCTGTGGATGTTGTACCTGTTTGTCTGGTGATGTCTCTCACTGTTGCTTATATTGACTTTCAGACGGGTTGTGCCGGAACTTGATGGAGAAAAACTCTCACATCGCGATCATCGAAGGTTTGCGGTATCATGTGAAGGACAAACGGGCAGTTACTGCAGCCTGCCGAGCTATCCGCGGACTGGGTATTTTTCAGTGAGTGAACAGTTGTTGCTGGACTGTGAAGAGCTATAAGGATGAGAGAAAATTGTGAAAAAGAACAGATTGTTGTGAATGTTCTTGTTCGATCTTTGCTTCCTGCTTTTTACTTATGTTGCCTGCTAAACATCACTAGGAAATTTGAGTATTTAAAATAGAAGATAAAGTGTTAAAATATGACTTCGGGCTTTATGAAACTTCTTTGCTATTTCCCTCTCCTTGTATGTATTGATATTTAACATTTTATACGTTTGAATGCAGCTCTAGCCTTGAAACTCTCACAAAATTTGAAAATAGCTGTGCATGTGTGTGTTTGGCAGGTGATTTGATGTGGTTTATTTCTTCTTTTATATCAAATATCTATCGTCCTTTTCTCTCCTTCTTTTCTACTCTCTTGTAAGACCTCTAACTTCGGCGCATATATGACCTATTTGTGTTCAAGGGCAGTAAAACACTAATAAAAACTGAAACGAAGTCTGTGTACGTATATGTCTGTGTGTGTGTTTATTTCAGGCATGATCACAAGTGTGAGATAGCCCAGTACGACGGGGACATTCTGCACCTCCTGGTGGACATCAGCAAAAACTTTGTCAGAGATGCGGAGGTGCAGAGCGAAATTGTCAGCACTGTCGCCTGTCTGGCGGATGTCGGTAAGCTGTAGCTTAGTTTGGTTTTATATTCTCTTTCAACATTAAGGTTATTGATAATGTGAGTGGTCAGCAGGTGCTCTGGTGTGATATGCTCCTTCTTTCCTATCAAACATCTATCGTCCTTATCTCTCCTTCTTTTTTTTGTTTGATAATTTCCTGTAACATCTCTAATCTTTAGTACTTCAGTGACTTAATTGTGTTGCAAGTGCCTCTATACTCTTATTAAAACAAAGGATATTGATAATAATGATCATTGTATTTATGTATAGTACATATACCCATGCTCTGCAGCATGCTCTGTGCATTTCACAATCATCATTACCCCAGTTTAGTTGAATCCCAGCTGTGTTTTCTTTGGTTATTTTGTTTCTACTGTGTGTTTTACTTAAAGTCGCTTTGCAAGACTATAGACCTGGAGAGTCTTGTTTTTTTGTTTGTGTAAAGGCATGAATGGGATGGGGCACTGGTTCCTGCTGTAAGTTAGGACTTATGGGACACCGTTTACTATGGTCTCAAAATGTTCACTTTTCTCAATCATCTGTCGGGTACTCTTGCTCTCTACTTTCTATAGAATTTTCATTAACACCCCTGTTGTTTTTTCTTGGCATTATCTGCTTACTATTTTTAAAATCCTTTATAAAGAATATCGACAGTGCTCCTCTTCTCTGTCTTTACTTGCTGAGATAGGTGAAGTCAAATCATCTCTTTCTAGGCTTGTCATCCTACCTTTTTTGTGGAAATGCATCAAGCTACTAAAAGATGGATTGAAGGAGTCCGAAGAAACCCTGAGAAATTATAATATATCCCAATTGAAAGAGCTGCAGAGCTGGCCTACCGTAGAAAATCACCTCCCCTCGATGCTCAAGGGAAAAAGAGGATGAAAAAGTAAAAGTAAAGTACTGAGCTACTGCCACTACAGGCTGTCACTGCTTAGCCATTTCTTTCTCTGGGCTTGAGTTGCTTCAGTTTGGATTTAACTTCAACTGGTTTTAGAATATACAGTTGAACATGTCCCAAACAATCACCCAATGTAGAGGAGAAGAGTAGTCTTCCTAGACAGGTGGTCCTCTTAAACGGCGTCATGATAATATAGAAAAAGCACAAGGGGGGAAGTGGGTAGTGGTTGTTTGTACAAGTGATTGTTTTGGATAGGTGGTTGTTAGAGCAGGTTGAACTGTATTCAGAATATTTTCTTTGTAAAAAAAAATTATAGCTTTTGATAATCCAGCAATTTAACAATCCAGTGAACTGGCATTCTTCATGTTATGATTGTGTTTCAGATATGGTTCGGCACCAGTGCTATGTGCTCAACGTTCACAGTCGGGTCCTGGAGGCCATGGAGAACTTCCCCGGGGATGAGATCCTGCAGGAGGCAGCCATAGAAGCTCTGGCTGTGCTGGGTGGGGCAGGTCAGTCGATGTTTGTTTGTGTGGGTGTTTCTGTGTTTGTGTGTGTGTGTGCGTGCGCGTGTGAGTGTGCATGCGCATGTGTGTGTGTACGTATTTGTATGTCATGTTCATGGAGGAGAGTATTATAATATATCAACAAAACCAAGTTTATATAAACTGAGCTATGTTTTTCTTACATGTACTTTGGATGAAAAAAAAAAATTTCCAAGCTTTTCATTTTATGATAATGATAAAAGGATGGAAGTATGGACTAATTTATGTACTGCCCTTTGGGCGTTGTGTGGGAAATTGTTAGTGTTTCTTGGCACTTTGACATGATTTTCTAGAGGTTCCATTATTCTGTATCCTGCTTCTTGTTGTCATAGTGTACGCTTCATTGTGTTTACAGTATCTTGAAAGCAGGAGACAATTTTGCCATTGAAGAGTATGTATGTGTTTTAAAAATTTAGGCGAGGAAACTGACAAGCATTCCATAAAACTGCATGTGACGTCGGTGGCCTAGTGGTTAGGCTCTCGGACTCACAACCGTAAGGTTGTGGGTTCGAATCCCGTCAGGGGCCCGACGTTGTGTCCTTGGGAAAGGCACTATGCACAGATTTTCCACACTTCACCACGGTCGAAATGGGTACCCGGCTAAAGACAGTGAACGATCTTGTCAGTTTGATAGTGCTTGTGCGCGTGAAATCCGCAGCTTGCACTGCATGCTTCCGCGAAAGCCGAGAATGTTTCTGAGTGTTCTCAGAGGGTCTGCTGGGGTAATAGTAGTTGTAAAGTGCATAGTTTATGCTCTTGAGCATGGAAATGCGCTGTATAAATGCGATTATTATTATTATTATTATCATTATGTTGAGACGTTAAGCTAATAGTTCACTGCTGTCATGATTTTTACTGTTTGTGTAGTAAGTCGTCTCCAGTCTCACCTACCCAATGATTCTCTGTGTTTTAGCCAATGGATCTGAAATTCTTCACTCAAATGGAGCCATCGACAAGATCATCAAATGTTTGAAAAGATTTACTTATAATGAAAGTAAGTATAGTTCAGTTTTTTTTGTATCAGACTTCAAATTTATATGGTCAGCATTTTCTTGATAGCTCTCTATTTTCCTCTCTATTTTTTAATAAATAAATGTTTGAAAGGTTTACATGTAATGGAAGCAAGTATCGGTAAATTATGATTGTGGAGCATTTCATTTGTACGAATGTTCTAAAATATATTTTTGTTATTGTCACTAAAGCTTTTGATGTTTGAACGTACTCTTCCTTAGTCCTGTTAGACAGTCGTGTTTAACACTTACAGTTCTGAAGGCTCCTATAGTGAAAAACCCTCTTTAAAAGTTCATAGAGGTTCATGAACCATTCAGCTATCATACAGAGTGACTTCCTTTGGTATTTACTTCAGTGCAGTGTCTCCATTCGTTGTTTAATTGTGTTTAGTGTGCCTGGTTGCGTCGGCAACTGAAATCGCCAGCAGTAGGGAGCAAATACTACGGCCTGGAGACTAAAGTCGCAGACGGTACTGTAAGTGTTTTTTAAAAAATGAAAACAATATGGACCTGTTGTCATATTTTGCATTCTGCAGGTGTCCATTATATTATTGTTATTAATATTATTATTATCATCGTCATCATCATTTTCATCGTTATCATTATTATTATTATGTCAATGTGATTCTCTTTACTCAAAAAACCCCCAACCAAACAAGACATCCAGAAGAAAGGTCTGATGGCGATCCAGATCCTGGCTGAGTGGAGTTTGGTCCAGTCCACGGGCATGTGTCAGGAGCTGGCTCAGATCATCCGCTCCACCATGAGGAACTATCCCGACTCGCTGCTCATACAGAAAGAGGTAATTTCTATTGTACACTAACGTCTGTGCTGTTTTGTGCCCCAGGGCTACTTTTGTTTGAAAAATAAGGAGAGAGTGAAAAAAAATATAAGTAGTGAAATGAATGTTTAGAGATCCCTGTCATGTGCACAGAGCTTACATTTAAAAAGGAGTCATTTTTTTAATGAAGTCCTAAATGGTGTAAAAATGTACAATGAATGATGTACTCAGTGTTTTTGGAAACTTAATGGGTGTATAGTAATACTTTTGAAGGTTTTGTGGAATTCTGATAGATTTATAGACATATGTATTCAAATTGTCTGTTTTTATCTATGATTGCTTGGACTGTTTAGTGCATGAGAAATGGATGATGATTTGTTTTTGACATCCTTTGTCTAGGCAATCGTGTCAATGCAGATCTTGGCAGAGCGAGGTGTGGAGGGAGAGAGGCGAGATCAGTACAGCAACATGGCCGAAGTCCTAGTGGAGATGGATTGTCATGAGCTACTTTTCCAGATTCTGGAGAAATTTGATGATGATCAGGGTAACTTATTAAGAAGTTCGATGATTATCAGGATATCTAATTGATGTTTGACAATGATCAAGGTAGCTGAGAAGTTTGGCTTTTATCAGGGAAACTTAATAAGTGTGACAATGATCAGGTTAACTTAAGAAATAATGGATTATGATGAGGGAAGCTTCAGAAGTCTGACAATGATTTGGGTAGTTGAAGAAGTAGGATTGTGATCTGGGTACCTAATTAAGAAGTTTGTCCTGATCAAGGTGACCAGTTACAAACTAACAGCAGTGTAGTTGGTTCTGTAGAAAAATTTTTGTTTGTGACAAGGGATAGACTGCTGGAATTGTCTGTGTGTTTGTGTCTGTAAGTTCATAAGAATGCTTGCACAGGTGAGTGTATTTGTATATTTGAATGGGTAAGTTTATTTATGCGTCTTCATGTTTGCCTGTATGTGCATGTGCTTTAATTAGTGTGCATTTTGGATGATGCAGTGTGCTATTTTCAAGGGCCTTATTTCAACATACATAGCTCCACTTATCTTTGAGTATCAAATACACATACCCCATCACAGTGATAACCTCTCTAGTTCATTCTCGCTGAAAAAAATCTTTGTTGCATCAAAAACTACTTTTTGTTTTGGCAAATGAGTTTCCCAAACACACAGTAATGCTAACATGTGATGGGGGCTGTTGTATAGTGTTAGAAAATCTGAGATGGTGGTTACTTAAGAACAGTAATCGTGCATGGTTGTGTTTGTTTGTTGCTGAAAGCTCTATTGGTTTGTGAGTTTAGCATGTGTACTATAACTTCTGAGGTTTTTCTTGCCTTTGATAACATGGCCATGATACTGTCAGGAAACTTTCCTCTTGTTGAAATAGTTTTTCGGCTTTACACTATTTGAACCCTTGTTTTTAATATTTAGGCATACGTTCGTATTGTTTATTTTCTCGACCGCTCAGAATAACAGTGGGTGGTTGGCGGGTGCTCGGGTGTGGTTTGCTTCTTCTTCCCTATCAAACACCTTTCGTCCTTATTTCCCCTTCTTTTTTATGTTTGTTACTCTCTTGTAACACCTCTATTCTTCTGGCGCTCATATGACCTTATGTAGTTGGGAGCGCGGTAAAACCTCTACTAAAAAGAACCCCCCCCCCCCCCACCCCCCAAAATAACAGAATAGAGTTCACAAATATCGAACATGTTTGTTATTGTTATAAGTCCTCAGAAACTTTGATCTGGTTATAAAAGATAGAAATATGTCATCTGAAGGGAAATTTATTTTTAGATTCTGACAACTTCACGGTTGTTTAATAGTTGCTTCTGTGACAGTAAGTTGCTGCTTCAATTTTTTTTTCTGGTTCTAATTCGTCTATGGTTTGTTTGCTGCAGTACATGTACTTACCCTCTTTTATGTTGAATTGATTGCTTTCTTTGAGGTATTTCTTGTACAAATAGTTTATTGTTTAGAAGTACTGTCAAGATATTACTTTATCTGTATCCCACGATGTCATTATTTCTACACACTGCTCGTCGCACATGTACAGAAAAAGTAAATAGAAATAGCTATTGTTGTAGAAAATAGTCGGGTTGCTAACATTGATGTTTGAACTGAAGCTTGCAGCTTGTCTGTTGTTTGTATGCATGCATGGTCCACTCCACAGGGTTGCATAACTTGGCCAGTGAGTGCTTGTATGTCTTAGGAATAGAGCAGGACCTCAAGTCTCGCATGTTGCTCACCGCATGCTCCCGGGGATTTATAGCTGTGAGGAATGACTTCAATAGTTTAGCAATTTATCTTCTGTGTGGTTTTATATAATTTTTTTTTTTTTGCATTGCCTGCTGGTCTGTGACCCATTTTGAAAGTATAATCAGCTATGTGGCGAAGATCTTTTAGAGTTAAAAAGTTCTATCTGACATTTTAGCCGTTATGAATTACAAAGACCACGTAGTCAGAAACCAAATGTTCGATCTGCTCTATCAAAATCGTAAGATAATTTGGAGTCGTTATCAAGATATTCAAAGAATTGCATTCGAAAAAAGCTTTCCATGTTGTGAAACTTAAAAATTTTTACGTCGACTTTCTCCAAAGTAGGTATTGAGCAGATAGAACTTTGCAATTCTAAGGTAGCGCATTGCATATTCAAAACAGGATAGAGATACTTTTAACTTAATTGATATTTGAGAATAGGTTGTGACCTATAGTTGTTACATCTGTTATTTTGAAATAGATGTTTTTATTGTTTTAAGATATTAGAAAACAGGATTTGCTGTTTCTTAAACTAACATACTATGATTTTTGTAATTTTTCGAAATTATGCTGACACACTCAGAAAAGCATTTCTGAGTCTGTTTGTTTTTGTTGTATTGACAAAGTGTTTCTTTGGGGCGTTTTTTTCCTGCAACATTATTGGCAAATGTTGGCGCAATACTGATTGGGATGAATGTAATTTGTGATAGAAAACCTGGGCTGTTCTCTGCAAATTTTAAAGAGTATTCTGATTCATACAATACATTTGATAAATATACACTGAGAAGAAAATGTCTCCATAAATAATTGCCTTTTAAAAAGGTAGCCTATCAGATAAACTAAAAAGACTCCATCAGTGTGACGTTGAAATCAGCCTTTTTTCTTCTTGTCATAACTATGTTCTTTTAATGTGTTCATTTCTTCATGAATATATTGACTGCGACCAGTTGGGGCAAAGTTAAAGTTTTAAAAGTCCTTTGTGCTGGAGAGTCTGGGGCATTTCTTGCTCAGGTTTTGAAAGACTGAGTGTTATCTTCCTGTTTAACCCTATCCGTACGTCGTGTTTTACTATCGTATCCATACGACATCGGAATCCCTGTGCCACCACTTTCCAAAGAGGAAATTTTCTCGTTAATCCGATCCGTATGCTTTGCATAGCTGTCTGTCAAAATAATTTTTTGAGAAATGCTGATCAAAGATATCTTCGTACTAGAAGTATTCTAAAATGTGAAGAATACAACCACAGGGGTACAAAATGACCCCAGGGCGTACAAATAGGGTTAACCATGAGGTTTCCAGTTTTATGGAAAGTTCCATGTGTTTTGTGATGCTGTGTCTAGGGTGCGGAGTGCCTGCTGGAGGTGGGTGCGGACGTGAACATCGCCCAGGGCTCAGACAGTGACACGCCTCTCTACCTGGCTGTCAACAACAACGATGAGAACATGGTGCGCTTCCTGCTCAGATATGTAAGTCTTCAGCCGGAACACTTATCATAATAATTGCATTTATTTAAGATAAGATAATATATCTGTATTGTCCAGATCCTGGCACATTGATTTGATGTTTCACCATGTATTATACGCACACACACACACACACACGCGCACACACACACACACACACACACACACACACACACACACACACATACACACACACATGCTCACGCTCTTGCACACACACACACACACACACACACACACACACACACACACACAAACAGTACTTTACAACTATTATTACCCCAGCGCCCTAGAACACTCGAAGAGATACAGTGCAAGGTGCAGATTGCACGCACTCAAACACTGACAAACTGACAAGATCTTTCGCTGTCTATAGGGGAGTACCCATTCCCACCTCAGTGAAGTGAGGAAAATTCACATAACCTGACGTGATTCAAACCCAGGATCTTATGGTTGCGAGACCGAGAGCCTAACCACTAGGCCACCGATGCCACACATCTTGTGTGTAGTTGTGAGTGTTGAGCTTTGGTGTATAACGGAGTACATGATATGAAGCCCCATTGCCTCTTGGTAGCCTGCTTGCCTTTTGGGTTTGTGCAGTTATTGAACGAGGGGAAGTCATTATTTTTTGGTCAGTATGCATGCAGGAAATGTTGATATTTGCCAGCAGCAACGCTGTTTCATTACGAAATGATGACATTGATAGAAATCATGCTGGGGAGGTGTTTTAATCAATATTTTAAAGAATGGCTGTGGTTATTAAAAACTGAAATTACTTAAGAAAATGCAACTCCCTTTTTGCTTGAATACTGTGAAGATAAATTGTAAGTCTTGAGTAATAAGCTATTCCGTCTAATGTCCTCAAGCTAATTGCCTTTTTTGTCACTGTTGTTGAAATGAGGTTTGCACCAGTGGGTGATGTGAGGCCACCACTAGTAAAGCCTAGTTATTTCATTCTGTCTGGTGTTTCTGACTGTACGTCTTGCTTCTTCCTGTTCTCAATGACCATTGTTGTCTTCACATGCGTCTCTTCGACTTACCCAAACTTTGATGTGTGGGTGATTTGTGGGTGATCTTGTGTGGTTTGCTTTTTCTTTCCTGTCAAACATCTATCGTCCTCATCGCACCTCTTTCTTTTTTGTGTTTGTTACTCTCTTGTAATACCTATAATCTTGAGCACTCATATGACCTTATTGTGTTGCAAGTGTCGTAAAACTTTTAGTGGGTGGTTTGCGGGTGCTCTGGTGTGGTTTGCTTCTTCTTTCCTATCGAACATCTATCGTCTTTATCTCCCCTTCTTCTTTTTTATGTTTGTTACTCTCTTCTAACACCTCTAGTCTTCTGGCGCTCATATGACCTTATGCAGTTGCGAGCGTCGTAAAACCTCTACTAAAACTAAAACTTTTACTAAAACAAAAAAATTTGATGTGCCATATGTTAAGTCAAGTTGTGTTTTATATTATACTTCTCAGGAGGTGAGAGATGTCCAAACTTCTCTGAGGCTGAGTCTTGAGCGTAACTACCACAGCATTACAGGCCTGCTCCTTTCCTACATCGGTCAGGACAGAGAAAGTGAGTATCCTCTCTGATATGCTTTTTGGTGTTGGGACATTAAGAACGAAAATTAATTAGAACAGAGTGGAAGTAGTAAATTCATGAAGTAAGAAAATTTATGTCTGACTTTTGGCCTTTTTTCCAACCATTTAGCTGGAGATGGGGGTTTTTTTGGTTTGAAAAAAATCCTGTGCCATTTAGCTGATGTTTTATTAAGTTAATTGTGTTTTAGAATATTTTTTTGTTGCTTTATTAAGTGGTGAAAAGCACTCTAGGCAAGTCATATTTTAGGCTTTAACTTGTATTTTAGTTTTTTAAAGTAGATTGGAATTGAAGAATTTTAGAACTCTTCTCTCCTCGCAAGGGTATTTTGATCTCTCTCATCTATTCTCATAGTACACCATATTATTTCAAGCTTGCCTTAATTATTCTCTTTCTCATAACAACTAATATCGACTGCTTAGTGGAAGACTTCACCGTACACCATTTTGAGAAATGTTGTATAACTGAGTTTTTCACTAATCAGTTGATATATACATTGTTATTCCTACATGTTTGCTTCTATTTTTCCCAGCGGGTACGGTGGTCTGGTCAAATGTTGGGTTGGGTGACCTCCGACCTGAGTGGGTCATGCCGACGCTGTATGGTACAGAGCAGACTATCCACGCCCACTCGTCCGCCAGCAAACACTTCGTGGCCAAGATCAAGGACAGCGAGCTGAGAAGGAATCGGCGCATACACCAGTTTGTCAGTGACACGAACCTCGAACAGATTAGAAACAAGTGCTTCCGCTACCGGCGACCCAGCTCTGACATCCAGAATGTTGTGTTTGACGCAATCCACGAAATACGAGGTATGTGCTTTGTTTGAGATCGTCCATGGGTATGTGCTTTGTTTGAGATCGTCCATGGGTATGTGCTTTGTTTGAGATCGTCCATGGGTATGTGCTTTGTTTCAGATCGTCCATGGGTATGTGCTTTGTTTGAGATCGTCCATGGGTATGTGCTTTGTTTGAGATCGTCCATGGGTATGTGCTTTGTTTGAGATCGTCCATGGGTATGTGCTTTGTTTGAGATCGTCCATGGGTATGTGCTTTGTTTGAGATCGTCCATGGGTATGTGCTTTGTTTGAGATCGTCCATGGGTATGTGCTTTGTTTGAGATCGTCCATGGGTATGTGCTTTGTTTGAGATCATCCATGGGTATGTGCTTTGTTTGAGATCATCCATGGGTATGTGCTTTGTTTGAGATCATCCATGGGTATGTGCTTTGTTTGAGATCATCCATGGGTATGTGCTTTGTTTGAGATCATCCATGGGTATGTGCTTTGTTTGAGATCATCCATGGGTATGTGCTTTGTTTGAGATCATCCATGGGTATGTGCTTTGTTTGAGATCATCCATGGGTATGTGCTTTGTTTGAGATCATCCATGGGTATGTGCTTCATGGGTATGTGCTTTGTTTGAGATCATCCATGGGTATGACCATCCATAGGTATGTGCTTTGTTTGAGATCATCCATGTGTATGAGCTTTGTTTGAAATAATCCATGGGTATGTGCTTCATGGGTATGTGCTTTGTTTGAGATCATCCATGGGTATGAGCATCCATAGGTATGTGCTTTGTTTGAGATCATCCATGTGTATGAGCTTTGTTTGAAATAATCCATGGGTATGTGCTTTGTTTGAGATCGTCCATGGGTGTGTGCTTTGTTTGAAATAATCCATGGGTATGTGCTTTGTTTGAGATCGTCCATGGGTGTGTGCTTTGTTTGAGATCGTCCATGGGTGTGTGCTTTGTTTGAGATCATCCATGGGCATGTGCTTTATCTGACACCATTCATGAGTATGTGCTTTGTTCGACATCATCCATGGGTATGTGCTTTGACTGACATAATCCTCGAAATACAGGGTATGTGCTGTTTGGCACCATCCATGGATATGTGCTGTGTTTGAAAAAACTGAATGAGATATGGGGAATGTTGCATTTAATAAAAATCTGTAAAGTATGTGAGTATGTGTTTTGTTTGATAAGAATCCATGAGACAGGGGGGGTGTGTTGTGTTTGACGCAATTCATGAGATACGAGGTATGTACTTTTTAAAATAAATCCATGAGATATGGGATATGTGTTGTGTTTGGTGAAAGTCCATGAGATATTGAAATTGTTTGGATTTTATGAAAATTCATGAGATCGATGGTGTGTGCTCTTGTTGACGACATTTACCAGGTATGTCTTACATATTGTATTTTATACTGTCCCTGAGGTACTGGGTATGAGTTTGTGTCTGATGCTATCCTTAAGGTACTGGGTATGTGTGGTGTTTAATACCATCCTTGAGACATATAGTATGAGTTTTGTGTTGAACAAAATTCTTGAGATAATGGGTAGATGCACGTTTTGGTGAAGAATATTATAATAATTTCAGTAAGATAAGCTGCTTCTTTTTGCTGTCATGAGCATTTTATAGCTGGGTAATTCCTCTGTTTTTGAATAAGAAAAGCAAAACAGGCAACCTGATATGTGGCCAGCTGCTAAAAATTTACGTCTTGTACGCCAGCATGATTTTTCATCAAGATACATTCCATGCAAAATGTTGTCTTTGTCACGCTAACTTATCCTCACTTTCAACTCAACAACAACAATAACAACCACATACTTAGCCAAATGTTGCACGTTTCACAGCTCAGACACAGACCAGTGGAAAGCCACGCCGGCCCAGCACCATCCCCAGGTTCAACGACAGGAAATGGACGCGGCGGAGGATCATGGGCAAGGACTTGGTGTTCACAGACGTACGGGACCTGCCCACCTCTCCACTGCCGTCCCCGGAGGATTTGTCTCCCTTGGATGGTCTACCGGCTTCAGATGGCTTAGATGGTTTGTTGTGCTTTTACTGGAGAGAGGGGGGGGTGGGGGTGGAGGTGTTTATTTGTCTAAAGGGAAGGTGCTTGCTTCTTATGTGTATAACATATAAGCTTTACCATGGATAAAGAAAACTTCTTTGTCAACTATCACTGAGATCCAATAATTTCTAGGGAGACGTTTTAAAGCAAATTTGTAGTTCTGAGGAGCCTACTCCATCATATCACTGATGATGTCAAAATGTGCTAGTTATATATTAATAAGTAGCCCTCTATCAAAAAAGATATATTAAGCATGACAAAAATCCAACAAAGCACATGGTTTCATCATGCCATTCAATAGCTTATGTCTTATTAATCAAATCTTCGTCATTGTCCGATATCTTTGCTGTTTGCAGAGACACCTGTCTTTGAGCACTCGGAGGATGACCTGGAAGACTGGAGGATGACCACACTGACCGGCGCCAACATCCCATTCAGCCCGTGCGACCCCCGGCGGCCGACAGACCCAACTAAAGCCAATGAGCTCGTACCCTCTGGAGTCAGGCAGCTGCCAGGTGGATTCCACAAACCCAATGCTTATTGTAGATCTTCTTCTTGTTCTTTTTGTTCTTCATCTTCTTCATCATCTCCATCTTCTTCTTCCTCTTCATCTTCTTCTTCTAATTGTTCTTGTTCTTCTTGTTCTTGTTCTATCTTTTTTTTTCTCCTCCTCCTCTTACTTCATCCTCCTCCTGTTCCTCCTCCTCCTCCTGTTCCTGCTCCTCCTCTTCCTCCTAGTTTTCAGCCCACTGGACAGCATTGTGATGTTCTCCAGATGTTTTCTGCGTCCATCCTTCCAAAATTCCTGGGTTGTTGTTTTTTTTAATATTTTGTTGCTGGCTCATAAACTCTGGCATATTTTATAAGATTTGATAGATTTACTCTTACCCTGTGCACAAGAAGGATGTACCTTCGGTTCCTAAGTGGTAAAGATATTTTGCTAAGCATCTTTGCTTTTCTCAGGAGATACACCCATACATTTCATGTTGGCCTTGATAGGCTGTGTCAAAGCAGCTGCTTCCTAAAAGGTCTAAAATTATATTGATGGGGACATCACACTTTTGCATCCAAGTAAATCATGTATTTCGAAAAGTTGATATATGAAAAAAATCTGGGATTGATATTTCAAAAATAAGATATTGTCATATCTTGCTTGTTCCAATGGAATGTGCGAGGTGCCACTGTAATTAACTGACTATTACTCATGTCCTTCCCAGGTAAATGGCTGCGAAAGTACAATCCTCATGAAAATCGCAGCCCTCGGCCTAGTTACAGCAGGTCGTCCAGCGCGGGGGAGGGGGGCGAGGAGGTAGCAGAAACACCTGCTGCAGTCTTACATGTGTCGCCTGAGGAAGACTCCTGGTCTCCCGGTGTGCTGACGTCTGACCAAGTGGTGAGTCCATAGGAAAAATATTTCATTAAAGAGAGGACAAGCAATTGTTTATTGAGGAAGGAGGGGGGGAAGGGGAGAGAGAGATAGAGAGAGAGAGAAATAGTGTGTGTATGTGAGAGAGAGAGAGAGAGAGAGAGAGTGTATGTGTGAGAGAGAGAGAATAAGAGAGAGGGGGAGAGGCACAGAGAAGGAGAGAGACAGACAGAGAAAAAGAAAGTATCTGATAGTGATAGGACAACTAAACATTGTAATTACCAATTGGCATGTGCTGATTGTAATTCCTTCCTTGTGTCTTTGGTGACATTTTTGCCATAAAACAAGTCTTGTTGTATAGAGTGGGTTTTTGGCTTAGTTTTTTTTTTCAGTCAAATGTGAGGCATCGTGGTGAAATCAGGTGCTCGTCAAAATAGTGAAATCTTGGAAACCAGCATTTTTCTGCCTGATTCCACGCGTTGTCTCACAAATATCACTGTCTAGTGAAATGTTAACACTCTCACACTCACACACACACACACACACACACACACACACGCACAGACAAAAAAGATAGGTTTTCTATTGTTCCTCTGTCCTGTAGTCCTCAGACACTGAAGTAAGTGGAGCATCGAGGCTGAGCTCTGCGGCTGATGACACCGGTAAGAACAGAAAGAAAGAAAGTTTTGTTTTAAATTTGTTAAACTTTTTCATTTTCTATTTTAAAGGGGATGGACACCATCCACTAGAGATAATTGAGGCTAATCAAAGCCTCATCAGCTTCTATAGCAACTGTCTTTCTGTGTACTCAAATACAAGGCCGAAAAGCCAGGAACAGATACTACACTTTGATGAAGCCAAAAGGTCAAGAAGCAATGAGAAAGAAAATATTAAAATATCAAACAATGCTGTTGAGACTACTTGTGGATGAGTGATCATTTTAGCTGTGGCCATGAGTTAGTCGCAGTGATTGCTTTTTAATAAACAGGGGGCCAGTTATGATGTGCTTATAAATGTACCAATTGGTGTAATATACATGAAATGTGATGTGTTGTAACTTTGGACTTACTTGTGGTATGTATTATGTAAAATATGATAAATTGTAATCAGAATCTTCAGGCAAGGATGAATAGAAGAGGCATTTTTCTCCTTTGTTTTTAATCTTTGTCCTTTCACAAATTTGGTTCATAATGGTTTGTACATTCATTAAATTTTCATATTGATTGTTACCTAGTGCATGTCGATAAAGGTTTATCGTCCTGAGACAAAATTCTTATTTGGCCCTTAGCCTGAAAAGATCATTCCCCCTCTCCCCAGTCGTAGATAGTGAAGGTTTTACAGAGTGGTGCTCCAATTCAGAAGGAAGTATTCATAACTTTTTGTTGCAGGGAAGCCAGATTACCCCGCATTATATTGTGCTCTGTGTTTACAAATTAACAAAATGTGGGCCTAGGAAAGAGACAGACTGACAGACAGACAGAGAGGCAGACAGAAGAAGAAGAAGAAAAAGAAGAAAAAAGAGAGCAGGTGGGAAAAGAGACAGAGAGAGAGCAAAAAGAGAAACAGAGAAAGAGTTCTCCTCACCTGTGAGTTGCCAATTGTATGATTATCTTCCGTAGACTTAGATCTGAGTGTGGATGACATCAAGCAGAGAAAGGTGGAGTACCACATCCGCCGTCTGGACATCTCCACCAACTTCATCGCCAGCCTTGACCTTCTAACCAGCATGGGAGGGGATCTGATGAACAGTTTCGCCTGGCTAGAGTTTCTGGACCTGAGTGGGAATAATCTAGAAATTCTCCCTGATGATTTTTACAAGGTATGTTGTTGGTTTTTTAAAGTACACACAACTTTGTTCAATTGGGAGGGTTGTTCTTTCAGTTTTTCTTTCCATTGCTCATTTTTTCTCTCTCAACGACTTTCTCTCTCACATTCTCACTGCCTTCTGACTCTTTTTTCGTATTCATTCAGTTACTAGCTGCCTGAGATTTCTTTTTATGCATATTTACTCAGTGCCATCTTCTGTCAGTAGTTTTTGTATGTAAGAATGTGTGTGGGTCTGGCAGTTGTGTGTGTATGGTGTGTGTTGTTTAATTGTCTCACAATATGCATTTTCTGTCTTATGATTTGTTTGCTGTATTGAATTATAATTCTGCCTTTAACAGTGCTTAAAGCCTTCTTAGGATTAGGTGCTGCATGTATATATATTATTACTATTATTGTTCCAGAGCCTGAGCGGTGTCCAGACTTTCTGTCTTGGAAACAACAAGTTCAAGCAGTTCCCGCTGTCTGTCATTTTCTGCACAAAACTCGTCCGCTTGGATCTCTCTGGCAATCTGGTACGTTGGTATTTGTTGATAGTACCTACAAAAATTAAGAGCTTTTTCTAGTTTTTTGTAATGTAGGTCTTCATGATGCAATGTAGGATATTAGAAGATAAGTTTTTGAAGACTTCCCAAGAAAGATGGAGGTGAAAATGTTTGTGCATATTCCTGTGTACTTCTCAAATGAAGGCATTCCACTTCACTTTGACTCCTCTGACCTGCCTGGTAATTCTAAGTTACCATCTCAATTTCTGGAAGAGGGGGGGGGGGGAGGAGGAGGAGGATATATAGTGTTGCAGCCTTTCAGATGATGTTCAGACACCTTCATTCAAATGTTCCTGTCAGAGTTCCTGTTTGCAGCAAGGAAAACTAAGGTTAAATTCAAGTTGTTTTCCAAAGACAAGTCTTTCACCGCCCAACTGCGGATTGAACCCTTAGCCTTAGAGATATGGCATATATGATATGTTATTGGTGTCATACTGATTTTGTCAAGGAATGGAATTTTCTCATGTTTTATCCGGTATTAGTGCATAGACGCAGGTCAGTTTCCTTTCTGTTTTGGTGGTCACTGGGTGATTTCAAAGAAGTTTCTTTGTTGGTTGTCAGATTGTTGATGTATGATGATTGTCAGATCATTGCTGAATGATTGTTGGGTGTTCATGTGCAGTCTGCTCTTAACTATTTTATAAGTGTTACTGTTCTACCTTTCTTTTTGCAATTGCTTTGCTATGTTTAAAATGTAATATTAAGTTTAAAGAATATGACAAAAAGGACCTTTGTTTCCTTAATAGATGGAGAATGTGGACCTGGAAGAACTGGCCCGGCCGTTGAGCGTGAGCGAGTTGATTCTGTCCAAGAACAAGTTGTCCCAGTTCCCCACAGCGATGAACGCAGCATTGCCACACCTCAGTCTGCTCGACCTCAGCTGGTGAGCCAAAAACTTCAGGGGATGGGGAAGGGGGGAGGGGGGTTGTTAACTGAGAAAACAAATGACATGGAGATGATTTTTTTTATAGTCAAAGCTGACGAGAAATTTGAGTTAGCCAGTCAGTGAGCGACTTTGTAAAAGCGCTTTGGTGGGCTGGCCTCATTCCTCACATGGATGACTTTTGCCTCCCAAAGAGATTATTCTATGGTGAGCTGATTTCAGGCAAACACCACATCAAGAGAATCAGAAGTCAGTGAATAGTGAGTGAGAAAGTCGGAGAGAAAAAATGAGCAATGAAAAGAGAGAGGTGGCTGAACAAAACTGTTCCAGATAATCATAGTGATGGGGAAAAAAGACATGATCAAAATATGAAATGGAATCATATAACTGATAAATAAAAAACTCAGATTTTTTTTATTGAAGATGTATAAGCAATAGGCTTGATCATAAGAAGCGAGGTTACATTTAATGCTGAGAAGTTAAAGAAAAAATTTTGTTGCACTGATATTTTTTAATAAATATTTCTGATTTCTGGACAGCACTTTTTGTTTTCTTTGATTTCTGGAGTAATTACTTTTGTGAGCAACAGTTTCAAATCCTCTTGGTTATTTTAAAAAATCTATCGTGACTCCCTCAGCAATGACCTGAGCACGCTGCCCAACACACCCACAAACCTGTCCGAGATGCGTAGTCTGGACTTGTCCCACAACAGAATACAGCTGATACCTGATGAGTTTCTGCAGGGCTGTCATAAGCTGGAGTTGTTGCTGGCAGCTAACAATGGACTAGGTGAGGGAGCATGTTGTTTGTGCATGTTGTTTGTTTGTGTGTGTGTGTGTGTATGTATGTGTGTGTGTTTGTAGTTGTTAGTTTGTATTTCTAAGTGAATGCCTATTTTTGTACAAGTTTGTGAGTGTAGGATTTTGAGAATTTTTTTGTGTACATATTATTGATGAGTGTTTGTTTGTAAGTGTGTTTGTGAGCATGTTTCTGTGAATGTATGTTCGTGGGTGTATTTATGTGTGTCTTAATTCTCATGTTTTATATTGTGCATATTTGTACCGCCGTGGTTCACATGTAAATTGATGCCTCTTTATTTAGCTTTTCTCTGTATGTTACTTCGGTTTTATGAATGAGATCATTGCTTGTGAATACTTGCGGTTGTTTTTGATCACCCGACAATCTCTGTTTCGTCTTCTTTTCTTTGCTCTGTTTTTTTACGGCTTTGCTTTGTCAAAATATCATAAAGACAGTGGCATTGCTGTGTTTCTCTTCATTTTTGACAAATATTGGAAGTGTAGACGTGGACCGAGTTTTGTAGAGGAAGAACTAGGAGAAGCAAGAAAGCCATAGATAAACAGGAGGAGGATCGGGGCTGTTAGAGAGAGATAGAAAGAGACAGAGAGAGAGAGAGACAAACAGACAGAAAGAAAGAAAGAGAGACAGAGAAACAGACAGAAAGAAAGAGAGACGGACAGACAGACATTCAGACAGACGAATGAGAGATAAAGATTATTTTTAAAAAATATTTTTTACAAATTCAAGGGTTTATTACTTAAGACATTTGCATCATATAATACCATGTATATCATCATGAACATGTTTATGTGTTTGCTTGTTTCTGTATAATCCTCCTCTCTTTACCCAGATGTTTTGCTCAGTGTGTTTGTCTGTGGGTAGTTGGAGGGTGCTCTGGTGTGGTTTGCTCCTTCTTTCCTATCAAACATCTATCATCCTTATCTCTCCTCCTTCTATTTTGTGTTTGTTACTCCCTTGTGATGCATCTAATCTTCGGCACTTATATGACCTTATCGTGTGGCAAGTACCGTAAAACTCTTACGAAAACAAAAATGTCTGTTCTCACACAGAGGTGCTGCCCAATGAGTACGTGGCTACTGCACTGACCAGGCTGTCCACTGTGAAGCTCGGTCATAACGACATCACAGAGAAGGAGCCTTTCTTTGTGCCGAAGTTCATTCTGGAATTGCTAAAGTATGTCATTTATTTACCTGTGCTATTCCACTCTCTCAATGATTATTTCAAACTTCACCCATGTGTAGGGCCAGTTTTCTTTAGAGTCTTGTATCAGATGCTTAAGCAGGCTGTATTTGCCTGACTGTTGCTTGCTTAGCTTGCTGTACATTTACCCAACAGCACCTAACTACTTTTTGTTGATGTTAATGTTTATGGTTTAACTCTTTAAATTCTGAGTTTTTTCTAGTTTCCTTTTTTTTGTGTTTTTTTTGTCACCTAAACCTGGTGCACTATGTCTCATTATAACCCCTAAAGCTTGCCTCCAACTTCTAAATATCAGAAACAAAGGCTTAGTCATTACTAAAAAACTTCGTTCGGGAAGAGTTCCGAAAAACAAACAAAAACTAGCACTAAATGACACAAAACAGTTGTCACTAGTATCAGATGCTCCCAGCATCTGGTGGGGAACAGGGTTATTACCGACAGATGCTGTGGAGCCTCCAATGGAGTTCAAAGAGTTAACATGCAGGTGGGAATTAACATAATCTCTCTGTCAGTAAGATTAAGTTTAGTCAAAATGCTGACATGAAAATACAATGGGCACTGGGGAGGTTGCTTTCTTTAATTCTGTTTTGTCTTTATGTCTTCATGACTGTGTCTTACTCAGTTTGATTCTTGCCCTACCCAATTGCATAGATGTGTGGTGCCACGGTTCTAGCTCTTGAGGGCAAATGAAAATGCTTTTATATTGGTTCATATAGCTACGATTGAAGAAAATAGAATTGAAGGTTTTGGTAATAATCGTCATTTGGTTTTGCTGTAAATCTCAGAGCTGTTACATGATTTGGTCTGAAAGTTCTGGAAATCTCTCCCAACATTCTTTGCTCTCTCCACATGTGCTGCCCACATTCAGTGTGAGGACGGTGGACTTGTCAAACAATGGCCTGATGGGCTGCCCACCTCCTGTCTTGTGGAAGTCCCAGATGCTGAGAGAGCTGATGTTGTCCAAAAATAACATCTTTAAGGTGAGGGAGTGAAAAATAGTCCTTGTTAAATTTTTATTTGTTTAATTTTTGAATTTTTTGGGGGGAGGGGGGGGGGGATAATTCTTTGAGTGGGTTTGGAAAAGGCGGAGTCTGAATATGTGGAATATCTAAAGTTGCTTGATTTGAACAATTTTCTGTTCATCTTTTCTTGGCTAGCAGTCATTGTTCTTGGACTTGGATCAAAAAGATTGGCTTAAGCTAATTGACTTTAGGCTCCCAGTGAGTCACAGTAAGAACATTTATTTTCAATAAAAGTTGCGTTTGACTTACCAAAAGAGTTTTGCTTGTTTAACTGTGATATAGCTGTGAATCACAAAAGAATTTTCTTTTTTTATTTGTAAGTTGCATTTGGCTTTCAAACTGAAAAGAAAGCCTACTTTTTTACCTGTTTGTAAGTAAGAGGCAGCATAAATTCAATCCACTCGATATTCTCAACGACTTTCATCCTCTTGTGACTCATGACTGACAGACATGTCATTCTCTGGCATTTTTTTCCCATCAGCTGAACTTGGAGGGAGCCCGGGCATGGAGCAAGCTGGAGAAACTTCATGTATCTCACAACAAACTCTCAGAGGTGAGTCTCAAGTTTCTGGCTCCTGAAGAGGGTCCTGACATCATACTCAACAGACAGAAAGTTTCTACTATCATTATTGTAGGAGAGGAGGAAGGAGAGGTGGAAGAAGGAGAGAGGAAATGAAATGAACTGCTCAAAGTATTGTTTTAAAGCATTTACTTTTGAGATAAAGATTTTTCAGGTGGATTTTTGTCTGTTATTGACAATTGCATTATTTCACTGGCAGCTGTCCTGATTGCTTGGTCTCAGTTGTGAAAATGAATCAGTTCTGGGCATTGTACTATTTTTACATAATCTGAAATTGGGATTGTCGTCAACAGGCAGATTTCTGTTATGTTCAAACCTGAAGGGTTGAAGAAGAATATTATTGTGTGATATATTTTTGTTGAGCTTTTAAACACAATGTTATAGATTCCTGTTTTTTTGTTTTTCAGCTTCCAAAAGAGATTGGGATGCTGTCCTCACTGCAGTCTCTGGACCTGAGTCACAACCCAGCACTCACCACACTGCCGGACGAGCTGGGACTGTGCTCACGACTCTGGGAGGTCAGGCACACCTCTGTGTTGGTGTTTTCTTTTGTTTGTTGAGTGCTTGAGCTTTTCTTCTACTCTGTAAATTTCCTAGTATTTTTAAAAATGCATTATAGAGTTTTTAACGTAGAATAGAATTAAAGAGAATGAGCTAACACCTCAAACATGCTGTCCTATGCCAACCAGATTGCATTATTTGAAAAGGAAGGGGCAAGGAAACCCCACCCCCCCCTGAAGTTAAGCCCCCCAAAATGATACAGAATGCGTACTCAAAGGTTGCTTTTTGCACCGAATCCTGTTGAAAAGATAGCCAGAACTAGTGTTCCAAAAGGGATCTAATGATAATGAGAACATTATGCATCCTGCTGGAAATGATCAGGGAGCAAAGTCTGACACTGGGGTAACTAATGATGTATTTCAAAGGCCTTTAACTGTGAGAAACGGATAGGATAGATATACACTGCTGACTGTCATTCTGACTCTTTGTTTGTTGTCTGTGGCCATTTCACTTTTCTTTCGAAAATTAAAAGTGTGTTCGTATTTTGATATGCAAAATTTCAATAATCTAATTAGTAGTGCTGATGTGACTGCAGACATTAATGCAAGGGAAAAATAGTCTGTAAAAGTTTTTTCTAACACAAGTTGGTACTGCCTCAGAACATACCCACTGAGGCAGCCATGTGGCAACCTAGTGTTAATATCAGTTGTTTTGTCTGGTCAGATGCCCCTGGACGGCCTCTCTCTAAACCTGGACGGTGGTTTGACCAGAGGCCGAGTAAAAGATCTCACTATGTACCTGCACAACCGGCTCAAGAAGGTGAGATGAACATTTTCTTTACTAACAGAATGAGTAAGAATTTTTTTTTTAAAGGTTTCGTAGGATAAAGTGGGTGGTTGAATTGTGCCAGGGATGGAAACCTGATGGTTTTCTATTCTTTTATATCCGGGGACAGTGATACTATCTTTATTTATTTTTGCTAGAATCTGGACAGCAATAATGCTATTTATCTTGTTGCTCTCCTCCCCCCCCCCCCACACACACACACACACACACTCCCCCCCCCCCCCACACACACACACACATTTTCATACAATTTACAACATTATCAAGTTATTTCCACAATGTGAAAGAAGTAGTTTCATCTTCTCTCTACTGAATTTAGTTTTTGTATGTCTTTTTCTCTGACCCCTATTATGTGACCCTGTTGTGAGTGGAGGGAATGTGAGGAAGTGTTTAGAAGAGAAAGAAACACTAAATGTGTAACCTACCTTTGTTTTGTTATTTTCTTCCTTTTTTTTTTTCATTTTTGTGTAAATACACAATTTAACAATTTGCACATTCTTCATTCTATTATTCTATTTGGCTGTCAAGGCTTATCAATGATGTGACAGTGAAGGGGTTACGATGAATGAAAAAAAAACTGACAATGTCTTTAAATGCTTTTTAAAATTTGCTCTGATTCAGGCTCAGCGTTACTTCCGCATGAAGCTGATGGTGGTGGGCTACGGCGGCCGAGGGAAGACCAGCCTGCTACAGGCGCTCAAACGTCGGATCAAGAACAACCATCTGGAGAAACCAGCGGTCACTGTGGGGGTCATCGTGGACGACTGGAAGTAAGAGAGGGTCATTGTGGCTTTGTTACTTCTGTTGTTTTTCAATGTTTTTCTTTATACTTTTTACATCCTATTAAACATAAAAGGTCATTTTAAAAAGAAAGGCACTGTATGCAGTAGGAAGTTGGAGAGCACCACGGGCAGGTCTTCTTTATTATATTTTTTACTCTGTTAATTCTGTCTTTTTTTTGGTGCTTTTTCCCTGCACTAAAAATCATGACCTTTATTTATTGTTTAGAACTTTCTTTAAAATTTATTCACCATTCCTAAGATATTCTCTTCTGTATTGTCATTGTAAGTCTCATTGTCTTGCTCGCAAGATACTTCATTGAGTGTCTCCTTCTTTCAGAAGGGACTTATCCCTTTCAGCTTGTACTGGCCATGACAGACAGATTTCAAGCAGGCACCTCTAAAATATTCCATTTTATGTCGATATGGAGGGCTAGGGACATAGAAAATTTACCATTTTTTTTCATCTCCCCAGGTACGAGCGCCAGCGGTTTGGTCGGACGGTGACCTACACCCTCAACACCTGGGACTTTGCCGGTCAGGAAGACTTCTACAGCACCCACCAGTGTTTTCTCTCCAACAGGACGCTGTATCTGGTCAGTGTTGGTGGTCCATCACGTCTACTCATTCAAAGTCATATGAATACGGAGCTGATTTTTAGTAGTATCTGGACAATATTTTGCTTCCTCCCAGCAAGATAACTTTGTGTGTCAGTGTACCTGGTCTGTGTGTCTGATATGTGTGTTTTTTGTTGTCAGAGTTTATCTACTCAAATGGGTAATTTCATAAACTGCTGCTTTGATGTTAGTATGTGCATTATGGTCTCCCTCCTTGCCTGTCTCTCTCTCTCTCTCTCTCTTTCTCTTTATGTCTCTGTCTTTCACTCTCACTTTCACTGTCTTTTGCTCCCTCCCTCTCTCTCCCCCCCTTTCCCTCCCCCCCTTTCCATCCCTCCCTCTCTCTCTCTCTCTCTCTCTCTCTCTCTCTCTCTCTCTCTCTCTCTCTCTCTCTCTCTCTCTCTCTCTCTCTCTCACTCTCTCTCTCTCTGACTCTCTCTCTCTCTCTCTCTCTGACTCTATCTCTGTCTCTCTCTTTGCCCCCTCCCCCCCCGCCCTCTCTCTGCCCTTTCTCTCTCGGTCATGGAAATCCTGCTGGGCTATGACTTCCATATGGCTTCTAACATCCCTCCCTCCTCTCTATCCTTTCCCCTTTTCTCCCCCTCCCCCTTCTTTCTCTCACTCTCACACCCTCTCCCTCCCTCCCCCCGCCTTTCTCTCTTTCTCTCTCACCCTCCCCCTTCTTTCTCTCACTCTCACACACACCCTCTGTGTCCCTCTCCCCCGTGGGAGTCCAGGTGGTGTATGACATCAGTATGGGCACTGAGGAGATCGACAAACTCAAGCCCTGGCTGTCCAACATCCACGCCCGAGCCCCTGGCTGCCCCGTCATTGTGGTGGGAACTCACTATGATCTATTACCTGTGGGTGAGTACCTCTTTGTACAGTTATGTATTTCACACTTTATCAGGTAAAAGTAGAGTTAGTCGTGCCTACTTTAAGGTATCGAATAAGCGTCTCCCCCAACCCAACTTATTAATTTTCAGATTTTTTACGCACCCCCAGCTCCTTATTCCATACACCCCGTTTAGTATTTTCCAGCTTGTCATAACCAACGATCATGTGAAACATTATATCTAGAATCTAGATATCTGAATGAAACTTCTTTTTTTTTTGTAAATGGCAAATTACCCTCAGTATTAGTACCGGTACCGGGTTGGCTACCTCAATTTTCTGTGCATTTTAAAAACTTTTGTACATTGGTTTATATTTTTTATGAAACTGGTTTGTTCCTAAATGGGAAAAGTTGTCACAGTAACTTACTAAAATTGCTAAAAGTGTTGTTTTTTTATTCACTGAAAGAGAAACAAAACAGATTTGTTCCTACTAGCTCAGGGGTATGAGGTTGAATGTGCCAACCCACCCCCCTTTTTATTCCAACCCTCCGTTTAATAATTTTGGACTTGTCCCCCCCCCCCCCCCTTTATTCTTTATTCCTCCACCCCCCCCCCCCACCCCCCGTTTGTTCGATACCATAGAGTAGTTGGAATGGGTTTGACATAGTGTGCAGATCATCATTGTATTACAGTGGGGTTGTAGTTGTGTCTTACAGCAACAGGAGGCTATGGGCTGTGGTTGTTGTGATTCACAAAGGCAGAGGTGGCAGATCAGCCCAGAATGTGCAAGTTATGATGACTGAGAAGGCACAATGATAGTTCATTCATTAATGTCTGATGATGACGATGTATTGTGTATTGTTTTGTCAATCCTCAGAGGGCAGAGAGACGGTTGTCGCTGACTTTGAGCTGAAGCTGAAGGAGCTGATGCATAAACCAGGTAAGGGCTCTCTTGCTGAGAGCTTTGGTGCTTTTTAACTCCCAGTGGAGCACAGACCATCAACAACATTACTGCAGTGAAGCCTGTCCTGAGCATCCTTTTCTATCTGTTTCCATGATGTCCCCGCTTTTTCAATTTCCACTTGTCCCGCTCGCCTCCATGTCATCTTTGGGCTTCCCTTCTTACGTTTTCCTTGTGGGTTCCACGTTAAAGCCTGCCTGATGATGCTTGTCGAGGGTCTCCTCAGGGTGTGTCCAATCCATTTCCATTTCTTATGCTTATCATACTGGAGTATCTTTTTTTATTTATGATTCATGCAGATGAAAGGGTTTTTTTTCCTCTGGTTATTTACCTAGTTGCTTGGGTAGGTCGGATGCCACCTAGTTTTTTCAGACAAGTACAAAGAATTTGAATATCCAGTGTTCTTATTGCACCTGCTGTAGACACATTGGTTGTTGAAAGTTGGAAGAGAAGTCTGCCTTGTCATTCTGGATTATTAAATCTTATAAGTGTAGAGACTCAGCAGAATGAGGAAATATGAATACCTTTAATAATGACATGTAGTCATCCTTCTGAAATTAATTTAATTCAGTTTAAAAAACAGCTTATATCTGATATATACAATCTACTCATCTGCATACTTTTGTACTGCTGTTTGTATTTGGGAGTGTGGTACAGAATTTTGATATAGTAATTGCGTCATCAAAAGTCACTTTTTTGTGTGTTTACCCCGCAGGTTTTCCTGTGATCAGCTGTTTTGCCATTGTTGATTTGACCAAAGAGTCGCCTGAGCTTGACCAGTTGAGGAAGAAGGTCAAGGACACGGTTGATGAGTGAGAAAAACTTTGACTGTTGTTTTGTTTGTTATGTCTATCTCTATCCACTGTGCTAAGAATATGAGTTGTAAACTTTGAAAAAGAGAGTGTACATTTTGAAATGGAATTCAAGTACACTCTATTGTCCAGGATCTGGACAATAGAGATGTACCTTACATTTTTTGTCTTTATTTTAGTTCTTGATAAAAATATCAAAAGATGTGTACTGCAGTTTAAGTTATATGTCTTGTTTAAATATTTATCATTTCTTGGTGACGTTTGAGGCTGAAATCATCTGCATGAGTGGAAAGGTTGGTTGGTTTTTTTTAGAAACTCTGCATTGCACTTGAACTGTTTATTCTCACTTATTTCTTTTATTTTCTCTCAGTTTCAAGATCAAAGGCCAGCCCGTGATGGGTCAGAAGGTTCCTGCAAGTTATGTTGTGAGTAACTCTTTTGTACAGAATCTCGTGATGATTTAGATGCATTTAGCATAATATATATAGACCAAGCTCATTTGAGGGATTTTTACAGCATTGTAAAAAAAATAAACGAGAATTGAGAGTCAGTATGTCTATTACAGAAGAAGGATATCTGTCATGGATTTCTTTTTCCTCTCTTTGTAAACAATGATGGTGGTGGTGGTAGTGATGTTGGTGCAGACATTGATAATGATGATAATTGATAACGTCTGTAATTTAATACTGTGTTGTTTGTATAACTGATCTTAGAGACTAGGAGAGCTGCTGAGCGAGGAGTCCAAGAATGTAGAGAAAAGCTTCCCGGTCATCAGGCATGGTCAGTTGGTACGACTGGTCAGGACAGAGAACCTTGACTTGGATGAGGATGAGGAGTTGAAGCAGGTGAATAGTGGTCAGACTGCAACATACGAGTTAATCAACGTTTAGGCCTTTGGGCTCAGAGTATTTATGGCAATGTCAAATAAGCATGCTTTATCCCTGTGGTAATGAGTACGAGCAGACTCTGCTCTCTCTCTCTCTCTCAACGAACAGTATTTTTAATGTTGGTTGCAGTGAGGGACTGGAAATGATTTGTGTTCTGTTTTCTGTTGTGTTATTTTCTTTTTCTCTAGGTTTTTGTATAAATGCCTTAACTGCTTTAAATTAATTTGAGATTTTGATGAAATTCTTTTCTCGTTTCTGCAAGAAATGTGTTCTGATCATTTATTGTTCATCGTTGCTAACAACACTTTTGTTTTCAGCACTACTGCCAAATTGATGTTACTTTCATAATTTATGTAATGGAGGGGAAAAAATGTTGTCAGAGAAAGGCAGTGGCACCTCTTGTCATTTATTCCTTTTTTATACTCTTCATGCCCTTGCAGTCAGAAATACTTTAACTGCATGTCTATTTTCCCTTTACATTTATGGTGTGTTCCCATGCTCCCTATCAATACCTCTCAGATGATCTCCATGGCTTCTAGGGAAAATTGGATTAGGCAACCCTGATAAGCAATCCTTTGTTCTCCACAAATGCACATCAGCTGTAGAGTACAAGATGCAAACATCACAAACTTCTTTGAAGTTCAGTGAAATACTTTAATACTTGAGGTAATAGTTTAGTATAATATTTCAAAAATAAGCATAAAACACCCTTGTAAAATGTAATGCTTTTAAATGCTGCCTAGCAGTTTGTAAAAATTAGTAATTCCTTCTAGCAATAACTCTGAAAAGAAGTAGAAGAAAGAGATCGTACGAGAGCACCTGCCCACCACCCATAACAAGACTGAGGACTCTGTCACTAACTCCTTTTACCTAATAATTCTTCTGTGTCAGGCCATCAACTTTCTGCATGAGAGCGGAGTGTTGCTGCACTACAATGAGACCACTCTACAGATGAGGGACTTCTACTTCATCAACCCGGGCTGGCTGTGTCGTATGATGGCCCAAGTGGTCACTGTTCCTCAGATAAATCCATTCATTGACAGGAACGGGGTGAGTCAATGACATAGCTCTTCTCTTTTTTGCTATTTTTAGGCTTCGTGCCGCATCCCTATTCAGTAAAGGATTGAGTGTTTTGTTATGTTAGTTTCCAAGGAGATCACTGTTTCAAAGTCTTTGCTGAAGAGCTTCAGGCTTTACTTAATTGTGCTATTTAAAAAGACAAGGGTCTCAAATTGTCATTTTAGCATCCAGCATGACCTTCCCAATTGTTGAAAATGGCAATCTGTGACTTATAGCTCTCTATATTATTAAGAGAGAAAAAAAGTGGATAGTGACATTGAGTGGGTGGTTAGCGGGGGCTCTGGTGTGGTTTGCTTCTTCTTTCCTATCAAACATCTATCGTCCTTATCTCCTTTCTTCTTTTTTATGTTTGTTACTCTCTTGTAACACCTCTAATCTTCTGGTGCTCGTATGACCTTATGCAGTTGTGAGCGCTGTAAAACTTCTACTTAAACTTAAACTAAAGTGACTTTGAGAAATCTTTTCTGTTTGCCTGTTTTCATATGTATGAACTGTATGTATTTCCTATGGCTACAGCATTTCAGTGAAATTGTAATGCCAAAGAATAATTCATATGTGTTGTGTTTGTGGCAGGTGATGAAGAGAGTGTCGGCCTACATGCTGTTTACAGGCCGAGAGACGTCCGGGGACAGCAACTTTGTATTTCCTTCCTCCCTGATACCCCAGTATCTGCATCTCCTGGAAAAGTCAGTACTTGATTGAGTAAAGATAATCATAAAGATAAAAGGAATGGATTTTAGATGTTTGGAGACTCACAGGTTGTTATTACAGTATCTCAAGACCAAATAGATAAGTCTGTCTGATCAGAGGTTTGTCACACAAAAGCAAAATGCTACACCCCACTTAGTATAAATTTCACTGGATTAACATCTGTTGACTTCAAAGTAAAGGGTGATTATCCTGACTTAATCTTAGGTTCTTCTTCATTTCATTCCGGCTTGGATCATGGGGATCTTTGGCTGAGACAACAGTCAAAATGATTTTGAGTATTCACCTTAAGCTGCCTCCTCCCCACTTGGCAGGCGCGATGTATAGGGAAAGGTGAGAATGTTCCTAGGGTCATAGTCAGAGTAATGTGCTCATTTCCTGATAAGAACCAGTCATAATTTTCTCCTTTTGATAAGTTCTGTGCCCTAGATAATGTACGTAACAAAGTTCATAGCTCAAAATGTGGTATTGCTCTTTATCTTCTTCAATAAAATTTGTGTGAATCAAGGTGTCACATGCATGTCGTGTAGTTTGAATGTCTTTTCAACAGGTTCGAGATTGCCTTACCGAGGAATGAAGAAGAGCTGCTAGTGCCATGCAGACTTCCCTTCCGGAGACCCAACATTGAACTTCCTGTACAGAATCGCTCTGGTAAGTTATCTACAAAGTGTTCGCCTCAATGCAAGTGATATGCGAAATGTTATAATGATGTAGCAGAAATTGGGTTAAACAGTGATAGCTTCTGATTTAATAGGTAAGGCTGAGTAACCTTACAATTATCTTTGTTTCTGATTTTGTAATTGGAATTATTTTATGGGAATAAAGATTTTCATTTTTTCATTATCAAGTACAATTACGAATTTCCTATTAATGATATTCTTTTTAGTTCAAGTCACGTGTTGGCATGGACTGTTTTGATCCCGTCTCCTGTAAAATTGTTCATGCAGAATCCACTGCACAACTCATTCTTCTTTTTCTTATTCACTGTATCATGACAGAGTTGGTGTTCCGCTACTACTCCATGCCGTACACACCCATTGGCTTCTGGTCACGCCTCCTGACGAGACTGATCGTGTTCTCTGAGAGCAAGTTTGTGGAGGTTTGTCTTTTGCTTGTCATTGTTATTGATCCCGGTCTTTTGCTCGTCAGAAAACAGATTTCTGATAATGCTAGTGTGAGCATGACTACTGTCAGCGTAGGGGAGATTGACACTTATTTAAGTATTGGAGTTGTCATCAATCTGATTTATTTGTTATTTTTATTGTTAACGATCCAAAATTCAAGTGGCCTTAGGCAGCAATCCAGAAGTTCAGCAACTTCTGGATGGAGAACAATGACAACAACATGCCATGCTGTCACCAATCCAGACTTTAAAACATTTTCCACTTTTCATTGATTCCTGTGGAGAAATTTATTGGTTGTTGTTTTTTTCTATATGAATATGTAAAAACTGACATATACAAAAGATTGTTTTTCTCCTGTTTTCAGAACATGTTGTACTTGACTGAGGAGCCAGTCATCCAGTATTGGAGGGAAGGCATCTTTGTCAGCTGGAACTCTGTAAGTTTTGGGGGGTTTTTAATATTAGAAATTCGTTTCTAAAATGAATTTGAATTTTTAGTATGGCTTTGTATGAGCCTAAGTCATGTTGTCATGAATTCAGCTGCAGGTCAATGTTTCCTCTTTTGCTTCGGTGATGTGTTAGGATGTTAATCTGAGGACACAACGGGGAGTATATAAGACAGGCATTTTTGATTTGCTGGAAAATATATGAGGGAGTGAGATGCAAAACCCGCGAAGCGGCATTTTGAAAAAAAAATTGAGATTTTTTGTATATAAATGCATATTGTTACTGGCTAACAGATGTGCAAAGTGTTTTCTGCTAAAACCCAACACATACTCGTACTTTATTAAAGCCACCAAAAAAATCTTCTTTTTAGGCATGTTCATGCATGTAGCAGCATTTTAAAAAATCTGATTTTCTCAAAAGTGCTAAAATGGATGTAGTGGGTTTTCCATCTTAGCTCGTCATATGTTCTGTACTCATTTGTCTTTGGCTTCGGATATTGATTTCAAATGATTATTTTGGTCCCTCCCACAGGTTGCCTTCATCTTAGTGGATGGCCTCAAGTCTTCCTCGGATGAGATTCACCTGACAGTTCCCAACACCACGCATGGTTACAGGTAAGTTTGATGCGGCCTTCGTCACCCAATGCTCAAGTCTCTGTAAATACTGAGATTTTAACTACTAGAGCACATCAAAATATCAAACAGATAGAGATGCAGTTAGGGCATAAGCCTAAAAAGATTTTGTCTGTCTTGAAATATATTATTATATATTATGTGTATCATTACATATCTTAGAGGTCAATAGCTGCTCATTACTACGTAAAATAGAAAAAGAGACTTTGTAAACACAAATCAAATATTGATATATTCATGAGCATTTTAAGCTTTTTTGTTAGCATTGATAACACTGTTGACTGTTTTCTCTCTCCCATATTCCTCCATTACCTTCCTGCAAAAAGTGCAAACCCTCTTTTACTTACTATTGAAAACACTTGAGCATAGATGCTCAGATATGTATGACTGATGTAAGCTTTGATATATTGCCTTTACATCTCATAGAGCATAAATTTACGGAAAATTTAAAGTATAAACTCAAATAAAATTTTGTTTGTGTACGTCATGCTGCTGTTTGTTTGTCCCCAGACTGTTGGGCTACCTGGTGGACCACATGGACTCGCTGGTGGACGAGTGGTTCCCTGGACTGACCGCCATTGACCCACTGCTGGGCAAGGAGCTGCTGGAAAAGTTTGTCCCTTGTACTGACTGCCCAGGTGGGTGAGATGAGGACTGACTGCCCCTTTTTGCTGCAAGCTTAACTCGCTGCCTACCCACTATATATTTCTTATGGCTTTCCCAAGAGTACATGCCGTTTCGATATAATATATTTTAAAAATCGACTGATTGACGCTGAGACGCAAATAAAGCTGCAGTGAAGTCAAGATAAAATAAATTCTGAACTCGAAAACTGCGAGGGCTGCGGCAAAGGTAAACATTGAAGCAGAAATTTGACCGCAGCGTGAGAAGGCAGTGAGTTTTAAATGTTTTTATGCTGTTTAGAGGCTGTAGTCATCATTTTTAAGATTCCAGTGTATTTGTACTATTTCTTTTTTTTTCTAATCTGTGGATGGAGAGTCCAGTATTTGAAAAAGCAACCACAAAGTCAAGGAAGGAGTTTGAATTCCTGAAAATCAAAACTATTTCTCTCTCCCATGTTCCTAGACCGGTTGATTTCTTAACTCTTACGAAAATAAGTACTAAAAAACAAACCCTTTTCTCTCCCTCAGGTCTTTAGTGCTATGTGTTTCGATTTCTTAACTTCTACAAAAACAAATAATAATACAGGTTTCTGGAGTTTCAGGGTGTAAACTCCCTAAAAGTATAAATATCTAAAAACCAAACTTTTTGTCTTTCCCAGGTCCCCAGAGCTATGTGTTCAGGTTTGAGGATCTGCTGAAGCAGTCGGAGCATCACAGTGACATCCTGTGTCCAGAGCACAATGGCAGAGTGGAACTAGCCAAATTGGTGAGGTCCTGAGTCAGGGAAGAATGTTTTTTTGTCAGGATAATTTTTCTTGGTTTGTGGTTTCACGGGAGATTTTTCTGTGCTTGTCTCCCCATCTACCATTGTCTGCTGTGACAATTACTTATTCAGAGTAAAGAAACATTAGTTCTCTTTTCAGCAATGTTGTCAAATCGCCTTTTTAAGAAAATTCATATGTAATACATATTCAGTTTAAGATTGGAGAATCAGTAATGTGTCTGTGCAAGGAGGCATCATAAATGCTGAACATCTGTGACAATAATGCAGTGTTCACGATGTCCTAAGGAAGGCAACATAAATGAATGAATGTCCACCGAAGGATAAATTGTAAGGAAATTCAAAGACCTTCAGAAGACCTTTGTGTTTGTGTGGGCAAGTGGCGTGGCGGGTTTATCTAGTAAACACAGAAGATGAAGATCAAAAAGAAAAGGGAAAAAAAATGAACATATAGGAGAAGAAAAAGAATTGAAAGAAGAAGGAGGAGAAGAACATAAGAATGGGAAGAGATGAGTGCCAGAAGATGAAGGAGAAGAACAAGATGAGGAAGAGAAAGATGAAGGTGCAGACGAAAATGATGAAGAAGATGCAAAAGAAGATTATGGACATGTAGGGGATGGAAAACGGAAAGAAGCATAAGATGCAAGTTTAGATGAAGAACAAAAACCCTCTTGACTTGAATGTCACACCTCGTACTTTGATTCCCTTTTTTATTCTAAATGTGACCACCTATACTTTAAAAAGTAAATGCAGTACTTATTTTTTCTTGAAACATATTATATTATTAGAATTTTTGGTCAAAAAGGGCTTATTCAAAACCTTTTATGACATGGGCAAGCATCTCCCCCTGGGAGAAAGTTTATTCTGAAAGGTTGTCAAGAAGGCTGGGGAGCAGCTATTCCTAATAGGCCTAGGTCCTTATTGATAGTCATGATAATTCTGTTTTTCCTCAGGCACCTGATGTGATGCTGGCAGACATTGAACCCAACTTCCATTTGGATCTGGATCAATTTGAGTTCAAAGAAAGGTGGGCTTAGCATAGATTCAGGGGTGCATAGGATTCTAATGATTGGTGTTTTTCTTCCTAATTTTGCATTGCTACAAGTTATTCACAACTTATCATATTTAACAGTACTCTTGTCTGCTATTATTTTGATTCTTAACTCTCCCTATCATCCGGGCACAGCAGCAAACAGTTATGGGCTCTCATAACGGTAGTGTGTAAGAAATGGGTAGGTAGAGGATTTTTTTGTTAGATCCTACGTTCTGACAGACTTTTGTTTCTTTCTATCTCTTACTTTTTCCCGGGATTAATTAAACACAGACACAACTCATCGAAATCGTAAGATTCAAGATGAGGATTCCTACTCTCCATCCCTCACCCTTACCTTCTTTCATATTCACAACCTTCAAATGACAGTAGTCACGCTCTATAAAATGCCGTCAGTGCATAAGTCTGATGCCACGTGGATAGTGAAAATGATTAGTTAAGGTGTAACCTGTGAAGAAACTTCTGTGGTCAAAGTTGTATTTTAGTCCCTTGAGTTCCCAGGCTGACGGCTCTGTTCTTGTTACTTTCATTTTCATATGTCTGGTGGAGATAGAATTAATATCTTCATCTTCCTTTGTTGGCCAAGTTAACTTTTTTGTTACGTTTTTTTTATTACTGCTCACATTTTCCAGTCCTGAGAACTTGTGTGGTGATGGAGGCTTTGGCTCTGTATACAAGGCCAAGTACAGAGGCAAGGTGGTGGCTGCTAAAGTGTTCAATGCTATCGGAGACATCCACCCTCACAAGATGCTGAGACAAGAGGTGAGAGTAGGCGTCGGAGTAGATCTCTTCTTGTCAGTTTTTTTTGTTGTTGTTTTTTTAAATTTCAATGAATGACGACTAGTCTCAACTAAGTCAACGGAGGCAGGCCTCTGCTGTGAAGTTTCAAAGTCTGTTTTAACCTAGCAGGAAGTGAGTGATCATGGTGTTGTCTACGTGGACAAGAGACATTGACCATGTCTCTAAAGAACCTATGGCTATGTTATGCTTTTATTTGTATGGAAATGTCTTGTTTTGAGGCTTTTAATACAACCTTTTCGTGTTTTTTTCTGTAAGGGCAGTGAAGGAGTACTTATGAGGTATCATAAGTGCTCGAGTATTGAAATATATTTCACTCTTTGTTGCAGAGGTTTCTTCAATGGGGTTATTTAGAAATTCATTATTATTGTTGTCTGTTAATTACTTTGTTTTGGACAAGGGCGAAAATGTTAAAACATCTGTTCCCTACGGACAAACCATAATAGATAGTGTGTGTATTTGGACCCATAAGTTTGAACGACTGGTATAGAAGATAACTTTAGAGCTCTATTCTCTCCTCAAAGGCCACAATTCTCCGCCGGCTGAAACACCCGAGTGTCATCTCCCTGGTGGCAGTGGCCGTGCGGCCGGTGAGACTGGTCGTCATGGAGTTTGCTCCGTGCAAGTCTCTGGGTGGAGTCCTTCGCTCATCCACTCATCTGAGTCGCACCTTACAGCTGAAGATTTGCCAACAGGTAAGTGACCTGCCCATGGCTTGTGTGATGCTCTTGTCTGTGCATGGCTTTTACTGTACTCAGCACCCACCGTCAGTTTCTGCATTATGTCAGAATCTATTTCTTAAGTGCAAAGTCTTAGTGTATAATTTTTCTGCCAGATACTTTTCAAATGTTTTCAAATAAAAATCATGTATATTTTGTGGTATCAATTCCAAAGTACCTCAGTGTGTATCAACACTTTTGTCTTTGTATATTGCTGGATTCACTGACCAAAATGGGTTTTTTTAAATTGAGAGTTAATTGAGTCGATAATGGCATGTTTTAAAATGCTGAAAATTAAAAGGAGTGTTTCTAAAATACACTGTTGTGATGGAACATTGTCTACCACTACAAATGTTGTCTTTAAAACTGAAAAAAGAACCCAACATTTTTGTTTTTCTTCTCCTCAGGTGGCGGAAGGTCTAGACTACCTCCACAGCCTGAAGATCATCTACCGTGACATGAAGCCCGACAACGTTTTGGTCTTTAGTCTGGCCCCAGACAGCTTGGTAGGTGTTGGGTTCCTAAAAAGACTTGTATGTCTCAGATGTCGTTTTGCATGTTATAGGTGACCTGAGATTGAATCTCCGATGTGGTATACTTCAACTTAAGTTGATTGAAGAAGTTCCGTACTGACTCTCCATCCTCTCTCCATCCTCTTGGCTAACACCTGGTGGAGAAAAACATTAATTCAGAAGTCAGTCATGCCTTTCAAATAGTCTCAATGTGTAGAATGTCATTGCAAACTAGAACTTTCCATGGACTTGCTGTTTGTCTCTCTTCTACTGGTATACACAGAAAGCAGTTTGGCAAAGTGGTTTATTACTTTGTTCTTAGTGCCTTTTTCTGTGGTCTTGCAGAGGCTCATAATTTTGTTTTTTTATCAAGTTTTATTTTGGTATCATGGTTCTACTGCTGTCTTTTGAGCTGGTTAATATTGACGAAGGATACTTCTGTATTCAAAGCTTGTTCTACCTTTGCATGTGGCTGGAAGGTGCCACTGGTAGTTCCTACTTATTGTCTTTCCCTCTTTAGTTATTGTATGTATGTTTCACTCTTTCCCTGCTCTAATTGGCCATTATTTGGTCAATCGGCTTCTCTTTACTCAAATAGACCAGTTTGTATCTTTTTGTTGTTTGCCACAGATCAATGCCAAGATTGCAGACTATGGTATCTCACAGTTCACTACCCTGTTTGGCCTGACAGCCCAGGAGGGAACCCCAGCCTATCGGGCTCCAGAGGTGATTCGGGGAGAGACGTACTCTTTCCAGGTAATGAAGGATGTTCGTGTAAATGTCATTCTAAATTGTGTTTTATTATAAATACGTCGAGTTGAACCTGATGTGTTGCATTAAGCTAACCAGGCACTCTTGTTTCCCAAAAAAAAGTGATATATAGTCGAGACCAATGGGTTTTTTTTGCTTTAGAAACTGTTGTGCATGAAATTCTGTCACTCCAGAAAGTCTGTTTCTGTACGGAGAAAGTGTTTCTGGATAAAATGCTTTTAGTCCCAGTGTAAGTGCACACAATACATCAAATGGGGTTGGTTTGCCTGTCTGGCGTAAAGTGAAGGAGGCTAGGCCTAGCATTCAGTATTTCTTCGTAGAGTGCTAAGGCCTAGTGTGCCTTTTTTCTTCGGAAGGTTTGGCCTAGTGTGCAGTATATCTTAAGAGGGCCTAGTGTGCAGTATATCTTAAGAGGGCCTGGTGTGCAGTATATCTTAAGAGGGCCTAGTGTGCAGTATATCTTAAGAGGGCCTAGTGTGCAGTATATCTTAAGAGGGCCTAGTGTGCAGTATATCTTAAGAGGGCCTGGTGTGCAGTATATCTTAAGAGGGCCTGGTGTGCAGTATATCTTAAGAGGGCTTAGTGTGCAGTATATCTTAAGAGGGCCTAGTGTGCAGTATATCTTAAGAGGGCCTAGTGTGCAGTATATCTTAAGAGGGCCTAGTGTGCAGTATATCTTAAGAGGGCCTAGTGTGCAGTATATCTTAAGAGGGCTTAGTGTGCAGTATATCTTAAGAGGGCCTAGTGTGCAGTATATCTTAAGAGGGCCTAGTGTGCAGTATATCTTAAGAGGGCCTGGTGTGCAGTATATCTTAAGAGGGCCTGGTGTGCAGTATATCTTAAGAGGGCCTGGTGTGCAGTATATCTTAAGAGGGCCTAGTGTGCAGTATATCTTAAGAGGGCCTAGTGTGCAGTATATCTTAAGAGGGCCTAGTGTGCAGTATATCTTAAGAGGGCCTAGTGTGCAGTATATCTTAAGAGGGCCTAGTGTGCAGTATATCTTAAGAGGGCCTAGTGTGCAGTATATCTTAAGAGGGCTTAGTGTGCAGTATATCTTAAGAGGGCCTGGTGTGCAGTATATCTTAAGAGGGCCTGGTGTGCAGTATATCTTAAGAGGGCCTAGTGTGCAGTATATCTTAAGAGGGCCTAGTGTGCAGTATATCTTAAGAGGGCCTAGTGTGCAGTATATTTTTTTAAGGGGACCTGATTTATGTGATTTTTGTTGTTCTATACCTCACTTCTATTTTCAATCTATTGAATACAGTGTCTCTAATTTTATACTTCTGGCATTTCTGTTAGAGTTGAGTTAGTTATTCTTTCATTTATGCCATGAGGCAGATATTTCAGGAGGCTCCAGTGGAAGAACACTTAATGAGCCAAGACTTACAAATGACTGAGCAGTGTCAGTTACACAGCTTTTAGATGGGCTGTCACTGGGGTGTGTCCTTGAACAAGACATGATGACCCTAGCTCAAAAACAAGACACGGCACTTTGGCTACTAGCAATATGTTAGTAAAGTTATCAGCATTGGTATTATATTTTGTATTACAGGATTTTAATGTGATGTCTGAATGATATTCCATTGTACCCTGAACTTCTCCAACAGGAGAATCTGATTTGGGTTATTTTTTTCCCTCGCTTTACTTCACAACAACATTTCTTGTGTTTGTATTCGAAATTCTCCAAGATATGCTTCTTTCTTCTCCTTTTTATGGTAACACGAACATAAATTCACCGGGAGTTTTATGCTTTTTTGTCTAACCCCCCCCCCCCCCTAAAAAAAAAAGAGAGATCTAGGTCATTTTGTTTTTACACAGGCGGACATTTTTTCTCTTGGGGTTGTCATGTATGTTGTTCTGACTGGCGGCCTCCACCCATTTGATGAACTGGAATTCAAAAGTGAAATAGACAAAGCTTTTGCTGAGGTGAGTTACACTAGTGAACTTTGTATTTGTAATTTGACGAGCAGAAAAAATAAAAACTGAATAAATAATTTACCATGTATGGAATGATGTAAGAACCCCCCACCCCAGGGTGACAGAGTGGTGTGATGGATTTTTATCTGGCTGGAGTGTATTGGGTTGTTCCTGATGTAATACTTTTGGATTGTGTAGCGAGCTAGTGTGTGTTGTGATTTATATTCGGATACATGTTGGTTTTTTCCACAAAGTTTTCAATCCTCATGTAAGGAATATTGAGGTTTCAAATTTCTAAGAGTTTCAATTTTTCTTTTTTTAATGTTCTTGTGAGAAATACAGTATATCAAACAGGCATAGAATAACCAAGAAATATGTTAGAAATTATTTTGTCCACGTTTGATCTATCTTTGAACAGCTCAAGGTTTTGTCAAAGAGTCATATGCTTCTCAATAAAAGTTGTTCTTTTTTTTTATTCGCTTTACTCTGGGGTCCTTTGAGTACATGAACTGTTTTGGGTGTAAGGTCAGGTGTGTGTGTGTGTGGGAAGGGGGGGGGGGATGGTGTGTGTGTGTGTGTGTGTTCGTGCCTGCGTGCGTATGTGGAAAGAGAGAAAGGATGATAATTAAATTTCGTCTAAAGTGCCTGTGTATGACTTTTTGTGGTCAGAACCTGACGGTGCCGCCCGTGACGCAGCGTGGTTGTCCCCCTTGGCCGGACATGCAGGACCTGATCAGCCAGTGTTTGTGCCAAGTGCCGGACTACAGGCCAAAGGTCAGTTGACTCTTCAGAACAGATCAGACAAGGTAGCCTATGGTTTGTTGATCCTCAAGGGAACTGAGTGGGATGTGAGCATGGAGTTTATAGTACTTTCTCTTTGAGCATGCAGTTGTGAACAAATACACGGGTGGAATAGCCACAGTCGTTACAGTTTGTAACCCTCACTCTCATCCTTCTGCCTGCATTTTCTACTCACAGATGGGCATGGATTGGGTTCTCACACACATACAAACGCGTGTGTACACACACACACACACACATACACACACACACATACACATGCACACATACACACTCACATATTAATGTGCGCACGCATGCACACATCCACACACAAACACACACACACACTCACACACACATGCTCAAACACTCAGATGCCCACACTCCCAGAACTCGCACATAGACACTCATACAAGCCCATGCGCTCCCTCTTTATGATTTTTAACTAAAAAATCTTATGCTGCTGAGCTGTTCGCTGTTCCCAGGCTGGAGAGCTGTTTGAGCGGCTGAGCTGCGCAGAGCTGTACAGTCTGAGAGAGATCTTACCCGTCTCTGTGGGAACGACCGTGGAATGTATGACCACACAGGTAGGTTGGTGAAACAGAACTGTGTGAGTGTGAGAGTGCTGTAAAAGTTCTGTATTTGTTTTGAAGAAAAATTAACGTTCAAATTTTTTAGAGTTTCTTTAATCCTGAATAAAATGTTTCACTTCTGTAAATTGGCAATGCTACTGCGTGAACAAATACTGAACATGAATGATAGAGGAGATGAACTAACGTCTAGTGGACTGGTCAACAGCCTGCAAATGTTGACTCTTTCACTGAGTATCTTGTGAGCCTTATTATTCTTGACTGTCGGCTCTGATTTGTCTGTTGTTTGTGATATTTTTGTTGCCTTGTCCTGTCCAGTGAGATCTCTGCCCGACCTCTTATGACTTTGACTGACAGAAACTTTCTGTATCAACATGGACAAAATGGTTTGATAGATTTCAATATATATTACAAATTGTGATAAATGTCGTCGTAAATAACTACAGTCACTCCGATGTGCACAAACATTTGTTTATTTTTATTTTCATCAAAAATCAAAATGAACGATGTTGCCTTATCCTTGCAAGGCATCTCCACATCAACGACCGCCTTATTTGGATACATAATATTCTATCAATACATGATAATCAATCAAATTCAAACATATTATAATACTGCACAATAGCAAAGACGACGTGGAACGGCAAAAATATAGTGCACATCGGGGTACAAAAATTATAGTTATTTCTCTTTATGTTGATGGCTAGTCAAAGGCTTCCAGTATTGAAGGAAAATGCTACAACCATTGTTTTGAGAAAAAGTATGATTAAAAATTTGGGGATTTTTTAATATTTGTAATAATGGCTGCTCTTAAAAAATTGTTGTTCTTTGTTTTTTTTATGATAGATGTATATTAAAAGGTTGCATAATTCAGTGCAGTATATGATTTAATCTTACTCTTTTTTTATTTCCTAAATTTTCACAATTGTAGCACATGAAACAATTTCACTCTCACAGGTTGAAATGGCGTCTTCTTTTTTAATTTACCCAGCTGAATCAGTGACAATTTGCCTAAGGTGTTACAACATTCAAGGAGCATGTGGTGTCCACGTAAGACAGGTTCCCCTGTACATAACCCGACCTTGACCTCTGTATGTTCCAGAACCTGGGTAACAAGAACGTGCGTCTGTGGGTGGCCAGCGGCGACAACGAGTACATGCAGCTGTCCTGGCTGAACCTGCTGGACTACCGGGAGGACAGCCTCCTCGCTGACCGCAACCGACAGTCCGTGGACTACAGTGTCAGTTGCTTCATTTGAATTTGAACCTGCCTAAGAAGCGTTTAAAAGATGGTTAAACGGATTTATTTGCTCAGCCAAACATCTCACATTTTGGGAGATGAATGACTTTGCTGGCTTGTTGAAACCACCTTTTATTACTTCATTAAAGACATTAACTCACTCTGCCCTGATCCCGAGACAGTCGGGTTGCGCACTTCTGCGCTAGGCCCTGAACCCAACAGTATCGGGATGGAAATTTCTACTGCTTAATAACATAATCGCACATCAAATAAGAACAGACTATACTCTATAAGTAACCCCTGGCCATTTCTTTATAAGGAACAGGCGCAATGGTTGCTTTCTTGACTTACAATTGAACAAAATTTAGCACGTGGTAACGAAGTAGGAAATGAGAATGAGTCTTGGTCTTTTTTTCGAGCCACTTTTTAGTGCGTGTAGCTGACCTTTTTCAAATGGCAATGTCTCACAGACTGTCGAATATTTTCAAATTCTGTAAACGGTAATAGTCCTTGTAATGACAAAACAAATTGTGCTTGAAATATAACGGTGACTGAGGTTGATTTAGCATTTTGTTTCTGATTTTACAAAAACACCTTATACCACTAGGCACAGCCAGGTCCTTGGCCCCAGGGCTGAGTGAGTTAAACTGTTATGGTAAAATGGTTCTTTGAGTAGTTAACCACTGAAAGTGGATATTACTATCTTATCATTTCCGAATGTATAATAAAATGGAACAACATTTTTTTTGAGTGAATGACTGCTGGTGAATGAGACTGGAGGAAAGAAAAAGGTGGCTAGGATGGATGAAACTGTTGAGCTGGATAAGGTGGGGAGATTTAGACCCAGTGGTCAGTCTTGTTTCATGATTAGCCAAACACAAACAGCCTGTAAGAGTAACAGACTGGGCTGGGGTCTCTGCTTTCAGCACACTCCATTTTTTCCGCAATATAGATGCACCTCTCTTTTCCTCCAACAGGGCATGGGCACCATGTTCCGTGACGGGCGGGTTCTGTGCATCTTGCCCGTGAGTCCCGAGCACATCCTTTTGGGCACGCAGGCCGGGAAAATCTGGGTGTTCAACACCAGTCGCAACGAGCTGATGCACTCCACACGGCAGCTTCAGGACTCTGTGCTCTCCCTGTTCATCGTTCAGAGGTCAGTAGGTCTCGTCGATCCACGTTCAACTATTCTCGTGTCTGTGGTATAACTATTATTCACTTCACCCTCACAGTGTGTTGGGAGAAATTTATTAAGTATCTTTGTCTTTCTGCAAGGACAATCCACTCTTGTTAGCTCAGCTTGGGTTGGCCCTGACAGGCTGGATCAAAGCCGGCCTCCTGATTGATCTAAATTGTGTTTATGAGGACGTAAAAAAAAACCTTCTTCTTTCCTATCAAACATCTATCATCCATATCTCCCTTTTTTTTTTTTTATGTTTGTTACTCTCTTGTAGCACCTTTAATCTTCTGGCGCTCATATGACCTTATGCAGTTGTGAGCGCTGTTAAACCTCTACTAAAAAAAAAACTTTTAAAAACCTGCATTTTTTAGGAATAAATATTTTTGTTTGCATTCAACTGTGGATGCTTGATGGAAGAGGCTCTAGTGTGATCTGCTCCTCCTACTTCTTCTCAAAGTCTCTATTGTCATAATCCATTCCTGGTTGGCCTGTGCATGCTGTAATAATGCAGTAATAATATATGTTGAAATAGAAAACAAGGTGCTGCCCTTCGGCCAACAGAATGATGTCTTTGTAGTTGTATGAATTTGCTGACGTGCTGTTTCTCAGGTATAGCCTCATCTCTGTGTTTGTGCCTTGTAACAAATTTGCTCTCCCAAAAATATTCCTATTATGATGGATATTGTTGATGGCATATGCGTGTGCATAAACAGATGCAGGTATTTGGAGGGTGCTGCTGGTAGGTCCTACTTCTTATCTTTTGATCTTATGTTTTTATCTGTCTCCCTTTGCTCCCCCCCCCCCCCCCCCTTGCTCTAAATGACCATTAATGGGTCAATATGCTTTTATTTACTCAAACAAATAAATAGCCTAAAAATATGAATGTCACGTTATTTAGCCAGGCTCAGCTTAGCTGGTTATATGGAAACCAGTTTATATATATCTGATAATCTGGATCTTGTGCAGTTGGCTCAGGGGGAATAAGGTTTAAAAGGACATTTGATAATAGTTTACCCTCCTGCCTCTGTACCTGAAACCCCAAATTTCGATGATTATGCACTGTTGAAAGCTCCAGCGGTGCTTTGAGACGGAGGTCATTCTAGCTGCTCATTAGGACTTCCCACCTGGTAGAAGTTGTGAAGTGTGCTATGGGTGGTCATAAAATTTTTGTAAAAATAATTTGTTGCGTGTAACCTGTATGTGGTTTTCCTCCCCATGTACATCTAGGAAACACCCCGGAGCCTCGTACCGGTATGACCACCCGCTGATCTCCCTGCTTTTCACTCATCTTAAGAGTACACAGCCTCTATTTTGGGCTCCCTCTCTTCCTTCTCTCCTATCTCGTTCAACAATCTGTCAGACTTACAATTTCTCTACACACACCCGCACCTCTCAAAGAACAAATACAAGGGCTGTGTACTGGTGATCAATTTTAGGTTCTGCTTCAATATGTTGTTAAATAATCCCCTCCCTCTTCACTTTGTAATCCAGCCACACTGCTTTGTTATGTATTGTGAACTTTTTTGGATAATTATGTTTCAATGAATGATGTGTGTGTGTGTGTTTTGTGTCTTGCTAGCACTAATTCCTGTCACCGCACAATGTCGATCTATTCTCTAGAAAACTGTCTGGAGACACAGGAACTGTCATGTTTTCAGCCTTTAAGAAAACATATTTTTGTTTGAAACTTTCTTAGGGGGATCATATGTCACCTCTGACTGACTAACTTACAACTGACACATGTCTTTTGTTAATTTTGACAATAACTCAAATCCTCGGTAGAGAACTGATATCCCTATGTTCTCACACACACGCATTAATAATCTTTGAATAGTTTTTTTCCTATTGCCATAACCTTGGAAACCTCCTGATTAAACTCTATAAATATGGCACCTTGATTAATGATATGAAGAAGCTAACTTTGTGAAAGAATATTTTTTAATCACTCACAAGTTGAAGGTAATGTTTAAGGAAGCAGTGTAGCGTTCCTGTTATATAGCAGACAATTCTTTCTGGAAATTTCTGTGTCCTAAGTTGTCAGATAATTTGTAAGTTTGCACATTCTGACTGACACAACCTCCTCACAACATACATGTTTTTTCTGTGACATTTGGCCTACATATTTGTCGTTGACGGATTCATTGAAATACCTACGACTTTAGGGTCCACAGGTCTGACCAGTATGTACGATACATATTACTTTATTTGCACAAGCTTCTTCTTTGCGTTCCCCTGCAAGATCTCAACCTGCTGTGAAACTTGATTTGTACTTATGTGACCGTTTTCCCTACGAATTAGGAAAAACGGGCAATAACGTAAAAATCTAATGAATGAACTCCCAGTAAAAGAGACCTGTTTTCGGCAATTGCCAAAAAGTAATTTGATGTCAAAGTTGGCGTGAAGGAATGTGCCTGAGCCGCTGTCTGCCGCCTGAGCCGCTGTCTGCGGCTCACCGGCGCAGGGGTTCCGACTGTAAGCTTGCCGAGGATAAAAAGTTATTGTTAAATATATAGAGCATTTTTTGTTGCAATGGTTTAAATACATTTTCGATAGATGTGGACATTAATTCTCAGAGTTTGCTGTTTAGAATTGTTATTGCAAAATTGATTTTGTATACGTACACGCAGCACTGGCACTTCACCCTAATATGGAGAACACTGTACATGTGATACATGAGTGCTATTTACTAACCATTTGTGTATATTTGTCTGTCTGTCTGTCCCTCTGTCTGTCTGTGTGTCTGTCTGCCTGTCTCCCTAAATATCTGTAAATTTGTCTGTATGTCTCTCTGCCTCTCTCCCCCTCCCCCTTTCTCTCTCTTTCTTTCTGTCTCTGTCTGTCTGTTTGTCTCTCTCTCTCTCTCTCTCTCTCTGGCTCTGTCTGTCTGTCTGTCTGTCTGTCTGTCTGTCTGTCTGTCTGTCTGTCTGTCTGTCTGTCTGTCTGTCTGTCTGTCTGTCTGTCTGTCTCTCTCTCTCTCTCTCTCTCTCTCTCTCTCCCTCCCTCCCTCTCTCTCTCTCTCCCTCCCTCCCTCCCTCTCTCTCTCTCTCTCTCTCTCTCTCTCTCTCTCTCTCTCTCTCTCTCTCTCTCTCTCTCTCTCTGCCTGCCTATGTGTTTATGAATGCAGGCTGTTGTTATATGATTATGAGCAGAGGCACTTCGCCTGTAGTTTAGAATTTCTGTTTGTTTGGAGTTTTTTTCAGTTCTTATCTGGAAGTGAGTGAATGCTTTTGTGGACACCCCATAGTTAAATTTAGACAGGCTTTTTTACCCTATATTTTGAGAGTCTTTTACAGGTGGGTTTTTTTTTCACAAGTTTTTAAACTAGGAACTGAAGATTTTTGTATTGAGACCTTACTCTTTTATTTTCAGACTGGACTCTTTATTTTTTTTAAAGTTCTTTTTCATTACCATGTTTATCAGCAATGCTAGTAATCAAAGAGAAGTAATATTATTATGGTTCTGGTAGTTGGTTGTGGCCCACCTCCTACCTTTTCATCTTGATATGCATGTATATTTAAACAGTAAAAGCCTGATAACAGGACCTTCCGGAGACCAGCGAATTTCTTTGTGTATAGCAGATTTTGTGTTAAGGGAAAAGTGTAGAACAAAATACTTCCTGTTTTACAATAAACAAGATCTCTCTGTATTGTTGAGGCCGTTTATTTTTCACCCATTCTGAATGGACATACCAGCAGTAGTGGGACAGTGCATGAAAAATAATAATTGTTTTCATGATATGTTTGAATATTTGATTTATTTCAGAAAAATTAAAAACTAATTCAGCAAATTTTAAGTTATTGGTTTATTGGTTTTGCCGAGGGGGGGGGGGGGGGGGGGGGGGGCAGGAGGTGTCAACATGTCATGCAAGCATAAATTGTTTTAGATCTGCACTTTTAAAAAAATGTAATATTATCCTGGAAATTAAATATCATAATTTGACAGCTATTTTCAAGAATCCTGTGAAGTGCAAAGTCATAGATTAAAAACCCCACTAATAAGCTGTTATTTGTTTTCCTTCTTCTGAGGAAAGTGCACAGATTTATTATGCTATCTCTGCTATTAGTGAATGGATTTAAACTGGGAAAAGAGATTCAGTGGTGGGGTTATTTATTTATTCTTTTTTCAAAGATAGAATTCTGGTTTCTTGAACCAAGCTGGTGGCTTAGTAGGTGAGGTTATTAAGAATTGTTGTCTTGACAGTAGATGTGGTTTGCTTTGTCACGAACAGTGAACAGATTTCTCATCAGGAAATGTAACTCTCATTTTACTCCATTGTTTGTCTCCAATGCAGCCGTGGAGATGACCCTCTAGTCTTGACGGGTTTGGCAAACGGGAAAATGGCTCTTTATCCTCTCTCTGAGATTCTGCAAGTGAGTTCAGAAGTGATTGTAATAGTGATTTAGGGAAAGGGAAGGATGAATAGATTGAAGGGGAGAGAGAAGGAGATGAAGAGAAAGAAAGGAAAGACTGATGGAGGAGAGAGAGACAAAGAAAGAAAGTAAGAGAGATGGAGGAGGAAGAGGCAGAGAGAAAAGAGAGAGAATGAGGAAGGAGGGACAGAAAAAGAGAGAAGGGAGAGGAGGAGAACGAGAAAGAAGGAGTGGGAGAAAGAAAAGGCAGAGAGAAAGAAGTAGAAGGAGGGGAAGCAAATTGTAGACTTTAGTTGAAAGTTTAAAATACGTGTAAATAAATTATGAGTTTAATTTTTTTTTTAGATTCTCGTACTTTGTCTTTTTCATTATGATGATGTGCCGAAGAAGGCCTCCACCAAGACTGCGTTTGACAATTTTTCAAGTTGTCTCCAGGTGTATCCTTGTTTCTTCAATTCTGTCTCAACTGTTCTCTACCATGTATTGTTGTCCAAATAGTCTCCATGGGTCTTTCTCTGCCTCTTTTGCCATCTGGGGTCCAGTGGATGGCAAATCTTCCAATATATGGCAGGATCATGGGCAGTAAATGTCTGAAAGGCATCTATCATTTTCAAGTGTTCATTTCCAGGGTGATTTAGCTAGTGGAGGTCTTTATTTGTAGATACCAATGTTAATTGATGAACACAAATACAGTGGAGTCCACTAAATTGAACACGAGTAACCTGAAAACAGCGATAAACCGAAAGAAGATAGAATCCCAGATTTATTTTCTTCACTGTTTGAACAATCTCTCAAAAGTGAGTACATAGTTAAATCTAAGAAAATCCAGATGTCCCTCAGATTTCGATTAAAGAGGACTCCGCCATAATTCATCTTCTCATGCTTTCCCTCTGTGTTCAGGGCCCAGACATGGACCCAATAGAGATGAAACTCGGTGAGAGCTACGAGCCAGTACGCTGCATCATGCGCAGCTCTGTGGACCGCAAGCTCATCGCTTCCTGTGGAACAAAGGTCATCGTCATGGAGACAAAGATTGGTGTGGCGGTGGAGACCATGTTCAACACGCTCAAGAACAGGTGTGAGATAATTTAATGGTAAAGGAGGAAAGTTGGGAAGCCTTTAAAAAAATGTTTTAAAAATATATACATATCCTCATTCTGGTAGTAATTTAATAGCAGACTTCTTTGCCTCATTTTGTCTTACTTGTACTTAGAGTGGGCATATTAGATTTACTTGTGGATGATTTGCAGGTACTCTCTGTTTTCCTCCTTCTTTCCTATGGAACCTGGAACATTTATAACCCTTATCTCTCTTTCTTTTCTTTGTATGTTACTCTTTTGTAACGCCTCTAATCTTCAATGCTTTTAATGCTATTTGTGTTGCAAGTGTCATAAGGCTCTTTCTTTTTTTAAACTTCTGATTTGTGTAAATATGATAGAAAGAACTAGAAGAAAAAGAAGGTAGATGAGTGTCCTTATCTAAGACCTAATGCCTTCTACTGTGTCCTGTGTACCCCAGCACTCCGGCCTCGGCGCCCATCACTTCCATGGCGTGTGGCCGTCTGCTGTACCTGGCACATCGCAACAGCACGGAGATCCAGGCCTGGGACACGACGCGAGGCCGCCTCAAGAACACACTCAACGTCAGCATCAGTTTCGAGTGAGGACAAAATATGAGGCTGGTCTCTGTCTATGTACTTGTGCAACACAGGTGCCTGAAAATTCAGGATTGAAGTCTCAGTGAGGGTCAGGGTTTAACTCTTTTTCTCCAAGGGGGGTAAACCCACTACACCAGGGCCCTTTCTTGGTGCTAAATCTAAAAATAACTAAAACGTCGTTAAATGGATCATTAAATCGAAACTAGCAAACCTATTTTGATAGTTCTTTATCTAATGAATGAACCTCTGGTATGAGAGACCTGTTTTCGACAATTGCCGAAAAGTAATTTGATGTTGAAGTGGTCGTAATGGAATGTACCCCGCTAACAGCAGCTCACCGGCACAGTGGTTCCGACCGCAGCTGCTGGGAGCGGTTTGCTGGAGATAAAGAGTTAAAGTCCTGCATAAAAAATTGTTTCTGTATTTTTCTCATTTTTGTACACAAAATGTATCATTTTCTAAAAAGAAGCATCCTATACGCTTTTTTAAAAAATTGATGTCTCCAATGGAATTGTTGAGAGCAGTTAATTTCGTATCTCAAATTGAAGAGTGACCTGTCTTAAAGAATAATCTTAAGTAGGGTGTTAAACCTCAGCAGAACTAAATAATAATCAAAATATTCAAATCACCAATATTTGCCTGTCTGCAGCCTGTCTCGCAAAGATGGCCGCATCACGTCCATGGTCCTTCACGACACCAAGACTCTATGGCTTGGTACAGGGGGCGGTCAGATCGTCCTAGTGGACATCAACAACTGGACGCCCATCATCTGCACTCATCGGCACACTGCCTCTGTCCGCTGCCTTCTGGCAGTCAAACTGAGGGGTGAGTGAAGCCCTGCTTTTCAAGTTTTTACATTTGCAGAGGTCACAGTTGTGCTGTTTGTCTTTTGATTTCTCTATCTTTAATATCTCTTTACAAGAGAGTGTTTGTTTTTGCAAAAGGAAAAATTGTGGATAGGCACTCAGGTTTGATTTTTTTCCGTAATTTGTAAGCCATGACCCCAAAAACTGGAGGTTTAGGATGCCTTGAAGGTTACAAGTGCACTTAATTTCAAAGTACCTTGTTGCTCTCGGAAAGCCAAATTAAGCCTCCCAAAATCACTGACAATCTGGACTTTCTCTTTGTGTCTTATCTATTACCACAGACACTGACATAGTGATCGTACTTTGTGTTTCAAGCTAATGGGCCCCCAATATTGGTCCTCTCACAGTTGTAAAATTGTTAACAGTTTGTCTTTTCTGGCCTAAGAGAAGATATTTAGTTCAGCCATCCATCAGTATCAGCTATCATTGACCTCTCATATTTGCCTGTTTTGCTGCAATATACATTTTTTTCAAAGACACTCATGAAGTTTTGTCAACAGCTTGATCACTTCATCAATAACTTTTCCAAATAGTGACCAAGAACTCCTCTTTCCTCAGGTTTGGTCAAGTATGGACCAAATCCCAGCACAAGTGTGATACTTAGTGGAGGGCTAGGGTTCAAAACCCGCTCGGAGAATGATGTGGACAAAGGTAATGATCTTTGATAGGTGTCTTACTGGTGCTTGAAATGTACAATATGAAAAAGAAATCATCATCATTACTGCCTTTCTCACCCTGCATCAGGGTATAGGCCATGAACTAACACTTTCCCCTTTCCTTAGTGAAAAAGAAATCGATGGTTGTAGATGTTTTACGCTCCTTGAATACCACTTAAATCATTTTGGAGGCAAACTGCTTTGACAGAAAGACGCAGAGATACACAGTCAAAAATAAACTTCTCCACCAGCGAATTGTACTCAAGTCTTAAGAAGATGAGCCTGCTCAATGTGGTACGTATGTATGTTTATTTATTTGTTCTGGTAATCACTGTAACTGTATTTTTCATTTGTCCAGATAATCTGTATAATAACTGTTGTTTTTTTGTTTGTCAAGATAATCAGTATACAGTGGAAACCATATATAACAGGCCTGGTAATAACAGGGATCCGGTAATAACAGGGAACAGGGATTTTTTAAATCCCCGTTTTTTCCTGCTCTTTGTCTCTATGAAAAGTTTTCGGCAATAACAGGGCTCATCGGAGCCCAATCGGTTATAGCAGGGGCAAAGGGTTGTAACAATGTGTGAAAAGTGAGAGAGAGAGAGAGGGAGTAATGCAGTGATGGAGCAAGCTCACGCAAGCCACGCCACTGCAAGCACACGCAGCGTGTGAAGCGAGAGAGGGCTGCGGTGTGCTGCAGACTTCAATCTAGCCCTAAACCTAGCTACACGCATGCGTTATGTGTCATGCGCAGGCCTGCTTACTTCCCTTGCACTTCTGATTTAACAGGGATCTGATATAACAGGAGTTTTTCTCTGGTCCCACCATCCCTGTTATACCAGGTTTCCTCTTTGACTATATTGTTTGTCCATTTGTCCAGACAATCAGTTCCCCCCGGGGCAGTGCCACTGACTGAAGTGTCTTTAGGCCATTCGTTCGAGCATAGTAGAATTGTAAATGGGCTGACTCATGTCATGCTCATAACTGTGTCTGATCTACAACAGGGACCTGCTGCTTTTTCTTTCCTGATCCTTACTATTGTCATTTTCCTCTACTTCTTTTGTATGTTTGTCACTCTCTTGTGACCTGCTATTTTGGGGTGCCTTGATAGTCGAAGCAGACCTTGTGCTGTTGAAGCTAGAGAGGTGAGCAGTCTAAGTCTGATTCCCTGTAAAGACTTCTCTGTTGACACCAACCCCTTGACGCTCATATGACCTTATGCAGTTGCGAGCGCCGTAAAACCCTCTACTATTTTTTTTTTTAAAAGACAATCAGTAACTGTTTTGTTTGTTTATTTTTCCTGGTAATCATTATAACTTTTGTTTGTTTATTTGTCCTGGTAATCACTATAACTGTGTTGTTTGTCCATTTGTCCAGATAATCAGTATGGCTGTATCGGCGTGTGGGACGCGGACTTCCCCCAGACCATCAAGCAGTTCTCTGACTGGTCCAAGAAACGCAAGGAACTCATCCAGACCACGTCCATGAGACGCTCCATGATGAAGTAGAGATTGATGTGACCATCGTGGTGAAGAGACACATCAGGGAACACTTTTTGTTGAACAGTATCTAGATTTTTTTCAAGCTGATGAATTCTACCCAATGCAGTGGTCGCTACTGAGATTATTTTTGTGCTTTTTTTTTTTTCATGGACAGGACTTTATAGATTTTCCAATTCACTCCTGTATTTTGAAGGTGCGTTTGTATCCTCTTTTATGCACTCACCCAAAAAGCATGCAATATTGATGTTGCACAGAACTGAACGACATAAAAGTGATATATCATCAGCATCATTATACAGTAGCCCAAATCAGTTTGGGGGGATTTGCAAATAAAGCTGTGATTTGAGTCACGACATCAAGGGGCCGTTATTTGAGTAACAGCATCAAGGGGCATTTTACAACTTAATACTTTTGTATTGTTTCATTATTTGCTATCTAGTTTTATATTGAAAAAGATCACAAGTGCAAAAGTTATGGTACAATTACTATCTTTTTCTTTAATTTTGTTGAAATTACAAAAAAATGACTTGGGTACTTGTGGAATGATGCTGACAATTTATTATGTCTTGTTGAAAGTGATGTGTACAGTAGAAATATAGTTCATGTATAAACCACAGTAAGTGTTAGCCTTTTTCTTTATTGAGGAAAAACTTACAATCAATGACTTATAATCTCTTGTCCGTCAGGGATAATCATTTCTATGAAAAACGATAAACGACCTGAACATGGTTCAGTATGGTTTTGCTAACAATGATCATAATTGTGATATCAGGAGGACTAGATACTTATGCTCTGTGTGGGCCCTTTCTAAACTTATCTTCAGTATTTTCGTTAATCAGGTGATATTACATCAAGGATAGAGAACCTAATTATCCTATCTGGAAACTCACAAATATTTAATTGAGAACTATGGGAAAATGTTACTCGGGGCACTTCATTGTCAGTAAGATACTCCTGTAGCTAGATATATATGTAAATAGTCAAAACATGTTTAGTAAAAAAAATGTAATGTGAGTATTGTGAGACGCAGTATGGGCACTGATTTGGTTTCGCTTCCCTAAAAGTGTTCATTTTTTAGATAGTTAAGTCCCCTGTCCTTGTAAGGTTCTTGTGCAGTGTCTCTTTAGTCTTTTTGAGATGAAGGAGAGTTGTATGAGGCACCAGATCTTCTGGGTTATGGAATACTTTTTACCATAGGTGTTGTGTTCAGGATTTTTTTTTTCTTTTCTTAAGTTCTGCCCGTCAGAGATCACAAGTTTCCACAAGGAACACTTATTAACCCTTCCAGCCCCATGCGCGTATATTTTCAGCAGCGCTTATACCTCCCACTGTCCCAAGAGGATTCTCAGTTTCGGAGGTACCGAATTTGCGCATTTTTCGAAATTAGCGAACCTAATTAACTTTAATTTTCATATTTTTTCATTTACCTTTAGACATTGTTATGCATTATTATTTTATTATATCTAAACCTCATTACAAAGATTCCGCATCACTTTTTAGACTGCATGCCTTTTTTTCTGAAATACTGCTGTATTGGCTGGGGCTGGGGTTAGGGAGTGGACAAAAATGGCTGTGGCTAGAAGGGTTAACATTACTACAGTGCACTACAGTGCCAGTATATGTATAGTTCTGATGTTCTTGAACACTGCTTGTTTCAAGACTTTGTTGTTGTTGTTGCTTTCTTTGCTATTTATTTATCCATTTATGATCCATGAAGTATTTTTTTGCTTGTGTCCTTGTTGGGTTTTTTTACTTGAGGATGTTCTGTTACTTTCATTTGGGAATTTTGCTGACATTTGTTTGACTTTAGCTCAATAACTAAAAAAGGTCTGATACTGATATCGCAATGATGGAGAATATTAATTATTATGTCATTTTCTCCTACATTGATCTAACTACCGTCAGCTTGGGATCCCAACTTACAAATTATACTACTTCACACAATCATCACTTTTGCAATACATATGTATATCAGCAGGGATGGCCTTTCTTTGGATGTTTTCTGCACTCATTTTTTAAATCATCACCGAGTTGAAAAAATCAATAAGTTCTGTTTTAAATTTGTTATTCATATGCCATGGTCAAAGTTGAAGTCGCGTGTGCCTCGCTTCTTGTGCAAAGAACCCGCTGGATTTTTTTATCAGTGTAAAAGTGAAAGCCTTTTATTATGACTTCTACCTGCTCAGTTTCTGGTACTTGTTTAATCTTTCCCTGCTTTTAAAGGCTTCATATCTATTCAAGAGGCTCCTCTGGCTACCCTCAGCGTTGCTGGTTACAATCTCATGCTGCATCAAAAGACAAGCTTTGAGTCACACAGTACATTATTCACAATGAGTCATGCGGTACATTATTCACAATGAGTCACACAATACATTATTCACAATGAGTCACAATAGTCACACGGTACATTATTCACAATGAGTCACACAGTTTATTATTCACAATGAGTCACACAGTAGGCTACATTATTTACAATGAGTCACACAGTAGGCTACATTATTCACAATGAGTCACACAGTACATGATTCACAATGAGTTGCACAGCATAATTCTCGCTACGAGTCACACAGCACAAGTCTTTCTCTTGCACGTTTGATCGCTTCTGGTATAAGCAGAAAAGATTATACAACTCATAATTTGTTCAGCTCTTTCTGAATAACATATTTTTTACTGTTAGGAAATTTTTACTCTGTATTTTTGGAAAATATTATTTATGTTTCATATTGTTTAAAGAGGGGTGTTCACACGTACTATACTATGCTGATGTTTCTCTGGGTTTATAGGCATGCTATGTTCATGTTACAACTGATGTTTCATTACAACACAGGCCGTAAAACCATACTGTACTAGATTGTTTTACGACTTCTCTAACCCTGCTTTACATCTCTATATATCCTTCTTGTAGAACAACTTAGCACAATCAGTCGCTGTGAATTTTCTCCGTGTGTAATTGAACTTTCATGAAACATGAACTTTATGAAAATGTACACAATATCAGTACGCAATGTTTGTGCAATAAGAATTTTAAAGGAAGCATCATACGTTTGTGAACATAATGTAATGTTTAGAGCTACTTTCATAAAATGGGCTTGCCTATTATTCGGGGGGGTTTTCCCCAGATATTGACATATGCCTTAGGCAGTGGGAATATATTATTGGAAAAAAAAACCCTGCTTTCAGCAGTTAGTAAAAACACAAAAAAGACAAATTTTCTCCATCAGAGTAAAGTTTAACCTATTTGGTGTCCATAACCAGGATAGAGCGGTGCTTGTTTGGACACAGCAGAAGTTTCAGCTGAAGGCTGCGCATTTACATGGATGGACACATGCCCCCCCCCCCCCCCCCCCCACAGGAGCCCCACCCAGTGAAACCAATAACTGATTGATTTTGCTTACTTTGTAACGCTGTCAGTATTTAGGTTTTGATTCAAGCTGTGATTTAGCTGTAGAACTGGTGATGAAACTGCTTCACACATTATCATTACCAAAGTGCAAAGATCACGCGAAGTCCAAGTGCTAAAGGAAGAAAGGAAGGGAGACAGACACCCAAAGAAAGAGAGTGTGAAAGGGAAAAGGAGAGAGAAAGAGAGAAATTGACCGTCTGGATTTGTGTGAGTGCATGTGCTTTTCTTCATACGCAAGAGTATTAAATCTATCATCGTGATATTACTTACTGCTAAAAATGTACCAATATTGAGCAACAGTTCAAATTCTGCTAAATGTTTTATTGTTCGTTTGTTTGACATGTGCACAAGAAATATGCATGTATAGAAATATGGAACAACTGAGAGTGAGGGCTGCCTTTTGAGAGTATTATGTGTAGCATGCACGGATGGAGTATATGGTCTGTCAAAAGATTTTATTTTCCCAATTATGAACAAAATGTGAGACATCATAGTGAAATCGGGCTCTCATCAAAATAATTAAATCAAAGAAACAGACATTTTCCCACTGATTTAGCCATTTTTAGAGAAATTTTTTTGTTTCGGCCAAACACCTTTTGTCTATTAAGAAATACATTTTTCTGTGGATTCTACCGAAACGGCCGATTAAATACTCAAAAACTGTAAATTTGCATTTTCCAAAGACTCTCATGCTATTGAAATCACCAAACTTTTATAGCCGTTCTCTCGCTAATTTTACCACTGAAACCAGGCAACTCCACCTCCTACTTTAGCAAATATCTCGACTTCTCTTCAAGATAGATGGGTATTTTTTTTCCATCAAAAGATAGGTAAATGAACAAGTTTTAAGGTGATAGCAATAACTCTATATGCCCAAACATTGACGAGCGCCCTATTCCACCACTTCGTGTCTCAAATGTCTGTATCCTAGGTGCTGTTGTACTTACAGGTCTCATCAACCTTATTCTACAGCTGGTTCCCAAAGGGACATATATATGGCCTTTGATAGGCCTACAGTCAAAATTAAATTTTCAATACTCTCTGACACTAAGCTCACCTGTAGGTTGTTGTGAGCTGAGCTGATAATGTACATTTTGGGTACAGTTAAAAAGAAGCGCATCAACGCAATAAGGGGTAAATAGTGCAGGGAAGACAGATGAACAGAAACAGCAGAGGGACTTTTTGATTTGGCATCTTCCTCCTTTCATGGGTATCTCTGCTGAGCTTGTGTATCTGTATATATATAGTTGGGGGACACCTGTTGGATGGTAGGCAAACTCGTTCTTTCTCATCCCAATCCCAACATGATTTTACTATCTATGAGGCTGCCCACCCATTGACCTCAGAAAGCAACAGAACAGAACGCAATTTTTCCATCATTACCTGTAACGGTCATTTCTGTGTCCACATATCAGACAAAAGACAACCACAGCAATAAATATAATAGGTTGTATATCACATGTGCAGTTCTTTCTATTGTCAGTCAGAAAGGGGAGATTTCTTTCCAAAACATGTTCACTCTTCCAATACGCAAAATCACTTTTCAATGAGAGAATGTGTATGTGCAGTATTTCATGCGTGTGAGAGACACACAAAGACACATATAAAGAGAGGTGATAGAGAGAGAGAGAATAGAAAAAGAGAGCACCGACTTAATGTTGTGTGTCGGCTCCCATAGACTTACAATAATGGACAAGAACAGATTCAGGTGGAACTTTTTAAGACCCAAATAGTGCGTGGTCTGTGGACAGGCAGCCTTAAAAGGACAGTTGTTGTTATTGTTGTTATCGATCCAGGCCTTAAGGACAGAAACTGACAGATTCTAACAAAAAAATTTCCTATCTAAAATGAGCGTGGTCTATGGGCTGGCAGCCTTATCCTACATTTTCATGCCAATTTACAATTCTATTATGACACAGACAAAACAAAGTTGATCCTGGATGATCAAATTACACTATATAATCTGTCTAGTGTGAAAAGTCTGTCCATAACAATTGCCAAAAATATGTTTTTTCTGCAAAAATCAGGAAGCATGAAACAAGTGTGCAGCTTCACTCAAAACCAACTTTGTAATCCCTGCAGGTTTGCGATGTGTAAATCTGATTTTAATACACTCCACTATATTTATAAAAAAAATTTCTTTACCACAAAGAGTTTACAATACTGTCTTCTTTCTCTTTTTTTTTTTTCTGTTCCTCTCATACATTGCACTGCTGTATTTGAATGTCTGTGATGAAGTAATTGCTGTAAAAATTGCTGATTTGTATTATTGTATGTACCAGTTACCCAACGGTTTATTCAAGAAACCTGTAGCCCACAAAATTATACCTTGACAGGAGAATGGAAAAGTTGAGAAGTATTTTCGTCTCATCTGAAGAAATTTAAGGCAAGTTTTACACTAATTGTCCATTATAACAGTTCATATTTAAACCAGTTAACACTTTGCAGTCACTTGGGCCGGTGAAAATTATTCGTTCCGGTCACCTGGTGCAGTGCGGCGCCAGGCCCAAGAAGTCTGTTGTAGTCGCTCTCCTGGCTGGGTGACCAGATGGGGTATTTTGTACTGCTGGCAGCGTGACTGCAAAGTGTTAAAGACGTGACGGAGAAGTAATTGCCGAATCGAACAGATGAAAATTTGTGGAAGGTGAAAAGCAGATTTCTTGAACTATACCGTTGAACTTCGTCTTTAAACAATTTTACGACGTTATTGTAAGAGTCCAGTGCTTATTGATCAAACACCTGTCGAAAACTACAGGGGAAAAAACTGGTGATGTCATATTTTTCTACAAACTGAAATTTTAGACTTCCTGTTTCTTTCATGTGTATAATTTTTTAAACTGTTTTTGTTCTATCGTTGAAATATTCACTTAGTGGTTTTTTAGACAAGAGTCATTTTTATATTGTTTTCATTGTTGCATCGTGAAGACTTGAAGAAGACGACTATGATTTTGACATCACCAGTTGTTTCTTCTGTAGCCTTCAATTGTAATATTATGTTATGAGGAAATAAATGTGCCACAAAGAACAATCACTGAAAAGACTTGATGGTTTTGATGTTTCTTTCTTTATTATGCTATTGTCAAGAGTGGTGAAATAGTTTCTCGCTGAAGAGGCCGAGACACTTGAGGGTGGACAGGAAGTGTGAGGGGGGTGTGGCAGTGATGGCGAGAGGCGCAGCCGCTCTGCGTGGGAACTGGGTCAGATTGACTTGGTGCCGGTGGAGAAACAGGCGAGATCGGTCAACTGGTGAGAGGCTGAGGTCGGAGGTCAGGCAGGCCTGTAGTTTGGCTGGAAGTCTCTAGTGAAGCAGAAGACAAAAAGAGGATTGCACGGAATGAGCTTCATATATATGGATGAGCTATAACCCCAGGGGTTAAAAAGTCACAGTAACTTCTATTAATAAAGTAATATTTAATCATGTATAAACACACTCAGTCAAAAAAATCTGTACAGGTTTGATGCCCCTTTCAACATTGTAAAAAGAATTGACCTCCAAATTTAACATCCATCTCTAATGGGACTTTTTCATAGTAAGTCCAATGCTGTACCACGTAACAAGTAAGCACAGGGCACAAGAATGCATTTTTTTAAAAGTCATCTCACTATCCCAAAACTAAGTCACAAGTGTGCCCCAAAATTGGGATTGCGTTTCGGAGAATGTTTTGCCTGCCATTGCCTTATACAATCGCAGCACTTGCTTTTTTAGTGCCTCATGATCAATGAGGAGACTTCGGTAGAGCTTTTTTGAGAGGTCATCAAGTCATGTGAGGACAACAGCAGGGTTTGCTGTTTTCAGAGGTAGATTATTTGTTCTCAATAATCAACCCAATTTTTACTAATTTTTGACAGGAGGCTTTATTCCCAACCCCCTGTCCTCTCCTTCCCCCCATCCCTTTTCCTCTTTAAAATACTAGTGACTTTTGGACAGCAAGTTAATTAAGAAAAATTACATAAGCATATTTAATATATCAGTGCAGTACATATACACTAAAAGGTGACTTCAAGGTATATCCAACTGTAGGAAATTAGTGAGGTATTGGCAGGTTTGAATCCATGAGTCTACTTTTTGCCTTTTAAAATCTAGTCATGTTTCTTGAGTTGAAAAGGTCAAATAATTATTATAAAGAAATTATATATATATATATCTCGTATATACCTGTGGACCGGGAGGAGCGGCGAGTGGACTGGTGGGGAAGGGTGCCCCCATCACAGTGTGTGTGCGGGCAGAGTACTTGGTGTCTCCCAGCACGGGGCTCAGGTAGTAGCTCAAGATGGCCTCCAAAGCCCCCCACTTGTCTGATGGGAATACACAAATAATAATAATAGTATTAAATAGCATTTGTATAGCGCATATCCCCACTCGAAAGCAAGCTCTATGCGCTTTACACTATATTATTACCCCCAGCAGACCACAGAACACTCAGAAACATTCTCAGCTTCCCGGGAAGCATACAGTGCAAGCAGTTGGTTAAGTGCTCAAAGACTAAGAAACTGGCCAGATCTTTCACTGTCTATAGCTGGGTACCCATTCTCACCTGGGTGAAGTGGGGAAATTCGTGTAAAGTGCCTTTCCCAAGGACACAACGTCGGGCCCATGGCTCGAATCCCCGAACCTGCAATCTCACGATTACGAGTCCGGTAGCCTAACCACTAGACTACCGACGCCACAAACAAAAACAGTGCTTTTGTAGCAGCCATTGTTAAAAGTGGGTGAGTGACAGGCGCTCTGGTGAGGCTTGCTTTTTTTTCAAACATCTACCTTCCTTAACCCTATCCGTATAGTGCCCTGGAGTCATTTTGTACCCCCAGGGTTGTATTCTTCACATTTTAGAATATTTCTAAAGCTAAGATCTCTTTGAACCTTTCAATATTTCCCAAAAAATAATTTTGACAGACTACTATGCAAAGCGTACGGATCGGATTAACGAGTAAATTTCGTCTTTGGAAAGTGGTGTCACCGAGTTCCCCACGTCGTATGGATACGATAGCAAAACAAGATGTACAGATAGGGTTAACATATCTCTTGTCAATCATTTTTTTGTATGTTACTTTCTAGTAAGACCTCTAATCTTTGGCACTTACCATGACCTTTTTGTGTTGTGTAAGCTGTAAAACTCTTAGAAGAACTAAACTAGGACTGTTGTTGACAGATAAAAGAGAAAACTACTTGATCCATTCCTGGAGGCAGCGCTGTTGTATTATTACAAGCGTGATTATACAAATTAAATATAAATTGATGATAATTTCAGAGAGAAGCATGTTTGAGCTGGTTGCTGTGGAGAAGCACCTACTTACTAAGCCAGTGTTAAAGCTAATGTAGATTCCTGGCCTGTGACAACAAATTTAAATCATAAATATTTCAAAAAGAAAAAGAAAGAAAAGACATTGATCCTTGCTAAGAGATTTGTTTCTCGAAATAAATGCATATCAATAGCATAACGTCACAAGCAGAAAAAATGCATGACCTAACCTTGACCGAGGATTAAGTTTGTCTTGATCAAGGGCACACCCTGTGGCCACCCAACTACCCACAATTTCCAGTTGAGTAGGCCAGTGAAAACTACAAAAGAAGTAGTCATTCTTGCACACATCTCAGACATCAGACATCTATTACACAAATTTTCTCAAAATTTCCGCCACACAGAAGAAAAAGTAAAAAAAAAGAAAAAAGCATCACAGCTCACCTTTGTTCACAGTGACCCTAACCAGGGCAGCTCCAAGGTCTGAATTTATAGCCAGAGGCTCAACTGTGTGGGGCAGAAGCATCATCTTTCCATCTTTACGAGCAGACTGGCTGCCTTTCTCATGGATCACACTCTGGAAAGGAAATCAACACTAGACAGGAGACTGCATCATGCTGTAAGTGTATGCAGACTTTTGTTTCCATAGTGTAGCCATTATTATTTTACCCTCAGGGCGAAACGTTGAACTTTACAGTGTTTTATTGAAATTCTGCAGTCTTCACTAATTTTTCGCCTTTTTAAAATCTTTGAGCTTACAATCAGACATGAGACTGAGGTGACATCTTTGCAAACTTTTGAGGTGAAGTGCAGATGTTGGACAGTGAGTGCTCACCTGCCGATACCTTGAGAGAAGAGGAAGATGAATTAACTCACAAAACTAACATGTGATCATACATGAGAAACCGACTGAAAAAATAAAAACACTGAATCCGAGAGAGTTTAAAGGTAACCCTTCTCCTTTCAGCGCAGTACTTTCTTACTTCTCTAAAATAGCCCCCAGGTCTTGTGGGGCTGGTCTTTTAAGTAAAATTGCTCGACCCATCCCATATCTGAAACTGAAACAGTTATGAATAAGTTGGCCTTGAGCTAAGAATTTTTTTTAACGAAAAAATCCTTTTCAAGATTGTCACTTTCAAATGCCCATTTCTGGGACAGACTAGAATAAGAAAACCAAGGGCAATTCATCAATTATATTACAAAATTAGCAGGGAAATACTTTAAAAATAATTTTAGTTAAAGTTTTACTGCACTTGCAAAACAATAAGGTCATATAAGTGCCAAAGATTAGATGTGTTACAAGAGAGAAACAAACACAAAATAGAAAGAGGGGAGATAAAGACGATAGATGTCTGATAGGAAAGAAGGAGCAAACCACACCAGAGCACCCGCCAACCACCTACCGGGAAATATTTTAAGAGAACAAGATCTTACCATTTCTAGTCCATGTAAAGATTCACGAGCAACACAACTATGGAGTGGTACACCATAAACACACTGAGGTATCCCCACTGTGATAGCACTGGGGGAAAAAGACATTAACCCCAGAGTAAGATTATAGTCATGGGATAATATCATAATCATATTCATTTGAAATACTAAGAAACCCTTTGACATTTCTTAAAATACTCAACAATTTTACATATATCTGTTATGCTAAACAGAAAGAAAAAAAACCCACAAAACAAAAGCACAAACAAAAATACAGAGGCACACTATAATCATAAACCAAGAAAAGTATAAAAAGCTGCGTTTATTCCACCTAACAAGCAGTTTCAAAAAGTCCTCTCATTCAACTTTTAACGAAGTACTATCAAGAGTAGAAACAAACTACAGAAAACGTTCCTACAACTAGAACCAATACAAAAATCACTTCAAACAGGGTTACTTGGTGACTTCTTTTAAATTTCAAAGGACAAGTTGCAACAACTGGCTCAATATTAACCTCCTCAACCCTCTCATCATGAAACAGAAGTACTGAAAATAACTTAACTAGAAACTTTTACATCTGTGGAATTTTTAAACAGTGGTACATTATTAATAATCAATGAAAGCCCGTCAATTTCTTTCAATTCAATAAACAGACATTGTACTTACAGATAAGACATGAACAGTACTTTCTGTGCTGCTGCCTTTGACAGAAATTTGTCCAAACTGGCCTTTGATTCACTTGTTTTACTGAGTAGCACAACACCGCTGTAGAAGCTGATTTAGAATCGAAACATTAAGCACAAATAAATCAGAAATTACAGAGACCAAATACATTTTCTACAGAAAGTGGCTGAACTGTTATTATCCCAGTAGGCCTTAGAGCATGCAGAACCATTCTCAGCTTCCTGGGAAGCAGCTGATTAAGCGCTCAAACACTATCAATCTCACTAGTTCTTTCTTTGTTTTTGTGCTGTGTATTTTCTTGAGCTTTTTGAACTATCATTTTGATGAGTCCAGAGCGCTGCGTTCTGTACCAATGGTACTACCACGTGGATATGGAAATGATTCTGAGTCATCATAGAGACTCTATTCCTTTCCTTACTGAGTGTAATTCAAAGCAATCATACCAATGTCCTTGGAGACAGTTTGCCCACTTGCACAATGTGTAAACCTCTTCCTTCACATCATTATTGTGGAGACCACACAATTGTTACACTGACCTCTACAGTGACTACAGCGGCCATCATCTTAGCCGTAACTCTTTCACTGCCTGGCCAGAGATTATCTTGGGCTCTTTGGAAGGATTATAAAACTACTCAGGCAATAAAATTGTTAAAGATAACTCACTGCATAATGTGACAGTCATTGCACTACTTAGGAGTCTTTCACTAAAACACTGTAGCTTACAGGAAAAGAGACCTTGTCATTAAAAGTCAAAATAGAAAATGATACACAGCAATACATTATTTGGTTTCTTAACAATACATAGTGAGAATCGAGAAGATCAATGTCTCGGAAGTCTGAAAGTTTCAAAACACAACAGACTAGTGCAGGAAAAGTTTGTTAGCATATACAACCAAAGCATTCTTTAAGTAATTTTTAAAATATGAGACAATAGGATCTATAAATTCAAGGGTGCAAAAGAGGAAAAAAATCTATTTACACAAACAGTTAAATTATCTAAAATTGATCATGAAATTCATAATTGACAATACACATATCATATATTTACCTCTTTAAAGACAGACCAATTTCCAAGTCTGAACATCCAAAATTGACAGCCAAATCTGGTAAAAGTTGAGATACAGACTCTGTGGCAGTATCTGCATTGTCTTTAGAATCTTTTCTTTCTTCTTCTGCATAGTTGCTTTTCCCTGAACATAAAAGAAACCATTTCAAGAATCATTAAACAATCAAGGTGATTGACAAGTAATCCAGAACTAGGCATCATATTATTTGAACAAATAAGGCCACTTTGTCTTTGACAAGAAAAGAAAAAAAAACTTTATAAAAAGCCATATTAAGCATAGGCCTAAATATGAATTATCATTCCCTTTCTTGACTCTAGACGGAGACATGAGTCATCACATTGAACATTTACATTTTCCCTCCATTCATAAAAATCAAAACCTTATCAAAAACTATTAATTTGAAGTGACGAACAAAAAAACTATTTAAGAGGAGAAAAAGGTCAACAAGTATTCTACTATACCGGTAATAAAGAGGGCTTTGATATAGCGATTGCTGTTATTGTTGTTATTGATCCAGCAACAGCTGTGCTCTTGCCCTTTTGTTCAATGCCATGTAGTGACAAACTCAGGTTTGCTGCAGTTGCTAAATGTTCTATAGAATGTGTTGTCAATATTAGGTCTCATAGAGAGAAGTATAGCTCAGATGCCATTTAGGATTGTGCAGTGGAACAGGTGACAATCCACAGTCTCATATGTTTTGTCACACAAAGGACATGTTGGGGGAAGTACAGGTTTTATTCTGTTTAAGTGGAATTTGAGTTGTATATGTTATGTTAGCAGGCGGAAGATTGTGATCTGCTCCTTTCTCTGAAGGTGGTAGATATTGTCATTCGACATAGCAGTGAAGAACAAGTTTCAAGTGTGGTCTACCAAGGAGGAGGAACAACCTCCATACAAAGAACTCCAAGTGGAGGAAAAATGGAACAACGTAAGTGTTATTGGACAAGGGTATACTAGGATGTCTCAGGAAAAGAGAGAGAGCTAGTATGAGCTGTAGATCTCCTTAAGAATAAAATTCAGTGTAAATATCAAGTCAAAACAAGATTTTGATTCTACTGATGACTCAACATAGAACTTTCCTTCTTCAGCCATAACCAAGTGAAATGGAAAACGGACATCTCTTACAAGGTGGAATGCAATATTGAACGCCATATCCACTGCATCAAAAATAAGTCCTCAGGACAATTACACCAGGAGTGACTCTCGTCACTCTTCAGCAGAAAGGACATGGAATCTTTCACCTGCATAGAAAATGTCATCAACAAAAAAGGAGGAACTGACAAGGATATCAAGGTGAGGATCTAAACGGCAAGGGCAGCCTTTAGTATGATACGAAATGTCCAAAGAATTGAGTAAGAGTGTGAAGCTAAGGCTATTCAATAGTGATGTAAAATCTGTTCTGAAGTATGGAACAGAGACCTAAAGACAAACAATTGATGTAGAGAGGAAGCTCCAAGCCTTCATCAACGTAATATTGCCGAGTGAGATGGACAAATGTGAAGGCAATGGGAGAAAGGAACGATGCACATAGCAGACATCCTTGGAGAGGACTTGTTGATGGCCTAATTTTCTCAGAGAATTAAAAGCCAAGCCAGAGACATCCTTTCTTGTACTTGATTACAAGTAACATACAGTGCTGAGACACTAAAGTTAAAGAAATGACACACATACAAGTACTGTAATAAAGAGTTAAAAATGATAACAACATGTATGACCCATACCCGTACAATGTTTAAAAAAAAAGACAAATAAGCCTATTTAGAGTTCCATGATTATAAAGAAAAACAAATTGACAAAATTTGTAAAAACTTACCATAGACTGAAAAATACTGTGGTTTATTGAGAGCAAGTACATTTTCTGAAAGGAAAAAAAAAAAAGAAGCATACTCACTGACTTATTCCATACAAGGACGAAAAAAAAATGTTTTAAAGTCATGAACAATCCCAGAATATTACTCTAATTCAATATATATATATATATGTCAAGATGTGTTTATCATTGTAATATTGATCAGTAGCCGGGGAAAATAAAATGTGTTCCGTTTGTATTTCTTCTGACATTCCATGCCCGGACTGTTTGTATCCCCTACTAAAGAATGACTCATCACTTGTCGGATAACATCAAAGAACTTTTAATAATTCAACGGGGATACAAGAGATGACGACATCAACTGAAATGAAATGGAAAACACAAGACGGTGATGTAGAACGGAATGAAATGATGAGTGATCGCACTGACAAATAAAACTAGATCTACACGCATGAGTCCCCGAGGGGCGCAGAGTGATGACGATGATGATAGGGCATGAACTGATGAATAACACTAATAATACAGCTACACCTACCCCCATCCCCCCAGACACACACAGCCACACGTCATACATGTACTGGCCGCCCTTCTGACCCCGATACACGCTAAGACATCATGGAACACATGTGTTGGTATGAAAGGAGGCTGCTGATTGGTCACATAGAACAGTCCACCCTGCAAGTGACTTCGTTGAATCTCAACTTACTCATTTACGTGTTCATTGAATCCGAGGTATTTTGATTGATTTTTATATGCATTAAAATGCCAAAAATCGGGGAATCCAACTCCTTTAGTTAAGTCCCAGTTTTCATGGAATGAATCCGAGTTTGTTGAAACTGAGCCACATCCCCCCCCCCCCCCCCCCTATTTTTTTATGGTACCCCAAACCACACACACATAAACTCACCGTCTTCATAGATGACCTGACAAGAGATATTGCTGTCACTGCCGGACAGGGCCCTGGTCGAGGAGTTTCCCCTGTGCCTGTCTTTTACTTTTGCCTGTTGTCTGCAACATCCCCTGGTTAGACCAGTGTGATGAGTGTGCAAGGCGCAGGTCTTCCATATAGCAACACCAACTGGATAATAATTAACTGGATTGTTCAAAGAAAAACCACGGAGTAACGAACACATTATCTTCGACATTTTGGTTCTTGTACGTGTTAGTGTTAGTCACAGTCACAGAGAATCTACTTTCACTTTCACATTGAACATTGACATTGGCATGGGCATGAGAAACAGAGGAATATCCAGAAGAAAACGGCAAGAAAGAATTTTGCTGGTAGAAATATATCTACGCTGGGTAATTCTATAATAAGAACAGAATTCCAATCAAGCCCAAGAAAGGTTTTAAGTGTCGTGTCTCTTGGGGAAAGGAAAAGGCTACCTTGACATCCGAGCAACCAACGGCGGAAGAAAAGTACCGGGAATTTTAGGGAATACCCACTATGCTAAAAATATAATCAGTGCAATTTCTTAAAACTTGGCCCAAACTTAGCAAACAATTTTAATATATAAAAAAAACCCAACATATTTTTTGTTGATGTTGTCATTGTTGTTGTTGCAATTGTGTTGACTGTTATGATCATCATCCATTATATATTTTGTCAGAATATAAAAGAGTTTCCATTCGAAATCGCATAGATCTAGATTCTAGCCTAGTTCTATTTTTTAAAGAACAGAAGCTTGCTAGAAGGGTCAAAGGTTATAGTGCAGTAAACAACAAGAGATGCAAATTGCAATCCTTTGGTTCATGTTCATGGTTTCACAAGCACGTACACCTCCGCCTCCGACCGAAGCTTTCAAGAACGTGCGGAAATCTTCTTCCGATAATGGTATTGTTTGTGGTTCGTAAAAATACTAGAATCTAGATTCTAAATCTAGATCTAGATTAGATCTAGATCTAGATCTTCTAGATCTAGAATCTAGATATAAATCTAGAAGTTTGAAGGAGGTGTGTTTGTCCGTTGTCTAGATATCTAGGCCCTTTCTATTTCTATCTAAAATCAAGTTCTCGCAGGGGCAGGGGTTTAATTAAGATAAATAACTCTTATCAGCCAGACTTGATTTCACTGATTTTCCTGAACACTCAGAACTAAATCTGCGCTGTTGTGCAGAATTAGTGTAAGTTTTGGTATCTCAAACAATTTTGGAATAAGATTTATCAGTGATTTTGTAGTTCTGTTCGTTAAACTAAAGTCCAAGCTGAACGCCAGAGACCCTGAATTGCCAGGTAATCGTTGAGGAGTGATCTAGCCTAAGCATGACACTGGTAGGAAATGCCAGAAAATCAAAATTCAATCAAAGAATGGCGCTTTTTCGGCAGTTCCCACCCCCAATGAGAACTATTATTCGCCGGTTTGGGCCCCAAAAGTAAAAGTCAAGAGTAGGGCCGAGGCCCCCCCTGACCTAATAAAAAAATCTTGAGGGGGATCCGAGGGGTTCAGGGGTTCAGGTGGGCATTCCCCTCTGAATTTTGACATAATTTGGTGTTTAGCAGTTAGGTTGCATCCCTGTATTTTGTGTTGCCTATTTGGTCATCAAGACTTCCGGATTTTTTCTCTGGATGTAAGCAAATGGATTGTGGACTTTAACGAACGGAACCACAAGATCACCGATTTATCTTGTTCGTCATATTATCCATACACATGCGTTTAAATATAGAATGACGCATCTTCCTGATTGGCTGCTAATTTTAGTAATGTAATGTCATCACTCCTGGGATACCCACAGACTATTTTAAGAAGGCCCTAAGCACATTTCGGAATTCCTAGATCTAGTAGGGCCTACTTGGACGTGATGGAAGATCGCTTAGATCGTTGATGCTCAGAACAGTAAGAACTCTGATGCTTGAAATTGAAGGAGCACAGTAAACGCAAAGACAATAAACTGCACGAAAACTGCCGTAAAGACGCTTGAGGATTTACCGCCCCCGCCCCCCCCCCTCCTGCCTGCTACATCACTACATGCATAAAAAACTACAAAGCAACAAATTATTATTTATGGGAAAAACTGTTGGTCAGTCAGGAGGAGGAGAAGAGGAAAAAAACCCCGAAAAAAACAAACTTCCAGGACCGGGATTCGATCCCACGCTCTTAAAAAAACTTGTATGACTTCAAACGCAGACGCGCTGTCATTTTGGCCACCAGAACTTCCAACAGCGAAAGGTAGATTAAGCTTATACATACATAGACACTTCTATCTTTGGTGCCCTGCAGTATTGTGGTCACGTGATCGGAGGGGTATCCCGATCTGACATCAAACAAGATGGCTGCCGTACCTAAAAATAGTTTGCGTCGTTCTACATTTAATCGAATGTTATCCATACCATATACTAATACTAATTAATTACAATCGCCAAAATCAGTGAGGTGGAGGTGAAATGTATAGTGAGAATGAATTCAGAAAAAGCAGCTTTATTGAGTAACAGTTTTGATTGGGAAAATGACTCAGGCTCTATAGAGATCTAAAATTGTCGGGCTCTAATTTCGCTATTCGCACACAATTTCGTGCAAGGTATCATAGTTATAGCTATACTTACGCACACAATTGTGTGTATATAATATAAACAAGTGAGTCTTCATGCACAGTGTCTGGTTGGGACAGTCGTACCAAACTGGAAGAAGGGACATTGAATCTGCAGGAAAGGCTACTATTGAGTGACTTGAAGGAAAGCCACCCTGAGATACATGATTCCATTATGTTGCTATGCAACCTCACCTTTTCTGTTTGTCTGAGGCAGTTAATAATTTTAAAAATTCAGCTGAAAATTTGAGGAATCAAAAAAGTCTGAAAATTAAAAGAACAGTTGTACAGGCTGCATGGAGGTTTCTTATCTCAAGAGTGAAGACTGGTGATATAATGTCAATTCTTCCTCTCGCCTGAGCCCGTTTAGGGGCTCTACGAAAAAGGGGAACATAATTCTGAGGGGCAAACTAAAAGTTAAAGAAGAGGGAACTTAACTCATATGTGCTAGCAAGGTTCAAATCCATGATTGACTTTTAAGAACTACTCTACTAGATAATTTGACTTCATATATTAATATTATAGAGAGTTGTCAACAATATTAGTAAAAATGGTAATAAAGGAACAAGTCCATAGGTTGAAATAAATCTATCTAATGAGCAAACATTACAAACAATGCAAGATTTAGATATATGACGACAAATTATGATCATTAACATGATAATGATAACTAGAATGAAATTTACGCCCATTACCAAAACCCAGGACGAATATATTGAAACAACATCCTCACATACGGCACGGAATTGCGTGCATAACGAAGTATAATACCTAGCACAAAATTGCGTACATATTGCAAAAAAATGTGTTGGAGCACGTAATTAGGTGCGCACAGCAAAAAATGTGTTGGTGCACGCTACTGCGTGCGTATAGACACTCCCCTAGAAAAATATGCTTTCAAATTGCGAATTACATGAAGAAAGGAAATGTCATCACATCTATTGTAAAATTGATCAATATTCAATTTTTTTTTTATTGTCAGTATCATAAACATGCATTTAGAGGACTGGACGGAAATATGTATTTAATTTGGGGAGTTGAAAATGGTGTGGTCTGTGTATTCTGGCAGATAGGGGTAAATAGAAACGACGCGGAGTGTGTCGTTGTGGTTTTTAGGAGTTAATAAGTTTCATCTTATGGCTCAAAGTCTCAAGGTGTTTGTTTGTAATTTTATAGAGGTCTGGACCTAGCCTGGGCTCTTCTGTCATTTAGTAGAGCAGATATTCATGTTTGATTGATGTCAAAAGAGCCAGCAAGAGGATGTTCCTTGATCTTCATTGTGTGTGATCGTGTATGGTGTAAAAATTTTGGTGCTTCAGGCTGAATTTGCATGCTGCTCTGGTGATCATTATTTGAAGTTGAAGTGATGAAGGGTTGTGGAAGGCGGTAGTTGTAAAGTAAAGATAGCCTACTTTTCAGAAGTTGTGACTTTGGGTTCTTGTAGGCAGGGGAAAAGGCTGACCTGTTTGACTGAACTGATTCTTTCTACAGTTTTCCAACCCCGAACTGGATCTTTCGTCAGTCATCTTATGTGTATACATAAAGTATGATAACGACAATGACTGCATGGGTGTGTGTGTGTGTGTGCAAATTCAGTTTGTTGAGAGAATGTTTTTCTCTCCCAATGACTGAGACATTTGGGGAATGAAAACTGTCACAGCAGTTCTTATTAAACACTAAATGTTGTCATTGCCCTCCAGGGGTGTTTTAAAAATGACGTCTGCGTACCCTAAACTGACCTTAACCTTGTCATTGATTAGAAGCTAGTAACTCTCTATTTTGGACTTTCACTTTTTTTAACCTTGAGTGAGTTACTAGTTAGGTTCCTATGGTGTAACTCAAATCCAAGATAATCGGATGGACATGCTTGTTTCTAGTCTTCTTGTAATTTGGTAAGATTCCCAAGGGGTAGGCTATTGTGTTGAGTGTCTCAGTATTAGAAATATTTTTCATCATAAGTATGTATAACTGAATAATTAAAACGGCCACTATTTGTTTTAATGAAATGGTGTCTTCTTACTTTTAGAAAAAGAATACCTAATTTCTTTTTATTTTCAGATTTTTTTAAAGGAAAAGGTTGAAGACATACTGCAGTAACCATGGCTCATCTGAGCCCAAGCCTTGCAGAAGCGGTGGACTTTTTTGTGATGAGGAAATTTGTTGAGTGCTTTGATAAATGCTGTGCTGTTATTAAAACAGCGAAATGTGAGCCGGAACATGAAAGGTTGTATTGATTCAAGTACTGCTTATTAGCTGAAAAGGTCAGGGGTGGGGTCGGGGGAGTATTACTGTATAGGTTTTGCTTAAAATCGAAAACTTCTTTTCATGAATGTCTAACTTTTTTACATACTGTATTATCTTTTTTTCATATGTATTGTGTCATATAAATTGAGGGCGTGAAGCTCAAATTGACATCTAATTTGTGAGAAAGACATGGTTTTTTTCAAAATATGATCTTGCTCAACGGTAGGCCTACCTTAAATTTTCCACATTTACTTCGATTCCAACTTAGACTAGGATAAACTTTGTTGCCAGAAATGAAATTTTAAGAAAAAACGTTTTTGTCATGGGCAATATCTGTCTTAACAATAGATTTTTATCTGTATTTGATAATTGATTGAACTGCTCAGTTTTCTCTTTTAAAACTTCAAGTTTATAACTGTCGTGAGCTATTATGTACACAATCAATTTTTACAAAATTCTTATGCCTATGTGCCAGCAGGTAGTCACTTTGAATGCTTCAAAATCTTATGTTTTTGTAGTTCGCTGTACTGTAAATAAAGCTGAATTGTGGAGATCAGTGATTAATTTTATTTGAACCTTCACCAGAAATCAAGAAGTTATAGAAGCATCAGCGGCTCTGGGTATTCAAGCTCTTGCAGAGACAAACCTATGGGACCATGCTGTGTCATTCATCTCAGATGTATACGGCACCATTGACATGTGTCCACCTCGAATCATACAAGTTTGGTAGGAACCTCTCTATACCACTTCTCTGCTACATATATATTTGATCAGTAACTGCCAAGGAAAAATAAGCCTCTCTGTGCCATTGCCACAAAAATGCTCTGTATGATTCACTAACAGTAGCAGAGCCATGAAGCTTCTCATGATGTAAAAAAAAATGAAAGTGCTGTCATTATGGGATTTAATACTAGGTAGCGTAAACACGGCCTCGCGGGCACTTGCAGCCTTCCGACCGCATGGAATCGGGGTAATTCCGATCGCTGTTTCTTTGCTCTTTGGCTATAAAACACCAAATGCCGTACACCTTATAAAAGTTCAGCTTTTCCTCGTTACAATGGTGTAAGTTGTTTACATGTCCGATTATTAGGAGCTGGAGAATCGTAGAGGAAAGCGAAGCCCCTCGCGGTCGGAATGCGTGGTCGGCCGGTTCAAAAATTGACACGCGTGCATTCAAATGCTTCGCGGAGCGAGCGATGATAAGATACCGTCTTTTCATTGGCGGAGAACTGTAGAGCTCTAAATGGGCTTTCCCGTAGTATATATTTGGCCTTTGACGTTTAAATAGAAAGTTTTTTTTTAAGTGCTGTCAAAATGTTTAAAGATCACTTATTACACAAAATATGTAAAATAGCGGCTTAAAAAAGGTATTAATCAAAAGATCTATTTATTTTTTATTAGAATAAAGTAATCAGCTTTGAATTATTTTACATCAATCCTTCCACGAGACTCGGAAAGCATGTGACCCCGCACGCGGGGTACACTATAGTATAAGCCGACTCGCTCGCCGCGGGGGCCGGTGCGGCGCCGGCCGGGTCAACGCTTGGTGTTTTTGTCGAAATAACGACAGATCATCGTGTTTGAAGTGATAAAATACTGATTTGTAATGATCCCACAGTCTTTAAAAAAATTAGGCTCCATATATTTGTTATAGTGATTGTACTCTGTTAATGTGGAGATGTTTAGTGCACTTGGTACTCTTTTATTGTCTGTCAAACATGGGGTTGCAGCCAGTGACTGACTTTAACAAATTTTATCAAATTTTAAACAACTACCATTTTCTTTAAAATTGACTGAGAGGTTAAAGAATGGTACCAAAATGCTCAGTGGATATAGGCCTATAAAATTTTAAGTTTGTTTTGAACTTGTTGACCTCATGGCTCCGTGGTTAGAATGAAGAGGAAAGAAAAAAGAATAACAGCTACAGAGATGGTAGAATGTACAAGGAAGTAAATGTACATATACTTTTAAAAGGGTAGTTTTTAGAGTCAAGGAGTATTCCAATTCCATCTTTCAAATAGTGATTTCAGTGAGGTACACCACCTGCTGCTGTGCTGTGGGTCTGTTACCATCCAACCCACTGGGGTCATGGAGGGTGCTCACACTGATTTGATTAAATATCTTTCTGTGTAAGAGTCATGTTCTGCACGATATAATATTGTTTATTTCCCTTATATATTATATCAAAAGCAACCATAAATATTCATGGTAGTGTCTGTATTGTGAACTTTGATCAGATTTTTGAGGCAGCTGTGTTATCAGATTTAGCACACACACGCTGGCCCTCTTCAACTTTCCATTAACGGTCTGGGTTTTCATGTTTTATGATCTTGTCATTAGCATATTTTTATAGCTTTTCTGTGTCCATTAATTCAAATGGAGAATGATGTCAGGAGAATTTGGCTGTGAGCCCAACTAAAGTGGGGAAAGCCTTGGGCATGGTGCAGAAGAAACTTACTTTTTCTCTGTCTTTGTTGTGGTTTTATAGAAAGCAGTTGCCTGTGGGGTGCAAACTTTATTGATCAAAAAATTGATTTTGAAAGTGAAAGAACAGTATCTAGTGAATAGGAAGGAAGGTTTATGTTTTTTAAACGACAATACTAACGCACTTGTTTGTCTTTGTATGCTCTATAGTGCGCGTTTTTCCTTAGTAAATCTGGTTATTAGTAGAGATACTTATTTGTAATTTGCAAACAACACTTCTTTTTTCTGTTATATATTGATATATTTTGTATGTATGTATGTGTGTGTGTGTGCATGCATGTGTGTGTAAAACTCTGCATAATCTATTTCGTCAACTGAGCAGATGGTACAGACGTTTAAAATACTGTAGTCGCTAGATGTACTTGTGTCCTATGTAATACTGAATGGTTTGTGCTAAAATTTATGGTGTTTTGTTTTTTTTACTTTTTTTCAACTCAATAGTAAACGTTTCCAAGTAAACTCGGTAGGGAATAATATTGAAGAGTTACATTCATTTTCCTACTTACTTATTCCTTGATGCTGTGTTATACAAATCTGTGCTAAAGTTCACCCTATAAGTCTGAAAACAGACTTATCGTTCTTTAGCTTTCAATAGCCGCTCTCATGTTTTGCTTTTTCTCTTGTCCACATGTTTTCATCTATTTTTCTTTATCCACACTGTGATATGTGTGTTCTTTCAGCATTCTTTTACATGCACATGTGAGAGAATACTTACCATGCCACAGTCTGGTGCAGCACTGGTTTGAAAACCCGCAGAACCGCATGAACAAACAGTGTGCTCAGGTAGGTTCTAATGGATATTATATCTCAAAAGCAAATTCTAGATTGCTGGTTATAGCAACAGTAACAGTAACAATCAGTGTAAGTCCGAAATTCCTAAGTTCAAGGAAAACAGAGTGGGGGTGTGCCAGAGAATGGATCTATATAACTATAACATGTGTTGCACCAACATCATATAACATAGTTTTCTTTTTATAAATTTGCACGATAAAACACATTATGCAAGACAATCTGCCAGGCAAAAAATAAAACGTTCCCCAATTTGAGGCTGTTACAGTCGATATACAGTGGAATCCTGTTATAACGAGACGTAGGGGACCGGTGCGAAATGTCCGTTATACCAGGATTCTCGTTATAAGGAATCCAGTAATAAATTCAATGGAAGTAATAAAGTAGGCCTAATCTATGCGTTTGGTGTTTATATTTCTTTTTGTTATCTACCCTGATGAAGACATTGTTCAACATGACCTCTAGGTCTTACTTGATCAAAAATCGAATCGGTTTCTTTTTCAAGCGCAAGCGATGTTGACAGCACGGCGTTGGCGATCAGAAAGAATGCGCTCTGGGCAAACTCGCCCGCTGTGTTGTCCCCCAACCCACCACACCCCGTTGTGTATTTCGTCTGCTTGCGCACGTTACTACACATTCACTCCATCCATCACAGCATTGTAACCTCTCTATCCCCGCATCGGAGAAGTGAGGGCATGGGTAGTGGTAGGCCTGGATAATCTAGACTAGGCTGGCCTATCACACGATGCGTTCTGCTTGTCTGCGCTTACCACACCCTCCCCACTCATTCGCTCCGGCCTTCATTGTTGGCAAACGTGGGCTCTCCTATTCTTTGTTTCACTCAAGGAGTTGATGTAAGGTCCTATGTTTCGCTAGATCACAAACAAGTTTCTCAACTGGCAAGGTTTATATGTATAACTGGCCTGTGCGCTGTGCACAGCAGCAGCAATATTCCGCTATAACCGACTCCTGTGTTTGTCTGATTGCACTACAGCAGTATTTTATTTACAAAGATAAAGAAGGTAAAAAAATGGGGTTTTAGAATAGTGTCTTTATAACAGACTTCTCTTTGTTTCAGGACTCGTTATAAGTGGACTCCACTGTAGTAATATTATATTAATTATAAAGATCAAGTGCATCTTTTGGCATGCATATAAGAACCACAATGAAAAAACTATCAGTCTTAAAAAGGAAGTGATTTAAATAAATTATTTTCTGTAACATGTGCGCTTCTTCCATGGCGATCTCTTAGAAACTGTCAAACCGAACAATAAGCTCAGTCCTGAAATAAAAACCTTTTAAAAAAAAAATCACAATAGAAACACAACTAATGTCATTGTATTCTGAATGTTGAAATTTCTCTAAACTTGATCGTTTTTCAATTGCTCTCTTCATATTATTGTTTTAAAAGTGTCTGTTAAGACCAAAGTTTTCAAGAGCATATATATGTTTTATGAATGAGTACATATGGTAAAAATTTGTCATAGTGTTTTAGTTTATGTGCTTTTTTTTGTTTTTTACATAAAATTAGTAAAGAAAACATGAATTAACTTCAATTAAGATACCTTGGGACAGGCTGATGATTTCTATATATTCCTACCAGTAGTACTAGTAGTAGGACTATTGGTTTATGTGGTTGTATTTTCACCATGAATGTGTGTCACGATGTGGTGGAATCAGGCACTCCTCAATTTTTAGACATGTGGAGTTTTTCTGTCCCCGTGGTTTTATGCACCTCGCATAATTTGACCTAATTTGATAATTTTTTGCCTAATTTCTGATTATTTTCCTTTATCGTTCTTTGTTCAAATTAACAGAATCGCATAATTTCACGTTTTTTGGGCTCAGTTTGCATAATTTTAGAATTTCTTTTGCATAAAACTGAGGGGACATGTTTTTGGTATCATCTTAGCTTGTTCATTTGTCTTGCTTTCGATGAAAAAAAATACCCATCCATTTTGAAGAAAAGTTGAGATATTTGTGGTTAAATGGGGTGAGGATAGCCTGGTTTCAGAGGTAAAATTAGCAAGAAAATGACCACCCAACTTTGGTGACTTCCTCAGCTTGAGAGACCTTAGAAACTGGAAATTTACATTTTCTGTGCCTTTAATAAACATGTTTTAGTAAAATCTCTTCAAAAATATGTTTTAAGTGGATGTAACAGGTGTTGGGCCTAAAAACAAATTTTGTAAAAAATGTCAAACCGGTCTAAAAATGTCTATTCTAGGATTTCTTTATTTTGACGGGTGCCTCATTTCACTGTCCCCGTGGTTTTATGCACCCAGCATAATTTTGCAAAATTTGATCATTTTTTGCATAATTTCTGATTATTTTCTTTTATCATTCTTTGTTAAAATTAACAGAATCGCATAATTTCACATTTTTGGGCTCAGTTTGCATAATTTCAAAATTTTTCTTGCAGAAAACAACGGGGACAGATTTCACCACGAAGTCTCTTTTTTTTTTTTGCAAACTGATAATTTTTTATAAAAAGAAAAAAATAGAAATATAGATAATATACATGATATTCTATTCTATTTCATTGATGAAAATGTTTCAAAACTGTCCATATTATTACAACTTTTTTTTTTCGGAAATGTATTTTTTGTGACAGTTTTTTTTTTTTTTTAATGTCCCAGGTTTTAAGTGTATTTCTAATTGTCTGTCCAAGGTAATACGGATATTTGCCAGTCACATTTTGCATCCAACTGGCTGTGTGGAAGCCTTGAAAGAACTGGTCGAGAATTGTCCTTCTTTGTCCGAGCGAGAGAAAGAATTGCTTTTGCAACTTCCTCAGGTCTGTGTTTCAATTGTAATGTTTATTGTATCTGCTGGGGAAGGGGGTTTGTTCCAGATAAAGAAATCCTATCTTTTATTTAAGAAGTCAAAGGGGGCATTTTTATACCAGAGTAGTAGTGAGTACAGTATCCATACATAAGATCCTGCCACCTGACATCTTTTTATTATTATCCCGGAGAGGAGAGTTTATTTCAAATAGAGACTACTGTAAATAGAAAAGAATTGGGATTCTTTCTCCTTTTGTTGAATGCAAAATTCAGTTCAGTGCGAGTTGTGTATAAGTATAAGATCACACTGGAGTCACTCCTTTTGATATTAATGATAAAGTTCCATTATCCTGACTCAAACATGGGTTGGTTTCTACTCAGTTTGGCCTATGATGCTATTTAGTTTATTCTAAGCTTCAACATTTTCCTGATTCCTGGAAACCAGGATCTTAGGTAGAGACGATTAGAGTAGAAATATAGACCTCATGGATAAAATCCTATAAGAGATGGATGTTGAATCATGCCTAGATCCTGCCTTGTTTAATTTAATTTTACATAGTGTTGAGAGATAAAGTTAAAGTGTAAGGGTTTAACATCTCTATTAATATTAATACGATTAGGTTATTTAAGTGGCGGGAATTTCGAATTTAACATCTGTCACCAGCTTAGCTGAACTAAATGGATTGAGAGCCTTCAAACTAAAAAAAAAAAGCAACCCGAGTTCAAGAATATCCAGCCTGGGATTCATAACAGGGCCATCTGCTTTATAGCCCAGCCTGAGACCAACTGAACTAATGGAACTCCCTGGTGTAGAGATGGTTGTTATTCAAATGCATACACCTAAAATAAAAAAGCTCTTATAGTTTTTTACAACAACTACAGTTGGCCTTACTTGTGTTGAACTTCGGGCAAGTTGATCTTTTTCTCAGGTCCCAGCTCCTCTTCTTCTTTACATATCCCAATGGTTATGTTGAACTTCGGATCAATTTATCTTTTTTCATTCCCCTGATGACATCAACTCATCCGTAGTCGACCGTACCTTATGTATATATAATATATTATCATTAGTGAAATCTAGAAACCACTGTGACTTTGGTGATGACCATGGTAGAACAAATGTTCTGTTTCATTTCAGAGCGGGAGATTTAACAACGCAGAGCGACTTGGCGCAACAGAACCTCTGGTCTGCCCAAATAGAATCGTTCCGTCACATGTTGGGTCTTCGGTTGTGGCACAAAGCACGGACGATTGGTCTGACGAGTTTGGTGGAGAAGATCGAACTGGAGGTGATCATACCACTGATGGTGAAGGTCCTGAGAGACACGGAGATGGTTCTCTTTCTGGTAAGTTGTTTGGGTTGGGGTTTGTTTTGTTGTTGTTGTTTTTTTTTTTGGGGGGGGGGGTTCTTGTCTGTTTAGATTTGTTATGTTGTTCATAGTTTTAAAGTGAATTGAGCACTTTTTCACTGGTGGTTGGAGGGCGCCTCTGGTAGGTCCTACTTCATTATTTTCCCTCTGTTGTTTCTGTCTGTCTGTCTTACTTCTTCCCAGCACTAAATGACTATTGTTGTGTCAATGTGCTTCTCTTTACTCAAGGAAATGAGCACTTTTTAGTATTGTATTGTCTCTGCTGTACGACTTCATATTAACTACTTTGACTTGCTTCTTCATTCCAGACTTCTGTCTCTTTATACTCCCCTCCAGCTGTATGTTGTGTATGCTGCAGTGAGTTTGAGGTCAAGCACATACTCAACATACATACGTAATATATTGACTTTGGCTGTTAGCTAGCAAAGATGTTAGGTTAGAGGGAGGTTATCTTTATTTTTATAAGCCATTAGATATATCAGCTGAGCTTCGTCTTTGTGGACAGCCAGTCTGTACCACAGTCTGTACCAGGGACCGGGTTGCCAGTGGGTCATTCAGAGAGACTATTTGTAGTAGGTATTAAAAGTAGCTTTTCAGAGTGCCAATTTGCAAATTATAGTGTAAAATTCACCAAGAAGGGGTCAACAAAACAAGAACAGGACTCGAAAGAAGTTGCTGAAATTGGTTGATAAGCTTTTTTTTCTGGATCTTAAATATTGTAACATCTTTTTACGAAGTGGAAATAGGACTTCTTCAAAGCTTCAGAAACACAAGAATTGTGAGGGTTACTAGCTTGTATCAAGTGTTGCACCTCAGGTAGGCCAACATTCTTCTGATCCACTTTTTTACTTGAATTTTTTTATCTTTTTGTGCATGTGTATTTGTCTAGATGTAATCGAGTACCTGTACCACCAAGTGACCAGTTTTCTCAAGGCTCGACTAAGACCATGGCATCAGAGAATTGGGCTTCTGCTCATGGCCGTCTTCGCTGTTCTGAGTTTGATGCATTCTCAAACAGGTAGGCAGTCTTTATAATTATAAGTACCGCACTAATACAATAGTTGTAAAAATAATAAGCTTACCTTTTCTCCAGACAGGCCATTGTTTACCCCATTCTTATAATGTTCAGGCAAAAAAAGCACAAATTACTTTATAATGAGTCTGTCACTTTATCTCCTTGTGGATTGGAGGTTATTTTTTCAAATTAACAGAATGCTGTTGAAGGATGTGATTAGTATTGTTTTTATTTTTTATTTTAATGATATTTAAATTCTTTCAGCATTTGTGTCAGTGTTACTGTTACTTACTAGCTTTCAGTTATCTTAGTTTTAGATTCTTTTTCTTCTAAAACTAAAAGTTTTTTCTCAATCATTCTCAGTTACAGGTTGTGAGGCAGCGGGATGAAATCTGGCACTTGTCAAAATAATGAAATCAAAGAAACAGGCATTTTTCTGGCTAACGTGCAATTTTTTATTTTTTTTTGGAGTGCTTATTTAGGCCACATATGGCCTAGATAAGGTCACCCCCCCCCCCCCACACACACACACACCTAACATTATTTAGGCCACCTGTGGCCTAAATAAGATTTCCCCCTCCCCGGAACATTATTAAGGCCACATATATATGCTCAAACTACCCTTTTCACGCTACTGAGTTCATTCCACTTTCATAATGGTGTACCTTTCTCATTTAGTACAGTTTTGTCTCAGTGTACAACTTATAAATCATAATCATAATGAAAATTGTAAGAACAAAGCACAATACGCAAAATTTTGCTCAATCCCAATGGTTTGAATGAGGGCCAGATTTTTCTTTCATGGATTGGCAAACCATTTTGGCACACTTTGGTCAAGTGAAAAGATCAAATCCTCCGAATGGACTTTCGGGTAAAATTTGGTGTACAAAAAGTGTGTACACAAACAACATACCTGAGTCAAAGTTACACTATCTTTGCCTGTGTAGCGCTCTCTTGTACTGTCTCGTAGTAGTAGTAGTAGGCAGTTTAGTGAACATGCACGCGGTAGGCCGAATTGGCCTCGATACGCCGTGGAGACTTTTGTGATCGGCCATGAAGCATCATGTTTTGATGGGTCTAAACAATTGTATTGTTAATCGCACTGCCACATCCGACAGGCCTACATCTTTTTAAAAGGAACAGAAAGATCATCAAAATGGTGGTCTTCGCGAGAAAATCGATTCTCTAGAACTGGAAGTATTAAAATTTGCTTCTGAAAACAAGGCAATTTTTACAACGCGATGAAATAAAAACTACTGGCTGTGTTATCCTGTAATATAAATTATGAAACTTCAAGACGTATTATTATTTTCCAACATCTTTTGACGCCTCAGCTGTATAGGTTGAAGTTTTCACAACGCTAATAGGCTAGGGCTTTCCGTAAAAATCCCTATCTCTACAAAAGCCGAACGTCCGAATCGACCGGTCAGCGACCCGGGCATCCCACTCTCCCCTGCACACTGTGATAATGTATTGGATCGGCATCGCATTATTCAACTATTAATACGTGCGGCTATGGCAATTTTGATGTACTGACTGACAAAACAATTCAGTTTTGTTTTTATTTTACGATATATTTGACTTTTGGATAGTGCAGGTGATAGCTAAATCTAGATTCCCTGTCTAGAATCAGTAAGTAGACCTAGGCTAGAAGAAGCACCCAGAGAGCCTACAACGGCTAGATCTAACTTATTGCTATGCCTTTGGGCTTTGGAATTGAAATAAAATGAATTGCACAGTTCTAGTTAACTTTAGATTCAGCATTTAATTTAACTATATTTTCCAGAGTTAATAATAACAAATTTCACCATAACAATCACTTTAACTTTTATTAGATACAACTTTTTCCCCCAAATTCTGTTTTGAGCAAACTTACTAGATTCTAGAAGAGAACAGAGAATATGTATGATAAGCATCTGCTCAGTCTTTCAGTAGGCTACAGAATTATTTTATGTTATTATTTTGTGGATATTTTTACATGATCGAATTGTGCCATTTTCTTTGATAAGAATAGCATTAGCAGTGGACTTTTTAGACAGCAAGTCTCTGACTCAATATTTTTTGTTAAATTGTGCTAATCAATGAAAATTGCTAATTGATAATAACTGAAATCAACTGTTGTCATGAATAGTGAAGAAAAATGTGTGAAAAAAAAGATATTGAGGTAGACTATAATTTGTCCAGAAATTTGCCATTGCAAGTGAAGATCATAAGATGATTTTTTTTATTTTCTGGTCATCTTTCCGCGGTTTATCAAATGTTCCAGTGTGCCTACTTCTATGTCTCTGAAGAACATTTTGCTTGATTTTATACTTGAAAGCATAAAATATAGTTTCACACAAATGTATGCACAAAACTTTGAAAAAAAAGAATAAGGAGCTGACTTATAGTCATTGGAATTTTTTTTTAAAGGAATCCGTTTTATATTGAGAAAAGCGCTAAAAACAAGTTTTGAAATTTTAAGAATGCCCATAAGATTAGGAAATTACTAGCTAGTTGGCTTACTCTTTAACAGTTAAGGAAAACAAAGAGAATGATGTAGGATTTGTCTAGAATGACCATTAGCAGTAAAGAATATCCTTGCAGGTGATTTTTTAAATCACTCTGTACTGTACCTCTATTAGTATAAGTACAAAAAAATATATTTCTGTGACTTTGTAAAGAGGTGTTTTGCAGTGGTGTGCCTTCTATGTAAAATTCTCAACAAAATAAAGTACATTAATTTTGGACCATTTAATTAAGATAAACACTCCCGAACACAAAAACATTCACACACTTACAGTACACACATTACACACACACTCACGCATCCTAACACTATTACATTTACTCTCTCTCTCCCACTGCAAACACACACACACTCTGTCTCTCTCACACACACACACACAACTCCTACCCTTTGTCCGCTTTTCATTCATAATCATTCCTCTATTTTGAAATAATCCCGCTCACAAAATAAAAGATCAGTAGAATCTCGATCTTGCGAATCCATGATTAGTTCTAGAAATCTACTTAACAAACAAACTGCTGTGTACACATGATCTAATGTAGTAGGACTAGCCTATCAGCATAACCATGCCATGCCTTTCGAATCTGTTGTTTATCTCAAATCATCAAAATACAAAGACATTCAGTGTTGCCAGGTGGCAGTGTTACTCTAGATTCGGTTAACTACATCATGTTTGCCGGGATGATTCACACCAAAAAAAAAGAAAGAAATAAAATAAACAAACCACTTTTTTTTTCAAAAAAGTAAAAAAAATAAATTAAGAATAACGATTTAGATAGAAGTTTAACTGGCAGAATGTCAAACCGAGTCTGCCCACCATCTTTTTTTTTTCTCTTATTTTTAAAACCTTACCCTAACACTAGGCGATGTTAGGCTACACCCTGAAGTCCACCTATCCACTTTCGAAGAAAGTACACATTTATTAATAAATTCAGTACGGGTAATTCAGATATGTACCAACGGCACAGGTTTTTAACTGCAGATTTGTAGATACAGAAAAGGACCTTAAATTGATACTAGATACATTACATGTCCTTCTGGGATGGAAGATGGATGTGAAGAGGGTTTCTTTCTCTCTATGTGGCCTAAATAAGGCCAGGTGGGGGGCAAGCTTATATAGGCCATATGTGGCCTAAATAAGGTCACCCTCTTTTTTTTTTGCTTTTACACCTTCTAGTTTCCAAGGACACTCATGCTTTTGAATTCACCGAACTTTGGGGACTATTTTCTCGTAAATTTTTACTCTGAAACCAGGTGACCCCCACCTCCTTCATTCGCAAATATCTCAACTTTTATTCAAGATAAATGGGTATTTTTTTCATCAAAAGCAAGACAATTTATAACCAAGCTTTAAGTTGATGCCAATAACTCTACATGCCCAAAAATTGACGAGAGCCTGATTCCACTGTGTCGTAACACATATGATATGGATAAACCCTTAGTGTCATTCAGTGAGCGTATGAATGATGCAGTATGCAGTTCCTCTCTCACTCGGCCCAAGTGCCATGTTAATGCTTGGCATGCCTGCAGTTTTTGAATCAATATCTCCTTCAGTTTTACCATTATGCATACAGCTGGCCCTGCGGAAAATTGCATTTTTGAAATAAAAAAATTGCAAGGTAAACTGCCTAAAAATTGCAACCTTCCCATCCCAGGCGCATTAATACGCGTTTAACATAGTTTTAAAAAACATGACAATTTGAGTACCGGTAGCATAAAAGCAGAACAGCCTTTTAAAAAACCATGACCCACAGTACAAATTTTATTAACATCATTTACTAGTACTAATAATTAGTAACAACACACAAGTACATTAACAATAAAATCATCCACCAAATATAATATAATACCGCGCGACCCAAAATAACGGAACCCTCGGTTTTCGTAATAACTTTTAAATGAAGGCATAAAATTGACCAAATTTAGTAACCGCGAGTACTTGGTTCATGCAAAGATCTAGAAGTGTAGTATGTGGTTTAGGCTCTTTAAAAAAAATTGATGGGGGATTCAAACAACCTCTAAATGCAAAATTAGCTTATGCCTCAATCAATTCAGATCCTATTCTATTTTTCTCTTGATACTTTCGATACACCGGTAATCTGTATTTAGATCTATTTCATTTTTTTTTTTTTTTTAAAACAGTATAATATTGTTCTAACTCTTGTCAAATCGTAAATACAGCAAATTTTTTTTTCTCCATTTAACAGTAATAATAATGTAGATCATTTCTATTACGGCCACTCCCGTGTGAATACAGCTTAAGGTGTTTTACATTTATTGAGTGTCTACGTACACGGTAACCGGGCACCTAGCCTCAGTGTCTTCGTACACGGTAAGCGGCAACCAGGCACGTAGTCTCAGTGTTGTCACGTACACGGTAACCGGGCAGTTCAGAACTCCAAGTTCAATTTTTGTCATCCGGTATTGCCTTCAACCCTAGCCCTCTCCCGACTGTACCTTTTAAAAAAATCGATAATCCCCCCTTTCCGGAGCCCTATACTTTGCAGCGCACAGACTTTGAATGATCTTTTGTGACCCCAACCGGTACTCACAATTTGATGCGAAAGCACAGGTTCACTGACCGGTCACAATGGCGATCCCGACAAGACGCTTGTATTTGTAATGTATGACTTTCTTTCTTTTTTTTTCAAAAAGTGACAGCACAGGACAAATATTGATTTATTTTCATTCCAGTTACCGTGTATGTAGATACTGAGACTAGGTGCCTGGTTACCGTGTATGTAGACACATGCATCATGTACGAAGTACGAACAATATTTGTGCGCTCGCACGCACACACACACATACACCTTACACGCGCACACACAAGCACACCACACACACCTACTTTCTTATCACATGTGCATGCTTAAACTTACACACATTAGATCTCTATGTCTCAGTTTGTGTTGTACATGATGTATCCCGGCCTAAATTTCCAGTTATAGCTTTCAGAGTACGCCCAGTAGACTAGAGCTGAGCCGAAACCATGATTTACGTAGGCCTATCGGCTCTATACACGCATCATTTCGAATTTAAAATTCTGCTCAAATTAAAGCGTTGACGTTATTTTGCCTAAAATTGCAAAAAATTGCGGGTTTATTGCGAAACTCTACGAAAAAAGCGGCCGCAAGTGCGCCCGCAAGACCGCGATTTCCTGGAGAGCCAGATACAGTAGTCTCCGCCTAAATGCACGCCATACAAAAGGCCTAGCTCGTAGAGACTTGCATGTGAAATATTGTCAGTGTTTCGGGCAACAACTGAGCGAATGTGCCGTGCGCAGTGTATAGCCCTAATGTGTACTGTATAGTTCTGGCGACCAGTTCGCAGGCGGTACAACAGGGTAAATTTACAGTAGTTTAATAAGGACGGTACAACTGAGACAGTTGACGAATGGCGGTGTAGAGGCACAAATACTATGTTTATATAGGATGAATATTTATCAATCATTTTGTGTCTTTCTTTCTGCTAGGAGACCCTGTATCCAGCTTGGGACGACTCGTGATCCTGTGGAAGACATTCCTGGCCAGACTGCTGTGGCGTGGCAGCTGACTTTTTGACAAGACCGACATTACCTTTACAGATTACTTGCAATAGATTTTTATAATAAATTTTATGTGATGCCCTTTTGAGATATTTCTTTTGGTTTCGTACATAAACTGGTTTAAAGTGCTATTCTATAAGTTATAAGGCTTAAAAGTTAAAAGAGCAACAAAGTCACTACAACAAGGCTCTCCAATAGAATAGAGAAGCGGACAAGTTCTCGGTACATGTGCTATTGATGCCTGCTCTGATGGCATGAACCCACTGTTTCTACTAGATAGATAGTGGTGAACCTGTGTTTGACCAACTTTGTCATGGAAATGGGTTATAATATTAATATTTCAAGTTCTCCCACATGACTGTGGTTAATATTATAATAAGTGGGTGGTTGGCGGGTGCTCTGGGGTGGTTTGCTTCTTCTTTCCTATCAAACATCTATCGTCCTTATCTCCCCTCCTTCCTTTTTGTGTTTGTTACTCTCTTGTAACACCTCTAATCTTCTGGCGCTCATATGAGTATGACCTTATGCAGTTAGGAGCGCCGTAAAACCTCTACTACTACTGTGGTTAATAATGGCTTCAAGTTCAAGATAATCTGACAGAAGGTCAGGGTTCTGCTATGACACACAATTGCACGCAGATTGCTTGCAACATCCTATGTATACAGTGGAGTGTGGAGTCTGTCTCTCCATCATGGATTTGAATCTAGTCTATTTTATGCTCGTACAGGCAATGTGTACACCACTTGATTATCATCAGGTCAGTACAGGACCTCCCATCAAATTTTGATTCATGTTTGGCAATATGACCGAAAGATTTAAAACAAATCAGAGATTGAGAACCCTTTGTTGATTACACATGATGAATTTCAACAGCACTGCCAGAATTACACAGGCTTTCCTTTACTTTTATTCCAATCACACTGTCATGCACTAAATAACTAAGCCTACATTTTTATTGATGTGTCTGTGCACTGCATAATTTGTATCAATATTAATTACATCCTATAGGCCTACTTTTAGTTTTACGACATGTGTCATGCAGGCAGGCTAGATTTTGTCACTTCTAGATAACAGCAGGGAGAGTGTTGACGTAAATCAGGAAGCGTTCTTTACTGAATGGTTCAATGATTTTATTGAATATTGATCCAGTACATGACTGAGGTGACTGGTCAAGGCCAGGACCTAAGTGGTGGAAGAGGATCCAATAAAAGCATGATTGACACACATGATGAATGATGATGCACAAGTAAGATGTTTAAAATACAGTCGAACCTGCCATGACAGCCACCTGTAAAATTAATGCAACCACCGGTACAAACGGCCACTTTCCATTTCCTCCCTTTCGTTTTTTCAATATTACTGTGTAAAACTCTAAAACGCTCACCTGTCCAACGCGGCCGTGGCCAGGCCTGGTCTCGCATCGCCCTATGCTTTATCATAAATTCTAAATCGGCCTCTAACGCTGTGTCATAATTCATCCACCTGTCATTATTGTTAGTCCGTAAAATGTTAGTCCCTCCCATGAATGTTTACCCAAGTTGACCAATGGGTAACGATACAATGATACATTTTCAACTGCTGCTGACGGGGAGGGTGTGATCTGTCATAACCTATAACCCCCCCCGCCCACAACCCTACACAAACTGCATAATCTGTAACAAAGAAACAATGACAAAAGCGCCGCTCGTTCTCCGAGTTGTGGCGACTCGGTGTTTGTTATACCATGGCACTCTGCCTTCATCTTCATCGTCTTCTTAATAAGTTAAGTTCTTTATTTTATAACCTTGCTCATAATCTGCAAATGAAAAAGCTAACCAAAAAACAAAACAACTGAAAACCCCCTTCTTACTTCTTACACCCCCCCCCCCCCCCCCCCAAAGAAAACAATAAATAAAACCTCTTGAATTGGCCCTATATGGCATTCCTTCGCATGAAAGCAGCCTTGGTTTGGACCTCGGAAGGGACTGGTTTGCTTTCTCCATTTTGAGTCTTGCCTAAGACGGCCGTCTGTGTTATACGGCCACTTTTCTCCTTGACAAAGGGTGGCCGTTTGACACAGGTTCGACTGTATTTAAAGGTTTGCCTCTGCAACAGTAAATCCAGATCTTTAAATTTATATTAGACCTGGCCATTCTCTGTCAAGGCTAATAATTCTATAACATTGTTTGGTGATGACATCTGGGCATAAAAAAATTTTGAAACATTAAAATCATTTGATTAGGGGGCACATAGAATACAAAAATAGAGCAGATATTTACTGTGAACACATTGCGACTGGACACATTACGTTTAAGTTTAAGGACCCAAGAATTATCCATGTAATGCTCATGTCTGTCCGACTTTGCTTTCCCCCCAAACTAAAAGTTACTAGCTGGGCAGGACAAAAATCATGGGAAGGTTCCATCAGATTCACTGTACATTACACAATCAAGACTCAAAGTTGGAGAATCTGGAGTGTATCGAGATCATAAAAATGTGCTATTGTATATTGTGCTTGTTCCTTGTATTAACTGCCAGAGCAGTAGATTTGCAGTTAAACTTGACACACAACCCATGCTCAATGGGATGACATTGATTTCGCAATGTTTGTTTCCAGCAAGTCAGTGTAATAATTTAAACCCTATACATAATACACAGTGAAGTCTGTTTAAACGGAAATCTGCGGGACCCCCGGATTTTCTTCGCGATGTAGCTTAGCCAGGTTTTGAGAGGCTGCTCAAATTGTATAATAATAGAAAAAAATTTGGGATTTTATTTTCTTTCGGTTGACTGCTCTTTTCAGATTAAAACAGAGTTCAGGTAAGTTTAAAAGCAGATTCCGCTGTATAACAAACAGTTATCTCCGTGAACAAACTACCGACTTCTGGTACTGGTAGGCTACATATATGCTATATAGTTGTCTGGAGCGCACCCATAACTGATGATCTTTGCTCCTCACGTTGCGTCACACAAAAAAGATTCTTCCGTCTCCTACAAATGTTACAAAGCCTTATGAGGTACATGTAATTATATATAGTTCAAAGAATAGTAAAAAATAATATCCAACACACGTATACTATATATATACCATTATCTCAAGGCCTGATCATTGATTCATCATCAGTTGCTTAGTAGACTGAGACAAAAGTGAAACAGTCGACTACGAATGAGTCTATGTTTTTTTGGGGGGGTGGAAAGTGGAAAGAAAATCAACTTGTTCGTCGTTCAACTTAACTGCTATGACCTGTAAAATGTAAAGAAGATGAGGAGGTGCTGGGGCCCTAGGAAAAGATAAACTCAATCGAGCTCAACACGAATGGAATTGACTGTAGTATTATAGTAAGTTGCAGACACACTACTAGAAGAATTAGAAATATGCTCGGCTGCCTGGGAAGTAGTAGCAAGCTGCTGACAGCATGCGCTAAAAACAATAACAAACGCACAAAAGCTTTCGCAGTCTATAGCTGGGTAGGCCTACCTATTCCCATGAAGCATGAAGGGAGGAAAATCTGTGTCAAGTGCCCCCAAAAAACATCAAGTCCCTGATGAATTCCAACCCACGACCTTAGTTTCAAGTCCGAGAATCTAACTTAACCACTAGACCACTGATGGACTAGTTTGAAGTTGGTTTTTTATGATGTGATATAAGATTCTGAATCGGAAGAATCAGATTTATCGATGGGTACTTTCAACTTCTTTTTGACCAAGCTGTTTTGTTGATTCTAACTCACTCTAGTCTAAGGTGTCCAAGTCAAAGGTTTTAGAATACAGGGCTCTTTCCATTTTTCAGCAAATCCGAGGACGACTTAGACTTGTCTTTAGAAAATTAAGTATTGTCAGGCTAATCAGATATAACTTTCCTCATCATTACTGTTCACAAGACTAAACAAATTATGTAGCGTACCATGTAAAAAGTTAAAGTTGTTCCCGCATCCGATCCGGACATTGGGGATTGCCTTGTTAGTGAGACAACCTCCTGGGCCTTCGGCATATTGTGGTAGAGTGCAGATCTAGTTAATACTTAACTCCCCTTTCATCCATGACGCCACAAAAAGAGAAAGAATCCTTTTAATGTTAAATTAAGTTAAATCTTTCATTCCTTCAGGGTCAACAAAATAACTAAATCTGAAACATATTTCATTTTCATTCACTTTGGTCCGATTGAAAAAGTCAACCTCAATGGACCCCAACTTAAGTTTGCAGGACAAGCTGCCTCTAATTCTAATCTAAACTACCAAACTTATACAATTCTCCCACAGATATACAGTATCGAGTTACTTGCTACAGTGAAGTCCTGTTATGTTGATGAACCTGATGCAATGTATGTGTGGTGGTGGTGGTGGGGGTAGTGGCAGCATGGAAAGGAAACTGACCAATGCAAGCATAAGTTAAAACAGATGAGCCAGCCCGCCGTTGAATTTTTTACCTCTCATTTCCATTTGTCCTGAGCACAGTACCATTTTACTTCTAGACACATTTAAGATAACCTACAATGTAAATTGGAGTGTGCAACGGTAGCCTACATGGTAACAAAGGTTATCAATCTCAACGCAAACAGCTGAAGTTTTTCGGCCTCACAATATTAGTTGACTCTGCTTATGTTGAAAATAGCTCGAGTTGATCTCCCCCCCATCGTGTCCCAGCACCTCTTTTTCATTACAGAACAGGCACCTGAACTTCGGATGAGTTAGTCTTTTTTTTAAACACCCCCCCCCCCCCCCCCCCCATCAACTGTTGATTCATCCATAGTCGACTGTACAATGCATTCCAATGTTACAATTTCAATGAATGAGCATTCTACTCCGCCTCATTGTGAACTGCATGTTCATGGTATAACGCTGCCATCCATCAGAACAGCAAGGTAGGCAGGTTCAGGGCATTCAGGAGAAATGAATTATGTGCACTTCCACCTCATCCTATCCAAAAGGTATCACTATCGCTATCTGTTGTGTAGTGGTTATGGGGAAAATTTTAATTGAGTATGGCATCTTGGTCTTACTGCTTGGACGCTGTACCCCTCTCAGCTCATGTTTGCCCCGACAGGCAGGGTGGAGGCCCCCCCTTCCTCCTAATTGATCGAAATTGTGATGCCGTGGGCATAAAAACACCTACTAATGAAACAATCCAAAAGGGCATTGAACGCCTCTTCATGATGTCAAATGGGTAATCTATACATCATTTTAACAAGTGTTTTACGATACTTGCAACACAAATTAGGTGGCGAAGAAAAGAGGTGTAACAGGAGAGTAGAGAACACAAAAAAGGAAGAGAAATAATGATCGGCGTTTGATAGAAAAGAAGTAGCAAACCACACCACACGCAGTCTTGATCAGAACAAACTTTTCGCAACTCAAAAGAACAAAAGAAGAAACCAAAGCGTATGGAGTACAAACAGTTTATTTACAAACCCCCCTCTGCTCTCTTCTGATCAAAGCAACAAGCGACGAACCAACACTCCCTGGTCTTACAGATGAGAAAAACACCAGCAAGGCAAATGTTCATCTCTCCCAAACATAGCAAAACCAGGCAGAGAGTATTGGAGCATATGGCATGTGACTTCGCCATGAAACAGCTGCCTATAGGAACCTCACCTCTGCTCAATGCATTCCGAACCCCACCTCGATCCTTACACACAAGATAATAAAAAAAAAAGGCAACAAAAAAAAAAAGTGAAAATCTTGGCACTACATGAATTCCAAAATACCTGGCCCTGAAGAAAATGTGAAATGAGAGAATGCTTTTAAATTACATATCCCATGACCATTTCACGTTGCATTTGTACTTGCAGCCATGAAAACTTTTTAAAAAAAAAAAAATCATATTAAAAAATATATATTTTAACATTGCATTTCAAGGTAGAGATTTTCAGGATTCAGTTGTCACTTCAGAAAGCCTGAAGTCCTAGCCAACCATGATCAAGACCTTTGCCAGCCAGGCAAACACAAAGAGACATGAACGTTATCATGCACACACAATCGCTCAGACACTGGGGGCAGACAAGCCAAACTGTTGCACATCAATGGAGTGTGAAGAAATCCCAGACACAAACGACATTACAACAAGACATCAATCAAGTGTAGCTCTCCTCAGCAACTGCCAAGAAGGAGTTAACAAGCCTACTCGGGACAGTTCAGGGGGAACATTTCATTGGACAAACCCAAAAGAAGTAAAAATACTATTCCACAAAGAGCTTTTAGTCTGGGAAAATAACATGATGGTACACTTTAAAAAAGAACGATCAGTCTAAAGGGGTGAACATTATTTTTCAAAGATGCATGTCCCAGTCAAGCGCAGAACAAAACAAAAAAAAAGAAAGAAAGAAAAAGAAAAAACAAAAGAAACCAGACCTGAAGGTACCCCGAAAAATATAAAAATACATTCATAGAGGGAAAAAAAACCAAAAAAACTTGGAATAGTTACGATGCATGACACATAACTATAACATGATCCACCACATACACTGAAAACAAAAAAACAAACACAAAAAAAACACAAAAATACAAATCAACAAAATCATCCCAGGATTGAAGTCCAGGTATTACACCAGGAACAACACATGAGATGTGCAATGCAAGTGACAGAGAACGACAAAACAAAACAACAATCCAGGAGAGACATGAGCAACATGGAACAAGCATGGACCCATCACGCTGCGGCCACAATGTCGTTGGACTCTGAGGGGCAATCCCTGGCTATGTGGCCAGTTTCATTACAGTTGTAACATTTCGTATTGGAAGTGCCATTCGGGCAGTCTCTTGCCAAATGGTCCGAAGATCCACAGCTGAAAGAAAGAAGTACATGAAAACATTTTACTACATATTTGGTAAGAATAATGACGAAACAATGAAACTAAAAATAGAACTGCAATGCTACTGTGAGCGACTTTGTGTTCAGACACATGAAACATCTGTTTAAAAAAAACTTTTACTCGTTCTTCATTTCATCATCATTTCTGTCCTAAACACAACCAAAGATTTTTTTAATAAAAGAAAATCCTTATATAGAATCAAGACTGGAGCTCAATATGGATCAAATCTGAAAGAAATCGTTGAGGGGGGAGAACATTTTTTTTAAAAACCTGCAGATGGATTCAAACAAGTTGTAACCGTATTTGCTCTTTTGTGGTCAATCAGTGCTTCCAACAGTTGAAGCTGAAAAGTAAGGAAAATTCCGTGTGTGTGTGTGTGTGTGTGTGTGTGGTGGGGGGGGGCAACAGAAGAAATTGAAATTTAGCGCTTTAAGAGGGTTGACAACGCCATTTGGGAACCTGTTTGAAGAGATTGCTAACAACCCAAGACACCTATTTTGTCATCAAGATTTTGTCTTGCTTGATTTCTCAACCTACAAATCTTTCCATTGCTGGCAACGATCAAAAGCTAGTTCCTCTTGTCTTCGCCAAGTCACTATAATTTTTAATTCAATTAATTTGCCATCACACCACTGACAAAAGGCAAACTAGGGAATAATAAAGACATGTACCTTGACAGTAGTCACCCAGCGCATACCCTAATTTTCCTCCATTTTCACGTTTGAATGCTGAATGTCACAATCGAGGAACACCATTTCGAATCATTCTTTATTTTAGTAGTTTTTGTACAAACTTCTTTCACCGCGGCCCTTATCACTCTCCAGTAGAATCATCACACTAGACAAATTTGCAAAAGGGTTTGTTTTTTTCTGACAGTGATTTTCTGTCTAAAATGACAAGTCAATTTACTTGACCAACGAACAGATTTTCCAGCCGTGGCAACAATTTGAAGATAGAAAGAATGAGTGATTGAAAGGAAGGGGGAAAGTTGACACAAAAAGTTCACCATGGCAAGCCAAATTTTGAACAATTCGCAGGTAAAAATGTTTTCCCAGCCAACCCGTGATGAATGCATTGCGGGATAAAAATAAAGGCAGATTGTAGGAAATGCACAACCTGGCAGGTTTCTATAACTTATAACATTAAGTTTTAAGACCTCTTTCTTAAATATCCTGAACTTATACATGACGATACCAAAAGGAGTACGGATCCTTTGCCACAGAATTTCGGTAGACTAGCCCTACGATATCACACTTTTTTTACAGATGAAGTTGCTAATGATGGGGGAGAAAGTTGGGAACTGTCAGAAAGTACTGATTTTCGTAAAAATACGTAATATTGGAAGCACTGGTCAATTACAATTATAAACCATCAAACAAGAAGTCATGCTCACAACACGAATTGAACTAAATTCTTTATACAGCTTTACAGGAAAAGCCTGACAGCAGCCAGTAACCAGGTGATAAAGAACAACTTGGATGCATGTAACAACTGGTGGTATGATAGAGTCGAGGTATTCCATTCCTCCACAAATCAAGAAACTGATTGGAGCCAACTACACAAAAAAAGGTACCACTACCCATCGTTTCGTAGATACCCCTGCACTACTTGCAACATAGGTCATGTAAGTGCCAAAAATTAGAGGGTTTCTCTGAGAGCTAACAAACAAACAGTATGAAAGATTAACATCTAGAAACTATCTTCTACCCTTTCAAAGGACAAAAAAAAAAATTGGTTTGACACAGTTACACTTTAAAAAAGTACATTTACCATATGCCAAGAGTTCGCAGTCAAACAGAATATTTAACAAAAAATGAAAATGATATGTTGCAACAAAAGCTACCCAGCATCCTTGGAAGGCCCATAAGACAGCAAACAACTCATGACTTGAACAGAGGGGAAACATGATGTGGAAGACATGGGGTACAAAAAATGTTGCCACCGAGAGGCATAAGAAAAAGACGGCTCTTGTTTTGAGGTACAATGAGACTGGTTAGTAGAGGCATTTTCATGGGGCGTAACAGCATATAAAAACTTTCCATGACTGTCCCCTGCATCCTCCATTGACCAAACAATGGCCTTCAGTCCATTCAGATGCCAACATTTACATTTACTAAAAATGTCCATACCATTATCAAAAATAAATGTCTCTGAAATTAGATGGTAAAAAGCTTTAATCAACAAGTCACAAGTGTCTCGTTGACACACACCCTTGCAAAAAACATGGTATCCCTACAGAAAATGAGCACATTTTTTTTTAAGAAAAAAAAAAGAAAAAGAAAAGAAAAAAATGAGCACAGAGCCAGTCTTGTTGAACCTCCGAGGGTTGTACTTCCACCATCTCACCTCTCCTGATTCACTTCCTCTCTCCACTAGTTCCACTTCACCTCTCTGCTCCGACTACTGTCAGCCGTCCAACGATACGGTCCATTGTTCCGAGGTCTGTCTCTCACAGAGCGAACAGGACCCACTCCTCCCCTGTACAAATATTGCAAGTCACCAGCTCAACAATTCTCCTCACACACTCCCACCAACATCACACCTTCCAAACTCCAACACCTCTAGGCATTTCCACAAACCAAATATTTCATCTGTTCACATTCTGTCACAAATACATCAAATCTACCCGACCAGCACTACATTGCTGCACCACCCAAAGCACACCTCTTGTTTGTTTGTTTTTTTGCAATACTCACAACTTACCAATCTTTCTGTCAATTTCACACCAACATTTCTTTTCCTTCAAGAGGCTTTCCACTGCCGCCCTTTGGCATTGTCATTCCACAACACATGTTCGTTCACTCACAAAAAAAATTTTCTTCACGCTTTCCGACCATTTTTTTTCCTTCTGGGGCCACAGACTTTCAGATCCATTTCCTTATCAAATGTGCACACCAGTTTCACTCAAAAACCACATCCTCCAGTTAACTCTTTCACATTATCAAAGGCTTCTCTCCGTTCAAGACCTGAGTTTTCTGTATTCTTTGAGTACACCAAGTTTCTTCATTTCCTACTTTATCGCTCAATTCCAGTGCAACATGCCATGGAAGACTTCACATCTGTTCTTATTTCCATCAGTTCATCTTCAACTATTCACAAGATCACCACTCATCCATGCTCTTTGTAACTGCTTTTCATTTTGCTTTTTTTCTGTACATTCTCCGAGTCGCACAACCAGCTGAGTCACGAGGAAGTGCCATTCTTCCAGTCAAAACGTGTTCTTTTCTCCTGACACCTCTTCCGACTTCAAAAGATGTTTTTCATTACACCTTCAACCCTTGTGACAAACCTTCAAAAGCTCACAACATTCAATGTAAACTACTCTCTTGGAAAGTTTTAAGCAGGACTACAAGGAAAATGCATCAGATGACCATTCCCTCTAGCTGATTTGCAGAGGTAGACGACAAAACATGAAAATGGCCCGCACATCTGTGAACGTCTGTAAACATACCATTTTGACTTCCTGAATAGATAGCGAGAGGGGTCATACTCGAGCTGCAAGCACTATTAAGTACTACATTCATCCACACCTTCAGACTTGTCCAGCTTGCTTGGGTGTTTTTTATAGGTGTGTTCCCTTTGCATGGACTCCTACTGCCTCTTCTGTTTCTGCTGGTCCTTCACCTTTCCATTCACTTAACTCGTTTGCTTCCAGCCCATCCATTATCTTTAGGTGCCCAGCATGTTTCACAATTACAAGCATCACTGCATACATTGTCAAAATCTATTTCCACATATTTTCGACAAAATTCCTTCAGAGGGGACTCATGACAAGGACAATTCTGATTTCCGGCCAATGCACTTAGAACTGCTTCGCCTTCCTTCAGGTAATTCTGAAGCCATCCACAGTACACCATTCCCAGTCTGTCATGTCTTGATCTTCTGAATTAGTCCATTCACAGTCCAGGAGCTTGATGGTCTGAACATAAAGACGGACTAAGGGCAAACCAAAAGAGTTATCTATTATAACCCAGTCTTAATGCCTAAACTGAACTTCAACCTTTAAACATTTTTTTAAAGTATCCATTATTTAATTACTAAACACTTGAAAAAAATGTTAACTTGTGCTATACATCGTCACCTCAGAACTACAGTCGTGGCCAAAAGTTTAAGACCACCTTACATTTTTTTATTACATTTTTAGCAATGAAATGAACATTTAGTTTAGTAATATGAAAATACCTGCTTTAAAGCTTCAAATATGTTTATGCCGTTGAGAAATAGTTTTGATCAAAATCATGACTTTTTGTGTCCTGTTGCATGGATGACCGTTTGAATAGGACACGGTGTGCTAGCATGCCTGACATGAAGGTTTGGAAATATTTGGTGGAATTTCACCCGTCCACACTTCCTTGATTGCACATCTTCCAACTTTTTCGATGGACGGCTGTTTTTTGGGACCATGTTATTCATGAATTCTTAACCCTTAGAGAGCTGACTTATTTCCCCTTATATTTTCCCTCTGTGCTGAATTTATTTTGGAAAAATGCCAGATTTGCACATACGCTTTTCTTTTGCTAATAACTTTTTTATTTGTCAAAATTTCTAATGAAGGTAAGAATAAAAGTTTGAGAATATTGAAAATTCTTTATTATTTATGAATATGTGATACAAAAATTATTTTGTGAATGTTGAAAATGACAATAAAAACTGCCTACGTTACATTCCACAAAGTGTTAGCTCTAGCATCAAAACCCTCAAAATCATCTTCCGATTCAAGGAAAATACGCGGAACATCATCTGAATCTGATGCGAGACTATTTTCATGTTCGTCGCACGTCGCAATCACGAATTTTCCAACTGCACTGTCACTCTACTTCAACCTGAAACAAAAAACTCTTCGCGCCTCGATCCAACCCCGTGACAAGAAAAATGACGGGCAAAATCAAAAAAGCTTTGCGGAAGTTCGGGCCGTCGCGACCAGCGCTCTAAGGGTCTAGAGATTTTTTTAGCAAGAATGAGGTCAGGGGTATTTTCAATCCACTTTAAGGCCACGACCATGGCCTTTTTAAAGGTATTCTTGCATAGTCTTTGCTCTGTCGCATAGAGCTAATAATACATGGAAATTTTGCACCTGTAAATGTGCAGGTGCTTTTCCAATTTTTCCTGCAACAGTTCCAAGTGCTTTTGGCTATTCAGAGTCATTCCAGGCTCCAAATATTATAATCCTAGAGGTCACGACTCTGAAAACGAGTCCCAGATTATCAGACTTGGTGGATGTTTCATTATCTGCATGGTATACTTTGCGCCATATCGTTATCGCTTCCCTCCTGACATAGCACTGCGGAACTACAAACTGATGCAAAGTCAAATCATCTTAAAACATCACCTTTTCCCCAATACTGTGCAGTACAGTGCTCATGCTGTCTTGCAAACGTCAACCACTTTTTTCATATCCACAGTCAGTCTTGGTCGACGGGGTGGTTCGCAAGATTTTAGCCCAAATCCATCAATAAACCGGCGTGAAAGTGTTAAGCAATTCACTTTTGTACCTTTCCGAAGTAATGCAGCTCTGATTTTCTTACAAAAAACTTGTAGGTGACAGCAAGACAATTTTTCTCCACGAGGCATCCTATCTGGCTGAAGTTTTTCTGGGACAACCACTTTTCTTCTTGTCAAACTAGGATCCAAAACTTTAATAAATAAAATTGTGGATCGTCGTCTTGCTACACCCTATTTGAGATGAAATCTCACGCTGTGAGTAGTCTACACAGCAAGGAGCCACTCTTTGGGTACTTCAAATGTCAGAAAGTGAGGATTTTTTAAGCTTTTTTTATGCATTTCTTGATCAAGAAAAAATCATTTCAAACAGGCTCATAGCCATCAAAGTACTGACTGAATGCTTCAGGAACATTCATTCCAAGCATATGATGCAGTAGACCAGAAATGAAAATAGTAATTTAAAATTAAACAAAAAAATAATGTGACACTTTGCAATAAAAGAGAAAATACAGGTTCAGGTAAGATGGTCTTAAACTTTTGGCCACGACTGTATTTTGTCAAAGTGCCTTTTTACTGAAGTACACCTTGGACAAAATAGTTCTGAGGCGACCATATATCTACGTGCCAATGGTGAAAAATAGACAAAATGTGATTACACATGCAAACAAAGGGGATCTTTAAAATCTCCACAAAGTGATTACCATTATTACCTGTAACAATCCCTTGCGTTACTGCGGATCGCTGTAGGGCATTCTCTGGATATGTGACCAACCCCACCGCATGCATAGCATTTGCGATCATCCTGGCCACGGTCTTCTGGGCAGTCACGCGCCAAGTGGCCACTCTCTCCGCATCTGTAACAGGGCCGCGAACTCACTTCGGGGCAATCACGCTGGACATGACCGGAACTCATGCAGTTGTAGCACGCACCTGAAAAGCCATGACCTTCGCAAGTCACAACGATCCCCACAATACCAGTGAGAAAAAAGAATGACCTGAACAACACTTCACCCGCTTCAAACTGCACTTGATGCCGACATCAGCTCACCTTTGCATTCAGAATTGCACGCAAAGAAAAAAAACCCATGAAAAAAGACAAGCAAGGAATTCCTTACTTATGTTTTTCAGGAGGTGGGAGGGATTTTTTAAAAAATAAATGACACCTCTATGAAACAACCCACACCAATATTAACCCTTGCTGTGGCAGCTTCGACATGTTGCACTGCAATGCAACTTTTAATGTATGTTCCCCCCCC